TTGTCATGTAGGCGTTCATATGGTGGGGTCAGTGCTGCATATTTATATGCTACATATCTATAGGCTGCATGTATCTCCATGCATGCATGCATCTTGTCATGTAGGCGTTCATATGGTGGGGTCAGTGTTGCATATTTATATGCTACATATCTATAGGCTGCATGTATCTCCATGCATGCATGCATCTTGTCATGTAGGCGTTCATATGGTGGGCTTGGTGTTGCATATCTCTATGCTACGCTGTTTCTTTGCAGCCAAAAACTTTGTGAAGTGCTGCCTGCTGCTTCCTGCAAGGCGTCGACGACTGCCCCTTCAGTTTCTGCTCAAAAACGTCGTGCCGCTGCTGCAGCAGCAGCAGCAGCTGCAGCAGCAGCAGCGCCATGCCCCCTGTTTGCCCGCTCTGCTGCAGCAGCAGCAGCAGCTGCAGCAGCAGGAGGAGTCGGTGCTCTCTCTCGAGTCTCGCCTGCTACCTCCCTCTGAAGGATCGTCAGAGCACTTCCAGATAGGAGACAGCTTTGGCAGAAACTCTGCGAAGTGGCAGGCATGCGAAAAGCAGAAAGACTTGCAGACTTGCGCCTTCACACCAACCCTTCAGGCACTGTTGCTCGTACCCCAGCAAAAGCAGCAGCAGCAAAAGCATCCGCTGCAGCAGCAGCAGCAGCAACGTGAACGTCAAAAAGCCGTAGTACAGCTGGCGTGGAGAGTGCTGCTGCAGCACTTGGCAGCTCACCAAGACATTGATCTCACTGCAGTGTACAGACTCCTGCGTTGCTGCGAGCGCTTTCGCGGTCGGCTGTCTGTACTGCTGCTGATGCGGTAGTTTCATCCATGATGATACTCCCCCCTCTATCTTGTAGCTGCGCGATCTCTGTATGTCTCTCTCTCTCTCTGTCTTTGTCTCTGTCTGTCTTTCTCTCTTTGTATTTCTCTCTTTCTCTCTCTCGCTCTATCTGTCTTCCTCTCCCTGTCTTTCTCTCTTTGTATTTCTCTCTTTCTCTCTCTCGCTCTATCTGTCTTTCTCTCCCTGTCTTTCTCTCTTTGTATTTCTCTCTTTCTCTCTCTCGCTCTGTCTGTCTGTCTGTCTGTCTCTCTCTCTCTCTCTCTCTCTCTCTCTCTCTCTCTCTCTCTCTCTCTCTAGCAGTTTTCCTGCAGGTTGCAGCGGCTATGGGAACAAGGCGCTGCTGCATGTGCTGCTGCTGATCACACCCCGTGTATATGCGTGTGTTTGTGTGCTTCTTACACAGAGACGGACGCCGCTTTGCTGCTGCTTCTACTGCAACGTGCCAGATCCGCAGATACCGATGTCACAGGAGCAGTGCGCGCACTTGCAGGAATAGTCGGCTGTCTCTCTCGCATGCACTTGCTAACCCCTCCGCAAGGTGTCTCGACAGCTCAAGCCGCCGCTGGGGTGGCACCAGCAAGCAGCGGGCAGTTGACAATTGCGGCTAACAACGGCAGCAGCAGCAGCAGCAGCAACAGCAACAACAACAGCAACAACAACAGCACCAACAATAACAGCAACAACAGCACCAACAGCACCAACAACAACAGCACCAACAACAACAATAACAATAACAACAATAACAACAGCAACAATAACAACGCGGAGAGGTGTGCTTCCTCAGCACCGATGGAGAGTGCGGCTCTTCCTGAGGTGTCTGCTGCTGCTGCTGCTGCTGTGGGGAAGCCTTCTGAGGCTGCTGAGTGGCAGCTCCTGCAGCAGCTCCCGCAGCAGCTGTGCATTTCTGCCTTTGCGGCTGGAACCATCTGCAGCTTTGCTGCCCGTAAGAGCTGCACTGCGGCAGCAGCAGCTGCACACCTGTACAGACAGCTTCACCAGGAGGCTGTGCTGCTGCTGCAGCAGACTGCTACAGCCTTGCCACTGGCGCTGCTCGAAGGCAGAGCTAGAGGACAGGAAATTGGTTTAATTTGGTGAGTGCTTTACAGCTTGCACAAAAAGCCTTGGCGTGCCTTGCCAGTGTGGGGTTGCTGCTTTATCTGTCACTCATAATGCTCTCCTAATACTGCTACTCCTACTGCTGCTACTCCTACTGCTACTGCTGCTACTCCTACTCCTACTGCTCCTACTACTCCTACTCCTACTGCTGCTACTCCTACTACTCCTACTCCTACTGCTGCTACTCCTACTACTCCTACTCCTACTGCTGCTACTCCTACTACTGCTGCTCCTACTGCTGCTACTCCTACTGCTGCTCCTACTCCTACTGCTGCTACTCCTACTGCTGCTACTCCTACTACTCCTACTCCTACTCCTACTACTGCTGCTGTTACTCCTACTCCTACTGCTGCTACTCCTACTCCTACTACTCCTACTGCTGCTACTCCTACTCCTACTGCTGCTACTCCTACTGCTGCTACTCCTACTGCTGCTACTCCTACTCCTACTGCTGCTACTCCTACTGCTGCTACTCCTACTCCTACTGCTGCTACTCTTACTGCTGCTACTCCTACTCCTACTGCTGCTACTCCTACTACTGCTGCTGTTACTCCTACTGCTGCTGCTCCTACTGCTGCTACTCCTACTGCTGCTACTCCTACTGCTGCTACTCCTACTGCTGCTCCTCCTACTGCTGCTGCTCCTACTCCTACTACTGCTACTCCTACTGCTGCTACTCCTACTCCTACTACTGCTACTCCTACTGCTGCTACTCCTACTACTGCTGCTGTTACTCCTACTACTGCTGCTCCTACTGCTGCACAGCAGCTCGGCTGCCTTTTTACCGCGTGCTGTGGTGTGCGCTGTCTATGCAGCGAGGGACTGGCTGCCGCGCAGCTGAGGAATGAACAACTGGAGCGATACTTGCTGCTGTATGTCTGCCTGCTTCTCCTCGTTTAGTGCCTTGATGAGGACGCTGCATGTCTTTGCAGCAGCAGTGGGTGCATGCAGTGTGTTTTAGCTGCAAATCACGGAGACAAAAAATATCTCTTTAAGCCGCCTTTTCTTTCGGGAAAGCCTCGACTGAGGCTGTCTCGAGTGGTGAACCTCTGCAGCTGCCTCGCTGGCTGCACTTGTTGCTCTCCTCCTCGGGTTGTATGTACCAGCGAGCATTGGTGTCTCCTTGTCTTCGTGAGTTGCGCTTGCAGATGGCTCTGCCCCTTTCTCTCAGAGACTCTGTTGGCTTCAGAGGATCCGTTCGCACGCGCCTTCGCGCCGTGCATGCAGCAGCAGCAGCAAAGGCAGAAGCAGCGGCAGCACACGCACCTTCCGTTAATCCCCCTTTCCGCGCAGCAGCTGCTGTCAGTCCTCAAGTGGATGGCGCCTTTGCATGCAGCAGCTCAGCAGCAGCAAAAGCAGCAGCAGCGAAGGCTTCTAAAGGCGTCGCATGCAGCCTCAGTGGAGAAAAAAGACGGAGCTGCTATCCAGCTGGCAGTGTGGGTAGCCGCGTGGAGGAGGCTGTTGGCGCTGCTCTTCGAGTCTTTGCCTCATTTGCAGCAGCAGCAGCGGCTTGCTCTGTTGCACACAGCAGCAGCAGCAGGCATGCCTCTGCAGCTCCCTCTCGAGTAAGCTGCAGACAGTGTTTGCCAACGCGTAAAAGTAGGACGGCGTCTGCCTTCTCTTGGCGCTTCTGTCTGTCTAGAGCGCTTCGTGAGATGCAGCGCATGCACATTTCCAGCTGAACTTTCGCATTGCTGCTTGTTTCTTCAGATGCGTCCTAGACTCCATTTCCGCAGAAGGCGCTGAGGAGCTCTCCTTGCATCAGCAGCAGCTGATACTCGCTTCCATTGCTGAGACTCTGTCTCTCAGAGACGCTACTACCGTCGCTGCAGCAGCAGCTAAAGACAGCGCTGCAGCAACAGCTGAAGACGGCGCTGCAGCAGCAGCTAAAGACGGCGCTGCAGCAGCAGCTGAAGACGTCGCTGCAGCAGCAGCTGAAGACGGCGCTGCAGCAGCAGCTAAAGACGGCGCTGTAGCAGCAGCTAAAGACGTCGCTGGAGCACCTTCAGAGGCAGCAATTTTGCCGGCAAGAGCAGTAGTAAGCCTCTGTAAGGCAATGCCACGCTGTTTGCTGCTGCAGCGTCACAAAGCGGAGACTGCAGCATCAGCAGCAACAGCCACTGCAACGGCATTCGCAACTCCAACAACAGCAGCTCCTCCAGAAGTGCTGCATTTGCTGCTGCTGCACTTGCCACGGGCTGCCCTTGCAGCAAATGCAGCAGCAAATGCAGCAGCAGCAGCAGCAGCAGCAGCAGCATCAACGGAGCAGAGCCTTCCTGCAATCTCCGCAAAAGCAGCAGACACGGCAGCGGCAGCAGTACTGCACGAGGCGTCTCGCACTTTTGACTTGCTGTCTCATCATGTGCTCCCTACCTTAAGGTGAGGCATGCCGAGGCGGCAGCAAGGCTACAATGTCACAGTCTCAACATTAGCCTCATCAGTAGAAGGAAAGCGCACGCGAAGGGGAGCACGTGGCTATGGCATTGCATTCTGCATGTGTAGATGTATGTTTATGTATGCTTATGTATGTATCTGGATGTATGTGTATGTGTAGATGTATGTATCTGTGTGTATGTGTATGTGTAGATGTATGTATCTGTATGCATATGTGTATGTGTAGATGTATGTATCTGTGTGCATATGTGTATGTGCAGATGTATGTATCTGTGTGTATGTATCTGTGTGCATGTGTGTATGTATCTGTGTGCATATGTGTATGTGTAGATGTGTGTATCTGTGTGCATATGTGTATGTGTAGATGTATGTATCTGTGTGTATCTGCGTGTATATGTACGTGTCTATGTATCTGTGTGAACGCTGCTGCCGCAGTCATATTCCTGAGGCTTTGCTGCTCTCAGCCGCGGAGAGTTTGCGTTTCCAGCTGCTAGTCAAGGAAGAGAAGCAGCAGCGTGAGAAGCGCCAGTCGCTGGAGCAAGCGATTGTAGCCGCTCCCGCTGTATTTAGTGGCTTCGAGGAACTGTTGGTGAGATAGTTTAATCTCGACTTGCAGGCTGCCGCAGCTTCGCTGCTCCCCTCCAGCTTGGAGCTTCGCAGCAGAAGCATCCATCTGCAGCCCTTTACAAACAGTTGCGGTGTATGTACTGCAGGTGGCTGTAGCGGCTGAAGGCGCTCGGCGTTCTCAGCAGCTGCAACTGCAACCGAGCTCGCTGGAGTTTCTGCTGCTGCGCTGTACGGAGATCGCAAGAGCGATCTGGCTGTTGAAGCAGATTTCTGAGAAGCAGCAGCAGCGGCTTTATGGGAGCTGCATGCAGATGTTCGAGGTATGTCAGCAGCAGTACTCAAAGGCTGGTTTTGCGGAAAGCGTGACGCGTGGAGACTCTCTTGCAGCCTCTCGACGGTGTGCATGTTTCTGCAATGTGCGCTGCTTATGGGGATGCTGCCTGCAGAGGCTGGCGAGCTCTCTTGAGAGGCGAACTTTAGGAGCCACAGCAGCAGACTTCCCGGCAGAAGGCGCACTCACGAGAAAGCAGCCGGCTGCCGTCGCGTCTCTGGATTCTGTTTCGCGGCTCCTTCTTTCTGCTTCCAGGCTGAAAAGCCTCGGAAAGCAGAGCGAATGCCGCAGCATGGCAACATTCGAGCTGCACCAGCAGCTGCTTCAGTCCCAGCTGCACAACTTGCAGGTGCATGCAGCAGACAGCTTGCTGCAGCACGGGCTGCATGCAGCGAGCTCCCAGCTGGAAGCGGTGCACGCCTCTTCCAAAGAGTTCGAGAAGCAGCAGCAGCAGCTGCTGCTGCTCGTGCCGCCGCAGCAGCAAGGTGCTGCTGTTGCTGCAGCAGCCAGTCCATCGCGCGTCTGTGCCTTGAGCTGCGAGAAAGCGGTGTGCACGTTGCTGCGAGCTATTTACGCCTCAAAAGTGCCTGTATTCCCACTTCTTGCATGCGCAGTGCTGCAGCGGCTGTCGATTCGCTGGCGAGAAGAAGCGGTCAGAAACGACTCGAACAGCAGTGCAGCAGCAGCTGCCGTAGCAGAGGAGGCGTCTCTGCTTGTGTCTGTGCTGCGGCAACAGCTGCAAGGCGAGCACTCCTGTGGAAAGGAGCAGCGTGGAGCAGCAGCATGCGGCAGCAATGGCACGGTGCGCGCAAAAGCCTCCGAATCCCTCCAGCTCCTCCGGTGTATCGACAGCACGTTTGCAGTGCTTGCTTCGCAGCAGTTCGCACTGCACCAGCCGTGCGGATCGCAGCTCGAGAGACCTACGCATCCTGCGTCGCGACTTCAAATGTGGCGTTGGTTCAAATTGCGCCATCTGGCTGCGCTTCTGCGAGCCGCTGAGTGGCGACTGCTGCATGCGGCACCTGCCGAAGCGAGGGGGGTGTCTTGCGACGAGGCAGCGCATGCAGCCGTGTTGCATGTGTTCGAAGGAGCTTGGAATTCTCTGCTGCAGCGAGCCAGATACACTCCGACTGCCTTCGGCTCGAGCAACACAGCCAGTGCCAGCGGCTGCAACGCGCGAAGCTCTCCCGCTGCTGCTGCTGCGCCGCTCCCCCTTGCAGCTTGGGTGTGCTTGGATGCAGCCTTTCGCAGCTATAGGACGGCTGATCGTGAGAAATCGCGCGCTTTGAAGCTGCCGCCGACCTTTGCTGCCGTCGCTGCAGCTCTCGGGGAGAGCAGCTGCTCCTCTGCGCGGGGAGAAGGCGCTGCAGTAACAGACGCTGCTGCCGCCTTCCTCTTGCAGAGGATGCACGCTTCTGCAGCAGCTGCCAAGCATGTGACTGCCCCCGCTGCGGGGGTACAGACACCCGAGAGCAGTCTCTACACCGTCCCCCAGGAGCACCTCCTGCTGAAGCTTCCTGATCCTCAATCGACGTTTCATGCATACCGGCTGCGCCTCAGAGTCAGTTCCAGTGGGCAGCAAAGTTGTCACCATCAGCATCCGCAGCACCAAGAGCAGCAGCGAGAAGAACGCCTGCAAACGCAGCAAGAAGAAGAAGAAGCACAGCAACAAAAGCAGCAGCAAGAAGAGCACCTGCAAAGGCAGCAAGAACTACAGCAGCCGGAATCACAGCAACAAAAGCAGCAGCAAGAAGAGCACCTGCAAAGGCAGCAGGTGCAACGCCCACTTCGAGGGAAGGCGAAGCACTGGATTGCAGCTACCCCTCGCGATATGGACTTACTCTCGTTGCTGCAGCGTTACATTGACTAGATTACCCTTGGTGGGATATTTAATTCAGAGACTTTTGGTCATATTTTTCCGTCGTTGAATTCCGAATTTTGGGGTGACTTGAGAGCGCCTGAGTGACGCGATTCCGGGGGAGCCTCCTGCACATTGGAGCTTGACAAGGGAAGGCCAGAGGCAGACGGAGCATGTCGTTTTTTTGCTGTCTTTGAGACACTCACACTGTTGCTGGTTGGAAGCCGCTGTGTCCATACAGTGTGCTTCAGGGTGTTGCGATACTTGTGGTTTTGCTTCTGCTGTCGCACGTGGGCTGCTGCCGTTGCTGCTTTTGTTGGCTGGGATTAAAGACTGCTCTCGCGCGGCTGCAGCGTCGATCGTTCTTGCTCACGACGGTCAATCAAAAAACGTCAGTGCTGCAGCGAGCCAGCGGCTTCATTCGCATGTGCTTTTTGCTGCGGGTGAAGCGCGAGTTCGTTGGTACCAAGGAATTAAGCGCCTTAGCAAGCCCCCTCCCACGTTCAAGGGAGCCTCGGAGCGACAGAGAGGCCCCCTTGAACGTGCTGCAACAGGGAGCGCATAGCAGGCGATCGCTAGATCTGTAGAGAGGGCCGTTCTTCTTCACCCCCAGCAGAATGTCGCACCTAACCGGAAGCGACAGCCTGAGGGGGTGGTTCAAACACGGATCCCCATGCGACGGGCTAATTCAAAGAGGGCGATCAAGGGCAGATCCTCGCGAATAGGTTTAGGGCTCGTCCATTCAGGCACGGCAGCCACCGAACTGACTGCTCGGGTGTCTTGTCATCTTTCGCCGCAGCACGCTGCTGGGGAGAGGCGCCTTGCGTCTGCGTGGAATGTTTTCTCCGAGGATTATTTGGGCATAAGGAGCTTTCAAGGATCAACAGGGCGGAAGACTCTACGCTGGTCCACTTTATGCGCCACTGGCCAAGCGTGCGTCGGGTGTATTGAGGGGCAGTCTTGTTTTGCTTCCGGTTCTTCTCTGAAGGCGCTTTCCTGCGTGGGGTACTCACGAGCTCTGGGGACGTTTTATGCGGACACAAATATCCCCATAGCCTTTCTGGCTTGGCTCGCTGTCGGCCCTTCTCCAGTCTCTTCACGCGTGGCGCTTAGCGCCTCACTTTCAAGCTGGCAGGAAGCTCGAGGTCCTCTAGATTTGCCACGAAACCAGCAGCAAACAGGGTGCGTATACTTCACTCCATGAAATAAATTAACCAGGCGTTTTACAGACAGAAAGCGGCAACAAACGACGGGCGATCTTCTCAGATAGCGCAGTTTGCGTGTCGGTTACCCAACTGCGCCACGGTGTATCGACGGCTGGTCCTGTGTCTAGTTGCCGCAAGAAACGCGCGCCTCTGAGCTTTTATCTGCTTGAAATAGCATTAAGTTCTGGCTATTTCGGGACCTGATGCTATTTTTTCCTGGAAAGCCTTTGTTTACAGCTGGATTCTCCAGAGGCACTTCACATCCCCTGCTCTCCCCCGGTGAAGGGCCAGGAAAACTGATCGACTCAAGTGAGTGTTGAGCGAACTGTCTTTCCAACTCGCCATCTAGAAGTCGAGCGAAACGATCTCTTGTCTTTAGGAATCGTGAACAATTCTTTTGGGGGGCCCTGAGAGCCTCCAGGGGAAGACACCATCGTTCTTGCCACTGTACACAAACAGGTTGCCGCCAAATTTCTATCTGAATTCTGCCATTTCTCTGCTGACCACACACTTTCCGCGAAGTCTTGTCCCTTGCCTTTTCTGGAGATCACTCCAAAGAAGTGCTTGTCTGGTTGCCTTTGCCTCCCTAACGCTATTTACCCCCATGTCACACGACACCCCACAGAATCAGTCGTCTCTCCGCTGAGGTCACCCTTGCCCATCTGGGAGTCTGCGAGCTTTTTACTCCTTCCAAGGAGGTGCAGAGAAATCTCCCGCAATGGTGGCTGGTGACTGCGAAGCGGAGAGTTAGGGGGCTGCGTGTAAATCAAGCGCCTATCCGAAGTAGCAAGAAACACTAGAGGCAAAATAGGGCATTGCACAGCTTGCCAAAAGCCCATAAGTTTCCTCCATGCTGCCGGGAGCGACACCGCGCATATAGTTGCCCAATAGGCTTGACGGGGGAATGGCGAGTCCCTTAGCTAGCCAGCTTAGGGCCGCTCAGGTGCCTTACAATGTGTGCATGCTAGTCAGCACAAAGCGCATCTGCAAGCGAAGCAAGTCGCCGTGTGTTCCAAACCGAAGAGGCAGGCACAAGACCTAGTTAACGCGTTTGGAAAGCGGCCTCTGAGAACCTAATGGTGTCTTTTTTAAGACGACTATCCTGCGGTTCTATGCTCTGATAAATAGGATGAACTCATTTCTGTCGCGGCTTAGAGCAGACCGTGTGCGTGTGCAAAGCGCTGCCTGTGTGAGTGGAGTGAGATCAGCGTGCACAGACATCCGCTTGGGCCTGACTTCTGAAGTCACACACAAAGAATGCACGGGCAAAAGCAGCGTGCTATCCATAGGTGCACGATGATGCGATTGTGCCTTTCGCTCTTATAATCAGTCACAATGTGTGCCGCATCAGGAACCTCTTAATGCGCGCAAAGTCTCACTCAGAGAGCAGGGTTCTTTAAATCGCTCAAGACCAGCCACGCAACGCGGTGGCTCGGATGAATGCGGGCTTACTGGGGAGCAGGCAGCGCGTAGGCCGTATGGTGACATCCTGGAGAAGTGCTTCCCTTGGCGGCAAAGCGAAGCTTCCCCCGACAAGGATTGCAAAGCGTTCCAACAGTGTGTGATTAGAAATACATGCCGCATTCATGGGTGCACGCGCTAGCTGGAAGCGAGTGAAAAAAACGAGCAGCAGTTCGTGAACCTTCTTATGAGGCTGCCTGAAAATCGCTTGACTGTCACCTTGTCTGGCATGCTACTCGCGCTTTCTGTATGTAGGACCTTTAGCCTTGGATGCACTACAAAGGGGCTGCATTTGCCTTGTTTTGCTGCTCCCCCGTATTTCTGCTTGCTGCAGAATAAGCTCTAAAAGGTTTTGTCAGGGGCGGAGAGGAAGCCGCTGCCTAGCGGAATTTGTGTTTTCTCTGCCAACACACACACACACCGTTCACGCACGTCAAGGTAGGCAGTCAGAAGGTGCAAAAAGGCCCTTATGAACTTCGCCAGTCGGGGAGGTTCATGAGATTTCCTGATTGTGACAAAGACGTAGCAGGCTTACGGCTAGAGGCATTTCTCAATTGCGGATTCATTGCCACTATGGAAACTCCTTCTGGCCGCAACACAGTTGCCCATGGCGTGAGTCCGCTAAAATGCAAGCATCTGATTGAAGAAAAGATCGGCATCAGCCAATTGCAACGATGGGGAGATGCTCACGTGCACAGGCAGTGAGCGCCTCTCTCTGGCCTTCTGTGGTGGCATCGCACCGAGCAGTGGATTTGTCAAAAATGCATTAGACAGTTTCCCGAAGCGGCAGTGCTCCCTGCTCTTACTAGCCTCAGCTCGCCTGCATAAACGCTGGTTCACGTCAAAGAAAGAGAGCCAATCCTTTATGGTTTGGCAGGTATAGTGAAGCAGCACTGCTACAGGGGATATTGACGGCTCTAAGGCTTTCCCACCAGCACAAGCAGCGTCGATGCGAATGCCATGGCAGCCATATCCTTTCAGCACCTAGCCTTTGTACGTCTGAAAATCTTTGTGTTCTCTCTAGCGAACAGCCATCAAATACCAAACGAAAGGTGAGTAAAAACCGTTTCCATGGGTATGCTTTGGCAATCGACTTTCAAATATTTATCTGCAGCCTGCATGGCAAAGCACCCTCCTCCCCCCCCTCCCCCCCGCGCTGTGTTCAGTTTATGTGCAGTTGTGCTTATCGGCCTGCACACATGCGTTTACACTCACATGTATGCTTATGCTTTGTCGTCGCTCATAAGTAAGCCGTTCGTTTATCTACTTGGCACCCTGTCAGTTGCATGGTCTCTGCAATGTCTGCGGATGTTAGCTTGATATCTCCCCACCTATACTATCCACAATTTGTTGGGTGTGGTTTTATGCAGCCCGTGCAATTTAGTGTGCCTCTATCGATCCGTCGCTCTCTTTTCATTGTTTTTCTTCTGGCTGCTTCGCCTCCGCTTTTTGGCCTGAGCCGTCTCTCGTTCCTACGCCAGCATCTCATGCGTTTCCTTCTGCTGTTTCTGTGCTGGTTCCCTCGCATAAAATACTAGTTGCGCACCTGGATGTTGATGAGTCGGTTTCTCTGTTTAAAAGGCCTTAAGCTGCTTATCTACGGGCCTGGCTGTTGCTACACCGGCTTTCGGTTATTTCCTCTCCATTTTCTGTGGCGATGTCTGCGCACATGTAGGCGTGAATTTCAGACAGAGCTTTCTGATGTAACCTTCCCGTGCGTGATTCTCGCCTTGAGCTTAACCTCGATCTGTCCCTGCACCCGCGTCCAAAAACGTGCTCCTCTGTGCTGGTGTTTTTTGTGTATCTGCCAGCGCGTGCTCCTGCCAAAGTTCTCGGTTGCTTGTTCTTGTTGAAAGAGGTGTGCCTAAAGCGTAAAGCCCTCCCCGTCAGAGTGCTGCTTTTAGGCTTGCGTGAAGCGGGGGAAGCGAGGCGGCAAGCGAGGTGTATTAGCGCACGCGGAGTCGCACAGGCGATGATCAGCGACTCAGGAGGTGGTGGCTGTTTAGTTTTTTCTGGCCTTGTTCCCTTACGGGGATAGCCCATGGGCTGCTCTCTTGAATGCAGGGTTCTAAAGACCAAAGGGCTTCTTGAGAGGATCGAAAGATGGCGTTTTTTAAATTTCTAGGCGCAGAACATAGAGCGGATTCCAGAGCGCTGCATCCCACCGTTCCACTGGTACCGCTAGCCGGCTATCGCGCCGTTTTTCCGGTGTGCGAAATAGGTGCTAATCGCCGCTATTACAGAGGGCCATAATGCATCGTGAAGGCTCCGCATGCGGCTTTTGCAGTTCGAATATCTGCTTCGACGACAATGCAGGCAGCTCGCGTGTGCCCCTAGGAGCGAACACTGGCGTGTGTGGATCTGAGAGGCGTTCAGCGATTCGTTTTGCCTAGGCTGTGGAAGGCACTCGAATAATTTTTTGTGCAGGTGTCACACAGAGTCTTTTCGGAGAACAGCGCATTTAGAGGCCTGCGTCGTAGATGCATGAGCGCGACAAGGAAAAAACGGGGGAGGGGGGGGGAAAAGGCGGCGGGCGGAATTCGCTTGTGTACCTACCCCCCTTTGAAGGGATTGAATATACGCGTATTGCAGCGCAGAAGGACCTGTGCAGCCCTCTTGGGCAGGCGAGAAACAGCCAAAACGCCCGCTGCCCATGTAGTACTTCGGGTGTCTTGTGCGGAGGGGGGCAGGAGGTTTGCAGTACTCCTGGATAGTCTGGGTGGAGAGTTTTTTGGGCTGTTCGAGTGCCTACGACCTGTCACCAGTGGATTGAAGCGCTAAGAGGCGTTGCGGTTGCAGCGCGGTGGGAAAGTTTTTCGCAGGGTCACTCTGTCTGTACACAGCGCGCACAGCCTCTTCGGAGGGGTAGGTGTGGCAGCCTGAGGGAGGCTGCGGGCTAGTGGGTGGGAGGGAAATAACAGCGAAAGCCACAGATTTCGTCACACGGAAGAACGAGAGATTATCGGGGAAAGGATGCCAGAGGGAGAAGAAGCGTCGAGCAAACCGAGACCTTTGGGCTGGGGTGGTAAGTCGCGAGTTTGCTGGTGCCTCCTCGCTGGCGATAATCCTGCACTTTTCTCATTATATTCTAATAGAACAGTCTATTTGGAGTTCTCTTCTGCGGGAAAAGGGGGCAAGAAGGCGGAATTTCTAGTGGAAGGAAGAAGCTCAGCAGTGCTGCTGGGCAGCAGCTGTTTTATGTGCTGCTGGGGTGTCGTCGGTATTTCTGCGTTTGCCTCCCTTCTTTTGCGCTCTTTTTGTCCTTTTTCTAGTCAAGCTCCTCTGATTCCTTATTTGGTTTTGCATTCTCCGGGAGAAAGCAGCCTCTTCTGGCGCACCCCACCACGCCTTTGTGTGGGGTACGTACACTTCAACACTTGTCCTTTGCTAGCTTCTGCTGCCCTTAAGATGCTTCTCTCTTTGCCTGTCAGCTCAACGCAGTTGTAGTCGCTTCCATATTTTTCGTCTCCTGGGTGCAGCAGCCAGGCATCCTGCTCGCAACAGTACTCTCTGAAAGAACCCCCTGGAGAAGCGGCTTGTGAGTGTGAACCCGAAGACTTCGGCCCATACATTGTGTCATATTTGCACTTTTGCGCTTCGACAGACAGCGCTTCCGCTGTTCTTCTGCTCAAGGCTGTATTCCCAAGATGGCGAACAGAGAAGCCGCATCCTCCGCCACTGGAGGGGGGCGACTGCCTGCCGCTGATCGTGCAGTAGTTTCATCCTCGGCATCTTGTGCCTTCGCCTTTCCAGCGACGACAGCGACTGCCTCTTGCGCGGATGGAGAGGCAGCAGCAGCAGAAGGCAGCAGCAGCAGCCTTCCCCCCGCTGCCCATGGAAGCGGCAAAACAAACTCTCCCCAGGCGCGCTGCTCTGCTCGACGTGGCAGCGTAGGAGGAGGGGGGACGGGGAGCGGAGCTTGCTCAGGCGCAGTCTCCGTTGGTTCGCTGCCGATCCACAAGCACAGAGACAGGATACTGGAGCACATCAACAACAACTTCATTACGTGCATTCAAGGCGAGACTGGCTGTGGGAAGAGCACGCAAGTTCCCAAGTTTCTTCTAGATCAGGATGCGCTAGCTCAGAAGACACTGCAAGCGCTGAAAGCGGGGAAGAAGCAGTGCTGCCCTTCAGGAGCTCCTCTTCCTTTGCCGCCTCTCGAGAACTATCGCCCGTTGCGCTGTATCGTCACTCAGCCACGACGGCTCGCGTGCATTTCCCTTGCACAGCGCGTGGCAAGAGAACTGGGGGAAGAGACGGGTGGTGTGGTAGGCTACAGGATATCTGGAGAGAGCAAAACAAGCCGCAGGACGAAGATCTTCTTCATGACAACAGGCTATCTCCTGCAAATCCTCATCAATGCACAGCCTGCCTTGGCGCACATGCTAACCGAAGAGGAGCTTAGCTTGGAGGCTGCAGGCAAACTCGCCGCGCTGCAGCAGCTTCAGCAGCGTGTCGTCTCTGCAGACGCGACAGCAGCAGCAGACGGCGGCAGAGAACTCCCGCAGCAACAACAGCAGCAGCAGCAGCAACAGCAGCAGCTCGAATCGGAGGGATATTTGAACGAGGTTACTCATGTAGTTCTCGACGAAGTTCACGAGCGAGATGTGGATGCGGATCTCCTTTCACTGGTGCTCAAATTGCAGCTGCGCAGTCGCATTGGGAAGCTGAAGATTGTGGTCATGAGCGCCACAATGGAGGGCAATCTTTTTTTCAACTACTTCTCCGACATCCATCTGAGGAACGTGCCAGGAGAAGACAAGCCATCGCTTTTGCCGGCTGCAGACGAGCACGCTGAGGAAAAGCGAAGTCGCGAACAAGGTCGCCTCAAAGATACAGACGCAGTGTACCCCGACAAGATTTTTGTAGGCGCAAGACGCTTCCCCGTGCATATCGTGTATCTGGAGGATCTCCTGAGGGGGGAGAACGAGGTGACTGGCTTGCGCGCCGTTTCCTCCGAGCAGCTTTCTGGAGAGGCGTTGCTGATCGAAGGCAAGGAGGAGGATGAAGGCAGCGCCATCTGCACGTCAGCGACGAATGGATCTGCGGAACCGCTAGGACGGATGGAAAGTACTTCATCGCCAGGAGTCTGCACAGAGGTCGATCTCAAAAACAACGGCCCGACACAGGCTAAGTTGGAGATGGATATCCTTGGCGCTCTCCTCAAGCGTAGATCCTTATCGCTGCAAAAAATCTTCAATTCCTTCACGCGCACAGCACTCTACGAGGTAAGAAAGATGCTCCTTTGATGCCAGGAATATTTTCGCTTTCTCTCTCTCTGCGGGATTGCATTCCTCATTCAGCGTAGCGGTCTTCGTGTGTAAACGATGAAGCCTGGGGACGAAAAAAGAGGGCAGAGAAAAAGGGAAAAAATAGTGTTAGTTGAGTGTTACTTTCAGAAGAATAAGGAAATAGACGGCTTGGATCCTACGAAAAAAGACGGCAGAAAAAAAGGGGAAAAAATAGTGTTAGTTGAGTGTTAGTTTCAGAAGAATAAGGAAATCGATGACGTGGAATTTTATGTGCGCGTGCACGGGCAAAACAGCCATCCGGAGCCGACACAAATCGATCAGGGGAAGGCGAGGGGCAAACATGCACGAGAGGGTTGCCTATTTCTCGCTATACCCCTGAAGAAAATGCACGAAGGAAAAGGCAGAAAAAAAGAAGCATCGATACACAGACGGACGGATACACACAAATATGCATACACAAATATAAACATACATTTACATATACATACACACACAAATACACACACACACACAAGCACACGAATACAAATATACATTTACATACATACACACACAAGTACACACACCAATATGCAACACAAATATACACACACAAATACACACCTATACACACACAAATATAAATATACATTTACATATATACATGCATACATATACACCCACACGTGGAAGTAGGTACGCACACACATACACACACGCGGGCATGTGGCTTAGGCAATACGGCAGTGAAGAAGGAATGATTAAAAAGATTCGAGAGAAAGATACACTGCTTAACAGGAGGCAGAGGTGTCCGCATATTCAGTAGAGGAGAGTCATCGGGGGAAGGGGAAGGAAGGGGTAGCTGTGCCTTTGTATAGAGCTGTGATTGTAAAGCGGTCGATACACATGTAAAGAGAATTTTGCTGTGTGCAGTATAGAGCAGTGCAGAGAACGTGATGTCTAGTCTTACACATATATTTACATCGACATTTTATGTGGATTTTGTGTCGGGTATCAGAGGGAGAAAGCGTGGATTAGAAGAGCGCACTAGACTATTTTGCAGAACGCGAGAGAGTATTTGAATCATAAGAATCAAGGAGAGCAGTGCATGTGTTGCCTATTCATGTTTGCTCCACAGGGGTGTCTTTGTGAGTCTCTACGTGTGTCTCGATGTGCTTCTCCATGTGTGTCTATGTGTCTCGATGTGTGTCTCGGTCGGTGTCTGTGTCTCTATGTGTGTCTACATGTGTGTCTATGTGTCTCTATGTGTGTCTGTGTCTCTGTGTGTGTCTCTATGTGTGTCTCCATGAGTGTCTCTGTCTCGATGTGTGTCTCTATGTGTCTATGTGTGTCTCGATGTGTCTATGTGTGTCTCGATGTGTGTCCGTATGTCTCTATGTGTGTCTATGTGTCTCTCTGTGTGTCTGTGTCTGTGTGTCTCTGTCTCTATGTGTCTCTCTATGCGTGTCTATGTGTCTCATCGTGTGTCTCAATGCGTGTGTATGTCTATGTGTGTCTGTGTCTCTCTCTATGTTCGTCTCTCTCTGTATGTGTGTCTCGGTGTGTCTCTCTATGTGTGTCTGTGCGGGCGAAAGTTGAGGAAGGCTTATCCTTGCTGCGCATCGCTGTGATCTTTTTGCAGTTTCTGTGTGTCTTTGTTGTGCTAATTTTGCGGATCATCTCTGCAGTGAACCAGGGGGGAGGGGGGGAGCTTGTTTTTGCAGCAACCATCCATGAGTCTTTGTTTCCCTGTCTCATGCCCACCTATCTGTCGGTGTCTATGTATGTTTGTCCTTCTTTGAGTATGTATGTATGTGCTGTCTGTCTGTCTGCCTGTCCATGTGTCTATCTCTCTGTGTGTATACGTTTGTCTGCTCTGCGTGTGCGTGCATGCATATGTGCCTTTTCAGGCTGTACGAGTCTTTCAGACAGCAGGCAGCAGCACCAACAGGCAAAAAGCCGCTAATGCAGACTCAGAGACTGGCTTGCAGCCAGATATACAAAAAGGTGAGTTTTCTCCGTCTGCTGTACAGTCGTAGGCGAAAAGCGGCTGCTGCTGCTGCTGCTGCATGTTTAACGCCAAGGTATACATTTGCAGCTCTGTCAAAGCCAGCGATCGGCTACATACGCATTTCATCGGGCACAATAAACACACGAACAGATAGAAAAGCGGGAGGCTTTTTTACAGTCTATTTCTTTTCTGCCTGTAACTGTCTCTCTCTTTTTTGTCTTTCTCTTCCTCTCTCTCTCTGTAACAACTGCCTCTCTCTCTCTCTCTCTCTTTTGTCTTTCTCTTCCTCTCTCTCTCTGTTACAACTGCCTCTCTCTCTCTGTCTCTTTTGTCTTTCTCTTCCTCTCTCTCTGTAACAACTGCCTCTCTCTCTCTGTAACAACTGCCTCTCTCTCTCTGTAACAACTGCCTCTCTCTCTCTCTGTCTCTTTTGTCTTTCTCTTCCTCTCTCTCTCTGTAACAACTGCCTCTCTCTCTCTGTCTCTTTTGTCTTTCTCTTCCTCTCTCTCTGTAGCAACTGCCCCTCTCTCTCTGTCTTTCTCTTCCTCTCCGTAGCTGTCTCTCTCTTGGTTATGAGCTCCACGGTTTTGGCCGTGTGCGAGTGCGAGGTGAACGCTTTTTCTAAGCTTTTTTTTTGCGCATGCAACTGGCATGAGGCGAAGTAATAGGAAAGAAATACTGCATTTATCGTCTCTCCGCCGCTGTCTCTTTTGAGCTTCAGGCCTTGAACGAGTATGCGTCGATCTCGTATCATCTCTCGCGCATGGGGGAGAAACGGTGCTTGTTTTTCTTCCTGGCATTGCTGAAATCTCAGTCTTGTACGAGGCACTGGCAAGCCTTGAGAGGCCATCTGCAGCAGCTTTGCAGAACCATCCTGCCGCGGAGGGAGTTTCTCTTGGAAACACTGTCTCGGCAGAAGAAAAGGGAGGAGCTGCGCACGTGTCTCTGTGCCCAACTAATCCTGCCTTCAAGCTCTTTGTGCTGCACTCCACAATCGGCAGGGAAGAACAGACGGAAGTCTTCAGTCCACCCCCTCCCCACACCTGCCATGTGGTGCTAGCCAGCAACATTGCCGAGAGCTCTCTTACTTTGCCAAACTGCCGCGTTGTCTTGGATTTCTGTCTTCGCCGACAAATGATTTGCGATCCAGTAAGCGAATTTGGCACATATATATGTATATATATATATACTTATGCATGTGTATGGGTGGATGTATGAATATATGTATAGATACTTATGTATATGTATATATGCATGTGTGCAGATGCATGTATATGTATGGGTATATGTATGGGTATATGTATGGGTATATGTATGGGTATATGTATAGATACTTATGTATGTATATGTATATATGCATATGTGCAGATGTATGTACATGTATATATATATGTGTATGTGTATATGTAAACGTAGGTATAGGTGTGTGCGCGTTCATGGCATGCTGCTGGCAGACATGAGCGCAGTCTGATAGATCTGGGTTCAAGTAGCACTGCATGGAGTGACTTTTTGCGGGTTTGGTGAGTGCGCGTGTCGAAACGTTCTGTGGGTAGGGCAGGGGAAGAAACGGAGAGTTGGGGGGAAGGGGGGGAGAAGGCAGAAGCGGACTTAGGAGGAATGAATGATTGTCTGTCGTGAAGATTTTTTTTTTCGCAGCGACGCCATGCATCTGCCCTTGTCAAGGCATGGACGTCTCACGCCTCGTCTCAACAACGAAGTGGTCGAACTGGCAAGTCTTCCTCTGCACGCATCTTCTATGTCGCTGAGACTGCCTGCCGCAGCTGCTAGTCTTTCCAAACATACACATACCTATGCCCATGTACATGCACATTTGTGTATCTGTTCTGTGTATCTATCGTTGTCTGTCTTGCGCGTTTGCTGCCTTCTCTCTAGCTTCTCTCTGCCGTGTGTGTCTATCTTCTCCGTAACTTCTGGCTGCTGTCTTCTGTCTTTTATCTACTTACTGACTTCTGGCTTCTATCTACTGTCTTTTGTCTATCTGCTGGCTTCTATCTCTCCATCTACTCTCTATCTTCTCTCTCTCTATCTATCTATCTATTTTCTCTCTCTCTCTCTACCTATCTATCTATCTACTCTCTGTCTTCTCTTTCTCTCTACTTATCTATCTATCTATCTATCTATCTATCTATCTATCTATCTACGTATCTATCTATCTACTCTCTGCCTTCTCTCTGGCTGCCTCTCTAAGTGTATATCTGCATATCTAGGTGTGCACATACACACATACGATGCCGTCTCGGCCGACACGAATGAATCTTTGCGTCGCCGTCTGAGGCTTTTTGACCACTTTCAATTCGAATCTTTCCAGTTTGTTTCTTCTTCTGCTGCTGCTGCTGCTGTGCTTGCAGGTCGCGTGTTTCCAGGTGTCTGTATTCGCCTCGTGACATCGTCTTTTTATCAGAACTGCTTGCGAGTCTTTGACCTCCCCGAGATGCAGACGGCCCCTCTCGATAAACTCTACATCACCGTTGCTCATCTGACAAAGAGGCTAAATGCCATTGCACAGGCAGCCAATCCTATGTCTCCCACGGGAAGCCAGCGAAATACAGCCATACCACAACGGACAGACAGGCACAATACGATACAAGGTGCAGCAGCAGACACACTTTCCTCAAAGACGTTTCGTGTCTTGCTGCCCCTCTTTTGCGTCTCTCCGCCTGAATGCTGCAGTGTAGATGCTGTAGCAGGGATGCTGGAGTATCTATACATGTATGTATATAGGTGCTGGAGTATCTATACATGTATGTGTAGGTGCTGGAGTATCTATACATGTATGTGTAGGTGCTGGAGTATCTATACATGTATGTATAGGTGCTGGAGTATCTATACATGTATGTATATAGGTGCTGGAGTATCTATACATGTATGTATATAGGTGCTGGAGTATCTATACATGTATGTGTAGGTGCTGGAGTATCTATACATGTATGTATATGTAATACATATGTATATATACATATATATGTATATTACGAAATAGTAATTGTTTATTGCCGTTCATGTGCCGCAGAATGCATGCGAACGGGATCTCTAACCCCATCGCAGCTGCTACTTTTGACTGTACAGCCACCTCCCATGTCTGCCCTTGCTGCAGCGCAGGTAATATGGGTGTGCGTTTCGCGTCTGTACAGAGCCATTGTGTGGAGGCTTTAGTCCTGGGAAAGGGGGGAGGTGTTTTTGCTGCAACATCTGCAACATCCACAGCAATATCCGCTGCAGCAGCAATCGCCACGTGCTGCGCATTACATGCTCACCTGCCCGCTGGTGTCTTTGTGTTCACCAACTACGTACAATCCACAAGGCCTTTTTGCCTTTGTGTGTGCGTATATGTGAAATGTATCTTTTATGTAGTGTGCCTCTCGCTTGTGCAGGATGGCTTGCGCGAGCAAGGAGCTCTCGATTCGAATGGCGAGATCACACGACTGGGTTATCTGATGATGCAGCTGCCTATCGACGTGCGCCTATGCAAGTGCGTGTATAGACGTACTTCTCTGCACCATCGGGGGAGGAAGGTATCCCTTGCTTGCATCTTTCTTGCTGTCTTCAATGGAGTTTCGAGACTGCGCCCTCTATTTGCCCTTCCACTCCTCACACACAGAAGCCACGCATCACCTCGCATCACGCTTTCGCCCTTATGTCGTCCATATTTTTCGCATACTAGGCCTAGAATAAATATGTGTATATACGTGCATACATCTACATGCAAGTGCCTTTCCCCGTGTTTTGCGTATGATGTGTTTTGTAACTGTTTGCGTAGGCTGGTATTCTTGGGAATCGTCTTTGGCTGCCCTCTGGACGCCGTCGTGATGGCTAGCTGCCTGTCGAGCACAGATCTCTTTGCCTTCCCCGCATTGATGCTGCTGCAGAGACACTCCAAAGCCTCAGCAGGGCTCGAAGCTGCGCTGCAGCTGCAGCAGCAACTCAAGACACGAGCACTTTTCGATGGGGGACAGTTTTCAGAGCCATTAATGCTCAGGTAAGACGTTTGTACACGCCCTGGTTCAGTGGTAAAGTGGAGAAAGAGATAGATGGAGAGAGATAGAGATATATATATACTTACAGAGAAAGAGATAGATATATATATATACATACATACAGAGAAAGAGATAGAGAGAGAGGGAGAGAGAAAGAGATAGAGAGAGAGATACAGAGAGATGGAGATGGAGATACAGAGAAAGAGATTGAGAGAGGGAGAGAGAGAGAGATACAGAGATAGAGAGAGATGGAGATACAGAGAAAGAGATTGAGAGAGGGAGATAGAGAGAGAGATGGGGATAGAGAGAGAAAGAGAAATAGATATGCAGAGAAAGAGATAGAAAGAGAGAGATACAGAGATAGAGAGAGGGAGAGGGAAAGAGAGTAAGACAGCTGAAGGGAGAGAGGGAGAGGCGGCCTTTCCTCTGGATGCAGATATCTTACGTTTTTTTTGTCTGCACGCGAATACTTTGTCTGCAACCTTTTGCTGAGTTCTCATTTTGCGCTTGCTGGAGTGCTGCTTTTCTCTTGGTGCAGCCCTTCTTCTCCCCCCTCTTTCCTTCCTTCTTGCTCCTCCTGAATTCTCGCCACTTCACCTTGCACATGTTTTTGCCAGTTTTGCGAGGCCTCTTTTTGTGTGTCTGATGTCGCCTCAAGTGCTTGGTTTCAAGGGCTTCTGGCACGCCGTATCTTGTCTGCATGTGACATTTATTTTATCCTTCCCCCGTTGCGCTTCCCCTTTCAAAGAGACGCCTCTACTTCAACGGGGGGTGAAAGGAAAACAGAAGAAAGCCTGGCCTTATATTGCAGCAGCCCCTTTCAAGACGGCGCATCCTGCATGCATACATTAGCTGCATTACCCGTATGCATGCATGCATTGCTTGCATTGTTTGCCTGCCTGTGGGTGCTTGTTAGGAACTGTTTTGTGGAATTTTTGCTTCATTTTGCGGCTTCGACCGCAGAGTTGCGTGGGCGGCTCGCCAGGCAAGCGGCTCCAAGTCGCTCGCGTCGCTTAGAACTCAATATGAAGGTGAGAAGGATGGTGTTTTTCTTTTTCTCCGCGAGGAGCATAGCAGGCGGGAGGGAGAAGGGGGATGAAGGGACGGAAGAACGGACAGACAGAGAGACAGAGACAGACAGACAGACAGACAGACAGCTAGCCGGCTAGCTAGCTGCTTCTCTAGCCTTTGCGCTGTCGTCTCTTTCCGCCGCAGTGTCAAGGCAGCGCACTCGCAAGGTTTGCCATTGCCTGCCCCGTGTGCCGAGAGAGGCGGAACCCAGTGATTTTTCGCTGTGCTGTCGATACACCCCATGCATGCGCTTGTTTCTTCAGGTAGAATACAACAGAGCAGCCCGCGAGTTTGGACGCATTCATGCGGTCTTGCCAAAGCGGCTGGTGCAAACTACGCTGCTTTGTTGCGATCTCTGTCAGCGGGTTATAAAGCTGCTCGATGCATGTGCGTCTAAAGAGGTTCCTCCTTCCCTAGTCCCCAACATTTGTAGCGCGTTTCCAACGTTTTGTAGCACCCTAAACAAACACAGAGAGAGAGAGAGAAAACGTGATAGAGAGATACAAGAGAGAAGAGAGAGAAATAAATATATATATATAATTATATATGTACATGTATGTGCATATACACATTTATACACATGGGGCATATATACATGTATGTATACATATAGGTTATCTACAGATACATATATACATATGTATCTAAACATATACTTATATATATATATATATATATATATATATATATAGATATATATATATTCCTATGTATTTACACCGCCACACTACTCTGTGGATGCTGCTGCGGCGCGCAGCTTCGGCAGCCTACAAGAACCTGCAATTTCTGCTTAAATTGTTGCAAGACGGTAGTATTTTTACACCGCATCTGCAGCAACAGTCCCAAGGAAGAGCTGCTGGAGACACGCAACTGCAGAAACAACCACACCAGCAGCAGCAGCAACCGCAGCAGCAGGAATATGCACTGCAACACACACTACAGACTCAGCTGCAACAAACAGAAACAACAGACTTCACGAGTGGTGTGTCTTATGACCCAGCAGCAGCAGCAGCGGCAGTTGAAGCGCGCTTCTCCTCTGACGCACTGCTGCTCAAAACTCTCCTGGCAGCGTCATTCTCTCCCTCATTCATGCTTGGCAAGGTAAAAAATTGCATTGACGGCCAGCAGCTCTCCGAGATGCCGACAAAGGCGGATTCTGAAGCTCCCGAAGGTTCAACGGCTGTCTTTAGCTGTACGTTCAAACTCCTTTCCTGCCTTCCTTTCGTTGCTGCTGGTGGAGCTATTCATGTACGCTTTCAGCGGCTGAGCAAGTGTACACCCCGGTGCTCCAGTGTCGTTTTTGCGCTGTCTCTACAGTGCCATTTGCGTGGGAGAATCCTCACGGTTGTTCGCTTTCTTTTTGTTTCTCTGAGGGGTTACACGGTTCTGCTGCGTCTGCGCACATGCCATGCTCCATTATCATCAGATAGGTGTCTATGGATGTAAGCGTTCATGAGTACGCGTGTATGTATGTAGGTTTGTATGTAGTATGTCTGTTGTATGCGTGTATAAATGTGTATATGTATGTATATATATATGTATGTATGTATATGTATGCACATGTAAGTGTATGCATGTATGTGTATGACTGTGATGGATTCTTATTCCTGGGGTATGCGCGTGTCTCGTGTTGTCAGCCTCGGATCGTCATTTTCAGTGGCTACAGTCTCTCTCTTTCTCTTTCTTTGTCTCTCTGTCTGTCTTTGTGTCTCACTCTCTCTGTCTCTCATTGTGTCTCACTCTCTCTCTCTGTCTGTCTCCCTGTCTCTGTAAGAATCTGCTCTCTCTCCTCTGTGTGACATGCCTCTCTGCTCTGCTCTCTCTGTGTGTTCGTATATGTATGTTCGTGTGTATGTGTATGTGTGTTCGTATATGTATGTTCGTGTGTATGTGTATGTGTGTTCGTATATGTATGTTCGTGTGTATGTGTATGTGTGTTCGTATATGCATGTTCGTGTGTATGTACGTGTGCATGTGTATGTATATTTGTACGTGCCTTAGGGCTGGTGGATCGCGGCGTTGATCTCTCGCGTTGTCTCTTTTTCAACAAGACGTCCAGCCTTGAGAAGGTGTCTCAGATTCATGCCGCCCTTGCGGCTGTGTTGCCAGGAGTTGACTTTGTGTTGCTTTTTACCGGAGATCCTAGTTCTCCGTATCTTTGCATAAAGGCTTCTTCAGCTGCAGCGGCAGAGGATCCTGCAGTGGCTGCGCTCGCGTCGCACCGACCCCCGGAGTGTCTGTACTCCAGCCTCATTTTGTATTTGCCTCCAACACCTCGGAACGAATGTTTTCACTTCGACCATCGCGCAGCTGCAGTCGCTGCCGTGGAGTACAAGCAGCAGCTGCGAACACCCCCGACAGCAGCTGCAGTGGTGAAGCAGCAGCAGCAGCGGCAGAAACGGATCGAGCAGCTGCGCAGTGCGCGCTTCCAGCGACGTGGAGGCGAAAGCGGAGATGATGACAGAAGAAATGCGGCTGATGAACGCCTTGACGATGCAGGGGGCTGCGGGTGTATCGACATCGGCGTGCCTTCTCTTCACGACGTCTCGGACCTTAAACAAATCAACGAACGTGTCGCACAAGCTGAACAAATTCGAGGAAGGCATATCCAGCCGTGCAGACTCTTCTCTTCCCTCCCCGCATGCGCGCAGCTGATCAATCAATTCGCATGCGGACGCTGGAAGTTCACGTTGCCACTTCCCAAACCGCAAACGCAAACAGATGTGGATGCTGTCGATCTCTTCAGAAGGTATGATAGGCACCTCCTTGTTGCGCACGTTGGAGGAGGCGGAAAGAGGGAGGAAATGGGGGAAAGCACACTTCTCGTTATAAGAACACGCTGGAGTCGCGGATATGCGCAGCGAGAGAGGGGGATGATAGAGGGAAATCAAGGGGCGACGTACAGCGTCTCTAGAAAGTTTTAAGTAAAAGTTTTGTAAACGGTCTTTGAAAAAACAAGTCCTTTAAGGGTGTCGCAAAACAAAGCATCGCAGAAACAAACATCTCCCAAAAATATCGAATGAAAATTGGATTTGTGGAGTGGTGATGTACTTACGCGTGCTGCTGTGGAATCGCTTTCTTGCTTTTCAAGGGCACACATGTGTGCTGCACGCATGCCTCACGTGTTTAGCAATTTCTTTCGATGGGGGATCTCTGTCCTCGAGCTGCTTCTGCAGATTTCATTTTTTTCGCGTGTTCACGTGTGCATGTGCTACCAATACTGCTGCTACCATTACTGCTACTGCTGCTACTCTTACTGCTACTACTGCTGCTACTCTTACTGCTACTACTACTGCTACTCTTACTGCTAACACTACTGCACCTCTTACTGCTACTACTACTGCTACTCTTACTGCTAACACTACTGCACCTCTTACTGCTAATACTACTGCTGCTCTTACTGCTACTACTACTGCACCTCTTACTGCTAATACTACTGCACCTCTTACTGCTACTGCTGCTATCTCGTTCCCCGATACATCTACCTGAGAATTCTTTTCGACGAGGGTGTTAGTTGCTGCTTCCATGACGGATTTGTACGCTACGGGTGCCTCTTGGATTGCTCCGTCTTCGGGTGGCGCCCTCGCGTCTTTCGCGTTCTTTTTTACTGTTTTGCGCCTTGTGATGATTGACACGATGCGATTTTTCGCTGAATGCTGCCGCAGCGGCTCCTCCGTTCCTACAATGTTCGAAGTCATGCGGCCTATGTCGCCCTTTGGAGTCACTTGGTATTTTGTCGGTCCGCAAGAGTCGGTATCTGGCAACAGCGGCGCTGCGGCGGGAAAGTCAGGGAAGGCAGTCAAAGTTCAGGGAATCCTCAGCTACAGAAGCCCTATGGGAGTTCTCAGTGTATGTCCAGAGGCAGTCAAAACAAGTGCAGGAAGATCGAGAGTGTTCAAGCAAGTAGGCATTTCAATTTCATCGGCGTTTGTGGGGGAAGCTCTGGAGTACGGCGCTGTCTTGCCTCGACGAGCATCCGGACGGCGGTTCTTGAGAAGGGTGTCTCTTGTCTTCTTTCATGAGCGATTTGAATTTCATACGCAATGGCGTCTTTTTTTCAGAAAAAAAAGGAAAAGTGCAGGAATTTTGACGCGCTATGCAGCGAATCCCCGCTTTTTTACGGCCTTCTCTGTAGAGTTGAATGGGGGAGACGGCTAGGGAACCCTTGTTGTCTGTTGCCTGTCTTTATGGGAGAATCTTTTGTTCACAAAGGTATATGTTTGTGTCTTTGTATGTGCATGTATGATGTGTGGGTGTTTGTACGTACGTCTGTTTGTACATGTGGTTTCGTGAATGTACGTATACACATGTATGTAGCGTGTATGTAATGCGTCTAGCTACGGTTGTCTCGATACGTCTGTATATTTGTCTGTATATTTGCATGCATGTATGTATGTATGTATGTATGTCAGTATATTTGTATGTATGTCAGTATATTTGTATGTATGTATGTATGTATGTATGTCGGTATATGTGTATGCATGTATGTATGTCAGTATATTTGCATGCATGTCAGTCTGCATGCAAGTCTGTTTTTTTAATATTTTCCTTTTGCGAGTGTGTGTGTGTGTGTCTTTCGTGTGACTATGCCTTGCAGCCTGGGGAGATATACGCGGTGGCTGTAGCGCAGCAGAACAAAGAAAGCATTTCGCAGGCATGGGCAGAAGGTGCCACACTTCTCCCGCAGAGAGAAGCTGCCTTGTTGATGCTTGCGTTTTTGCCAGGAAGCTCGCAAGTTGAGCTCACAGTCAAGGCTTCCGTGGACGCTCCCGTCGCTATAACGAGGTACCCCTGAACATCGAGCAAGATAATTTTTCTAAAACTTTTTCCAGTGCAGATAGAGAGACTGCAGCGCGTGTAGAACCTGACGACGCCTTAAAGCCGCATTCGTTTTGTGACCAACCAGCTCCCTCTACTTGTCTTAAAATTCCCTTTCCTCGTCTTCGCCGCGTCTTCCTGCTTCTCTCTTTCACCCTCCCTCCGAAGGCTTTAAAGAAACGATGATTCTTGAGCGGAGCATGAGTGAGCGGTCCATAGGATCGGTCTGCACATCTCAGCTCGCAGCTACGAGGCGTGTGGTGTGCTGCAGCGTGGAGATGCTGGAAGGCATGCGGCTGTCACAGGCAGCACACTCCCCCATCCTGACTCTCTCAGACTTGCTGCGCATCAACATCCTACGCCACTTGCTGTCAAAAGCCTTACAGGGAGATCCTCAGACAGCTGCTGCAGCAGCTGCTTTGCAGCAGTGCCACCGTTCAGGTTCAAGAAAGCATCCTGTAGATGCTCTGCTAGAAGGAGATGGGCATGGCGAGCTGCAAGCGGCATTGCAACAGGTTATCACATGTTGCAACGAACCTGTGACTCCTGCGCAAGTGTTGGATCATTTGGTCAGAGGTGGTGAGCAGCACTTTTTTTCACGCCAGTGTGCATCCGTTTAGCCTTTCTAGAACTAATTCTCCCCACGACATCTCACACCCCTTGAATCACACGCCGCTCAGCTCGTCATGTATGGACGCGTCTGTCTCATGACAAGCCTGCGACAAGACGCTTCGCGCATGCCACCCAGACACAGCCCTCTCTCTAAATGCATCCCTCGTCTAAGTGCTCTCCTCTCTATCTGTCTCCTCCATTTCCTCTATCTCCTCTATCTGTCTCTCTCTCCTCCATTTCCTCTATTTCCTCTATCTATCTCTATCTCCTCTATCTCTATCTGTCTCTCCCTTTCTCATCTCTCTATCGCCTCTCTCTATCTCATCTCTCTATCGCCTCTCTCTATCGCCTCTCCCTATCTCATCTCTCTATCGCCTCTCTCTATCTCATCTCTCTATCTCCTCTATCTCTATCTCCTCTATCTCTATCTGTCTCTATCTCATCTCTCTATCGCCTCTCTCTATCTCTATCTCCTCTATCTTTATCTCCTCTATCTCCATCTGTCTCTCTCTGTGTGTGGATCTCAGGAGCTGCTCCTGACCAACGCATTCAGCTGCTTTTCTACCGGGGTTTGCCGCTTTTCCGAGAAAACTCTCGACAGCGCAGCGGGGGCAAAAAGGGATCAGACAGCTCTCTGACATGCACCGTGCCTGCATTCGAACAACCGCACCAGAATGAACCTGCTTGCTTACCCCCATACAACATAATATCCATCGCTCAACACTACGATCGTCTCCTGCAAGTGCGTAGGCTGGATCCTGGCGTAGCAACAGCGTGCGCTGCTCGGTGACAGTCCGCTGTTTTCATAGGCTACATCATTTATCGCGAGATTTCTCGCCACTGGCACCACGCGGCTTGCCCAGCGCGCTCCGCTAGCTAGCTAGCTGTAGATGTAGCTGGTTCGGTGTGTGTTTGAGGTGCCGATGTGTGTTTGTGGTGGAGGTGGGTGTGCATCAGAGGGGGTTTGTGTATGTGTGTTTGTATGTGTACGTGTGTATGTATGTGTCTGTGTGCCCTTGTGTGTGTATGGGATTTATGTCCATGTGATAAATGCGTATGGGATTTATGTGTATCTGTGCATCTGTCTTTGTGTGTTTTCGCGCGTCTGGTAGAACGGCTGCTGCGCGTGCTCCACTCTACGACCTTTTTCCTTCTGCCTTAGCCCAGGAGCCGTAGAACCTTTCTCTTGCAGTGGCTGCCCACTTTTTCTGTTGTTTTTGCATTGTGTATGTTTTACGTCTTCAGGAGCATCACCGACGAGCGAGTGAGCCGCGGAAGAAGCAGCAGCAGCAACAACAGACGTCGCGGCGAGGCACAAAGCAGCAGAGCAGGCAGAAGGGGCACAACGCGAATGTGAAGAGTTCGAAGCGAAGCTCGCAGATCAATGCGCCAAAGCAGCACTCGTCGGAGGTTCTCTGTCAGCAGCAGCAGCAGCAGCAGCAGCAGCAGCAGCAGAAGCAGCAGCGGAACGCAACTAGACGGCGGGGCAAAGAAGCCACTGCACAGACACAGTCTGCGGGGGGGGGAAGGGTGCAGCAACAGCAGCAGCAGCAGCAGCAACAGCAGCAGCAGCAGCAGCAACAGCAGCAGCAGCAGCAGCAGCAGCATCATATTCCCCTTGGTCCTCCCCACCAACAGAGCGAGCAACATTATCAGCACGGCTTGCAAGTACGCGGCGCGCACCCACCCCTCGATGGCATGCATGCAGCTGCCTTTGGAGGTGTGGGGATGGGAGGTGTAGGATGCGCTGGCGATGTTGCACAAAGTGGACAGCCTGCTGGAAAAAATCAGCGGGGAGTCTCTGTGATTTCTCAGCGTAAGTCAGCTTGCGGCAGCTTATGTAAGACGTCTGCTCACGTAGCCTCGCTAGACGCAGGCAAGGCACACACACGCCTCCTGCTTCATTGGCTTGTGCCTTGGAGGCGCTGCAGCAAGAGCGACGTGCACACACTTACGGAGAGACACACTTACAGAGAGACACACGTATAGAGGGATACATTCATAATACCTATACACTTACAGATAAATTGATAATACCTACACAAATACACATACATAATACTTATACACATACATAATACTTATACACTTACAGATAAATTGATAATACCGACACAAATACACATACATAATACTTATACACTTACAGATAAATTGATAATACCTACACAAATACACATACATAATACTTATACACATTCATAATACCTATACACTTACATAATACCTATACACTTACAGATAAATTGATAATACCTATACACATACACACACCTAAACACACAGAGGGCAACAGCAGGAGCTGTTGCTGCTCGAAAGCGTTTGAGCTTCTGTTCTAGGAGGGGTTGTGCAGTGTCTACAAAATATCTTTCTGCGCTCGTATGTGCAATGTACCGACGGCATGCGTGCAGCTCTGAGCGACAGCGATCGCTCTTGGAATTTCGGGGGTGGCATTCAGTCTGTGGCTTCACCGCAGCGTCTTGTGTAAGTCCAGTGTTGTTTTTAAAGAAGCGCACTGTACTCTGTTCTGTGCTGTCTGCTGCACGAGTTTCTCTTTGTCTCTGTCTGTCTGTCTGTCTGTCTGTCTCGCTCTCTCTCTGTCTCTCTCTGTCTGTCTGTCTGTCTCGCTCTCTCTCTCTGTCTGTCTCTCTTTGTGCGCGCTTGCTCTTCGGTTGCTGTTTGTTGCTGTTTGTTGCTGCTGCTATGCTTGTTTACATGCCGCTGTTAGAGAGGGTATTTATCTGTATTGAGTGTGCGCTCCTTGCGAGGAGCAGCGAAAAGGGCAAGCAAGGCTTTCTCTCTCTCTCTCTGGCTACCACCGTAGCAGCTTTACGGGGGAAGCGAATTTGAGTGCAAGGGGGTGCAGTGATGCGTAGTAGGCGCTGCCTTGCATAGGCAAGTAGTGCCATTATTGGGGGATTGAAGAAGGGGGGGGATAGTGTGTGTGTGTGTGTGTTTCTGGGGGGAAGGGGGTGTGTGTGTGCGTGTGTGGAAGGGAGGCTGGGTTCGGTCGTCTTTGAGGGACGTTTCTTGAGATGGTGCTTTGGAATAAACCTGTCTGTCTGTGTCTGTCTATGTCTGTGTATCTGTATGTCTGTATCTGTGTGTGCACGTGTGCAGACGATTGGAGCACATGCAAAATCCGAGAATGAGCATTGGGCAAAGTGCAAGCTTGCCGGCGTACAGTCATCAGCAGCAGCTTTCAGTGCAGCAGCGATATGCCGCTGCAGGAGTTAACGCGGTGGCTGCTACCCCTGCGCTTTTGCAGCAGCAGCAGCAGGCGGCGCACTATCACCTTGTACAGTACCGCCAGCAGCCGCAGCAGCTGCAGCAGCAGCATGCGTATGCCTTCAACCCGTATGCGCTGCAGCAAGCAACAGGCTTGCAGCAGTCCTACCTGGAAACCTCCGGCCTGCCGCGGCAGCAGCAGCATCTTGCGCTAAATGCTGTTGCTGGAGGCGTGTCTCTTCAGCAGCTCCAGCAGCTGCATTTGAGCATGGGTGCGGGAGGAGCACAACCGTCTCATGTGCAGGCAGCCGCGTTCAGAGGATCGTCTGCTGCCTTGCTGCAACAGCACCTGGCCGGCTCGCCAAGCCACGGAGGGAATGGGGAAGCTCCCCACAGTGTATTTGGAGCGTACAGTGGCAGCAGCAGGGGGTAAATCGAAGTGCTGCAAGACTCTTCTCCTTCTCCCACTACTGAACGTGCTCTATCTACCATACATTAGGCCGTGCGTCGCTGGAGAGGAGGCTCGGGGAAGTTCTCCCCTAGAGACAGACAGCAACGCCACGTTGAACATATATTGTCGTGTGATGATTTTGCGTTGCCACTCCTCCCCGAAGCGGCTGCGGAGATGTAATGCAGGCTGCAGCAGTGCGCTCGACTGCTAGGGAGCAGCTAGCTAGCAGCTAGCTAGAGCTGCAAGGATTGCAGCAACAGCTCTAGGCCCCTACCGCCGCCTCCCCCCTTTCTCCCTTAAGGGCCTTTGCAAATCTTCCTTGTGGTCACAATCGGACGCCTTTTCCTCTGTAGAGTTTATGCGTTGCTTCTGCGCGATTACCTTTTTTTTGCTGCCACGACAAATGACGGAGACGTCTGCACGCGCAAATCCAATTAGATGTGGGTGGTTAGAAAAATTCAATTAGATGTGGGTGGTTTAAAAAATTCAATTAGATGTGGGTGGTTAGAAAAATTCAATTAGATGTGGGTGGTTAGAAAAATTCAATTAGATGTGGGTGGTTAGAAAAATTCAATTAGATGTGGGTGGTTAGAAAAATTCAATTAGATGTGGGTGGTTTAAAAAATTCAATTAGATGTGGGTGGTTTAAAAAATTCAATTAGATGTGGGTGGTTTAAAAAATTCAATTAGATGTGGGTGGTTAGAAAAATTCAATTAGATGGTGGTTAGAAAAATTCAATTAGATGTGGGTGGTTCCCTCTTGAGGCTCTCTTAGAGGGTCTCAAGAGGGGAGGGGGGATTGAAGCGATAGAGACGTTGGGCTGCACATAATATATATATTTATTATATATTTGCACTGAAATATACATATATATATATATTATTTATAAATATTTATTTAGCTGCGTAGCTTGAGGGGAAGGGGCGTCAGTACAGGCCAAGGGAGGGTGGGTAGGTTTCTGAAGAAGGCTTAAGAAAAAGAATATACATATAGAGATAGAGGCTTACAAAGCAAGGCTTGCCTGCTTCCTACACCGCTATTTACGCGCTAGTTAGCTAGTGAGTAACTGAGTGAGTTTTGTCTGATGCGTGATAATATTTGCTGATGCAGTGGCTGCATCGCGCTGCTAAGGAATGCATATTCTCTGCAAACGGATGAGCGGCACACCGCGAAGGTATATATAGACGCTGAGAAGGGCTGATGATACGGAGGATGGTCCCCCTTTTGGCAGTGTGCAGACTCAGTGGAAAAATCGCCATTTCTTCCTTTCTACGGCGAGAATGGCAGCCGATTCAATGCGGAACGCAGGCATAATACACCAGTGAACGCTTGTCTTTTTTTTGAGGTGTCTGACTACTCATTCGTTTCTTCGCAGTCAGTCTAGGGGAATCGATCGTGCATTCCACCTGGCTTTTTTTAACGGAAAATGCGCCTGTTCTATTTCTGGATTCGGAGCATTTCTTGAACAAAGCCCCGATACTTAGCGCGCAGACTCCCCCGCCTAGGCGTATCCCTGCCCTCTCTGCTTGCTCGTTGTGTGTCGCTTTTGTTTGTCTTCCAACTGTTCATTGGGCGCTGCTTCTGAGGATTGTATCGAAGGAATCGCGTCCTATAGGGATATACAAGGGTGGACTGGGAAAGTCAGTCAACCTGCGAGATGGCGTGGTGCCTGCTGCAACTGCAGATAGAGACGCTGACCCCCCAGAGAACGTGCAGACGCATGCGACAGGAAAGGAAATACTGGCTGCTGCGGCAGCTGTGGGTTGCCGGGGAGGGCGTAAGATCGCATGTAGAGATACGCCGTTCGTCAAAACTTCGAGCGAAATTCTGCGGCAACACTTAAAAACCCCCAGCCCTCTACGGCATGTGTCCTAGATGCAACACAATGTTGTGAAAGAGCATTCAGAAGAAACATGGCTCCTTTTACTGCCCTAAATGAGGTGTCTAGACACCGACCTAAAACGCCTACTCCACACGCAGCCTGCGCGAGCTCCCCCTGGCTGCCGCACGAGGCTTCTTCAAAGATAGGATAGGGTGTACGCTACGAGATGCTCAAGAACCACGAGAGGGGTAAGGGGGAGGGAAAGTGCTGCCGCTGCAGCTTCTAAGCGTAGAAGATCACGCAAGCGACTCCGAGCAGCTTTTTGCGAGCCGGTAGCTCGCTCTCTGCATTGCGAGCCGACAGACACACACGCCAGTTTCACTGGGGATTTAAACTGCCAAAAAAGAGGGGATATATACACATTCGTGCAAAAATCCCTCATGCCAGAGAGGGTATTGCGGGCACCAACACCAGCCTCGCCGCGCAAGGCTGCAGCACAAAGGGCCGTTCTTGCAACATCTCGTGGGATCGCGAGACTAACGGGCAAGTCCTACAGCCATGATGTTAGCGACAGTGGCAAAGATGTGTTGGGAGTGGGTAGCTGGCGCTAAAGCAAGGAGCCTTCTACATGCCTGTGTTCGTCGTTTCCCTCGAGGTGCATGCGCATGCAGCATTGTGGGGTGGCTTAAGGCGGGTTGTGCCTCGCTGCTGTTTTTGCTGCGCCTGCAAGGGACTCACTGCCACTCCTATTCCCGCTATCGCCCCCCCCTGTCTGTTGTGGCTTCTGCTGCGATTGGTGCTGCTGCTCCTGCTTTTGCTGCAGCTCCTTTTGCTGCTTCAGCTGCAGTTCCTGTACCACCTGCTCGTCTGCCTCGCGCCAAGCTCTCGCCATCTCCAAAGCCTGCTTGCTGTCATCTCGGCAAAACAAAAAGAAACCCTGCAACTCTGCCATGCCTGGTGAAGCACGTGCAACAGAAGCAGCACACCACAGAAAAGGCGGAAAAGACGCATTAGAGCGGCAAAACACCAGCAGGCACTGACTGCGAAGGAGGCCTACGCGAGGCGAAGCACGTGACCATCTGTTTTCCCACGCATCAAAAAGCGGCGTGCATAGATGCGCATATAAGCTATATATGTGTACATATATATGTATATATATATGGACAGCCAATCATAACGGCATTGCCACGTGCTTAATCGGACGAACACACATGCATAAATCTGCTAATCCGTCAAAACGGGATGCCTCTATATCCAAACACTTGTTAGGATCGCGGTCTTCGTTTGAGAATAAATAAAGAAATAAATATGTATACATGTATATTCAAAGGTGCGTTATCGTGGGGAGTGGGCACAGTGAATTTACGCGCACATATAAATGGGCATGCAATACATATATATATATATATATATATATATATATATATATATATAGACACATATGAACATATATACACGTACATGTACATACATGCATATATATATATATATCCATCATGCAGATGTCATGATGGGTAATGGTAAAAATCAACGCAGTTAAGTCTTGAATGCGTATACATCAATATGTGTGTACACGAATCGACTCGGCCCCTTTCGACTATTTTGCCTAGGAAAAGATGGACATACTGACACATTATATCTCCACGCTCCATAGAAGCGCACGTGCCAGCTAAGAATCTGCAATGACGTATGTGCATACACCCTGCCCCGTATGCGAGGCTTCTGCCACGAAGACTCGTGGGAGAAGCCTTGAGCGCAGCGAGGAGGAGGAGCTCACTGATTTGGAGTGGCGAAAGAATATTAATAAATTCATCGGCAGCCTCAGCGCTTGCATCCGGTAAAAATCGAAGAAACTGCAGACAAGCAAAGACAGGAAGAACTATCACACTGCACTCCCGCGGACGGACGATCCTGAATCCCTTTCGAGTATTTCGGTACACAGCCGCGAAGCGCCAAGAACCAGCTCAAGAAGCATTACCCTCGACTCTAGATTTCACAATAAAGACGCATTACCCGTAGCAGTGCAGACAGAGGCGCTGCGATGGAGAGGTGCAACGCACTCGAAAGCTCCCAATAAGCGCTTACTTGCTGCCTCAGCTGTGCAGGGGTGGCGTAGCCAATGCGCACTTTCAAGTCTACACGACCAGGACGAATTAGCGAAGTGGGAAGCCTGGAGGGAGGGGGAAGAAAGCAAAGAGAATCGGGCACAATAAGACGGCTAAGACACAGAGGTTGCGTCACGTTGAAGGCAAGAGCTGTACGGCAACGCCACGGCAACGCTACGGCAACGCTCTCTGGCAGGCTGAAACTTGAACGCATGCGGTGCCCGCTACTAGCAGTGCAACTGACAGCCGCTACAGCAGGAAAATCTGGGGAAAGCTGCTCTCAAGAGAAAGAAGCACTTTACAAACAGACAGCCGCAAGCAAGTAGGAAGCTTCTGTACACATTCCTATGGGCCCTGCTTTTTGGCAAGTATCACCGGCGAGACACAGAGAGCAGGAGACAACACAAGTATCATTAGAAACGTTGATCGAGCAACTCCAAGAAAAACACACACACGCACGCACATCCAGCACATTGCTCTTAGCACGCCATGGCGAATGCAGAAGGCAGCCTGGAAGAGAAGGGCACCTCTTGTCATGCCCAAGAGTGGCAAGCCGCTTGATTGACGGTACTGCTTTGTGCATAGTGTAAATTGTGTTCAACCGCACCGCTCTGGCTGGTTTGTCGTGAGGAAGATGATCCTCTCTTCTGTTGCTACCACCTAAACAGTGCAGCAGGCGCGCATCGTGCAACGGAAACTCATGAGACGTCAGGATGTCTTTTCTCAGCTGCACGATCTGGGAGCGCACTGACTACGGGGGGACTAGCGGCAAGCAAGCAGGCAAGCAGGCAGGTAGGTAGGTAGGTAGGTAGGCACAAGAACGCTGTGCTAGCTCTCAAGGGGAAAGGAACGGCATCTAAGGAGGTACAGCCGCAGCCAGCCTCAACACGTGCTGCCGCCTCTACAAGCATTCACCCCATCGAGTGCGTTCAACAGTCCGCTGTACGTGATGCTCCTTGCGCCGTAAGGGTTGACAGTGAGTTGTGTCAGAAGAGGCCCCTCCCCCACACTGGAGAGTTCCTTGTTGCCTTCTGCAGACTCCGACTGGCGAATCGCGCTGTCGATGTCTTCCAGCAGCAAGAGCGAGCGAGGAGGCACCGTGCTGCAGGGAGCAGAGGGAGGAGAGGGGGGATTCGGGGAGAAATCGCAGCAAGAGCAGCAGCAGCACACACGGAGCAGCAGCAGGCAGCCAGCACCCAACTTGAATATCTGCCAACTCGCTTTCTCCGTACAGGATACGCATGAGCTTACTTTTGAATCCCACGCTGCAAAGAAGCAAAAACGCTAATTCTCACGCAGTCAGATGCACGGCCATACACTGATGATGACATGCACACTGATGATGACATGCACACTGATGATGACATGTACACTGATGATGACATGCACACTGATGATGACGTGTACTTGATGATGACATGCACACTGATGATGACATGCACACTGATGATGACATGCACACTGATTATGACATGTACACTGATGATGACATGTACACTGATGATGACATGTACACTGATGATGACATGAACACTGATGACGACATGTACACTGATGATGACATGCACACTGATGATGACACGTACGTGGAATATCTCCGCGTGGCAGCTGCTGCGGTGCTTACAAAGCCGCGATTCAAGCGCACTCAGCTAGCACGAAAGACGAGGTTGTGTGAGAGGAAGACGCGAGCAAACAAGCGGCAGGAGGCACTAGAAACCACGCGCGCGCACACACACACACACACGCGAGGGAAGGAAAGAAGCGGGAGGAAGGCTCACGCGAGGAGATATTGCAACCTGTCATCGGTCATGTGAGGATCCGCAACATTGAGCACGCAAATGTTGTATTTAAGCTCCCCCGCGAGAGCCATGACAAAGCTGCTTTTCCCGCATCCAGGAGGACCATGCAGCAGATAGCCTCGACGGTAAGGAATGCCACGTTTCAAGTACCATGAGGCGGATGCTAAGAAGCGGCGAACATCTGCAAGAATGCTCTCAGCTACGCCCTCTGCAGAACAGACACGAGGAAACCATGGAAAAACACGAGACTCTGCAGCAGTCAGCACCCACTGAACAGCCTCCTTACGGAAAGCAGCCTCGTAAGACAACGAAGAGCACAAAAAACGCAGCAGAAGGAGGGGAGAGAGAGCAGATACACCTCCCCTCAGACACCCCTTTCTCCCAATGCCCCCTGCCATAAACACACACCGAGCGGCCGACCTCCCGACCCCCCTCCAACGAGGCTTGCAGAGCGAAAAGTGACGCAAATGCGCACACGAAGGAGACACAGAGACCAAGAGAACAAGCTAATGCCGCAAGGAAAGACGGGGAATTGCCGCGCACAAACAACAAACGTACAAAGAGCGCAGCTGATGTGCGCATAAATATATATATATATATATATATATATATATATATATATATATATATATGCGCATGTGCAGAGACACACCCATATGTATATACACATGTACAGAGACACACCCATATAGATATATAAACATATGTACAGAGACACACCCATATAGATATATAAACATATGTACAGAGAGACACCCATATAGATATATAAACATATGTACAGAGACACACCCATATATAATATATATATACATGTACAGAGACACACCCATATGTATATTAACACATGTACAGAGACACACCCATATGTATGTTAACACATGTACAGAGACACATCCATATAGATATATACACATATGTACAGAGACACACCCATATATATATATATATATATATATATATATGTACATGTACAGAGACACATCCATATAGATATATACACATATGCACAGAGACACACCCATATATATATATATATATATATATATATATATATATGTACAGAGACACACCCACCATATGGAAAACCAAAGAAAGCAACTATATGTGGGCGCACATAAATCTGCATAGAGGAAGAGGGCACGTAGGCTGCCTTCGCATGACTTGCCTGCAAGGACGACAGACTCGAACGGTCGAAGCCTTTTCGGTTCACCGTATTTTCTCCATTCTTGCCCAGTGCTGCGCATGCGTCCATGGGCAGACAACGCACCGTCTACCCAGCGGGAAGCCAATGAAGCTTCTTTACCACGATGCACAGAAGGCCGTTTCCGAAGGATGGGCAGGGGGAGCACGCCACGAGAGGCAAAGAGACACCTCAGGCAAGTCTAACTGTACCTCCTGTAAATTACTGTCCTTCCCTCTTCGCGTTGCAGTGCCGCTTCACGCGCCTCGTTGAGCTGCAGACAGACGCGCAACACGCCGCAGAAAGAAGAGGGGAATCCGAGCAAACACAGCTGACGGCAGGAGGAGGCGAGGGGTAGAGGGAGTGGAGACAAAGGGACGCTGGCGAGTGAAAGGGCGCTTATGCTGTAGCAGCAGCACCTCAAGCATGCGAAACGGTTTTGCCTGTGCAGCGAGCTTCTCAAGTTCCCTACGATCCTGCCTTCTGCTGCCAATGTATAATATGCCAGGCAGGCGTTCACACGGCTACTGAAGATGGCAGGGGCTTGCTGAACACCCCTCCCTCCCTCCTCCCCCCACGCACCGCGAATGTGTTTTGCGCAGCCTCCTCAGTCGAGGGCTGCAGTTTCAGGCAAAAAATTTCGTGCGTTTTGCATGCTTACGAGCTCAGTGATGCGGTGCTTGTGAAGAGAGAGCGTAGTGAGGGTAAGCGTTTCCCAGGGAGATCCTGAGCTGAAATCAACGACTTCCCCAGAACGCTGTCGATCAATCCAAAGAAAGGCGTCCTTATACCGCAGAACATGCTGCCCTGTGCGCAGAGTGTGCATGCATGACTCGCAGCACGAGGAGGATGTGTGTGTGTGTGTGTGTGTGTGTGTGTGTGTGTGTGTGTGTGTGTGCAGAGGAGTAGGCAAGTTCAGCATTCTTGCTTGCTGGCTAGACAGCGACTTTGAGGCGGGCGCATTTGCTGCGTGCCAGCCTTGCATGCGGAAAGGTGATACAAGCGTGAGACGAGAGCAGCAAGACACAGAGAGAAGCGGCAGCAGCAAGTGGTCGTGTGGGGATTATAGCACCTGGACTAGGCACGAAGTTGAAGACGGCTTCCACATTCCCTGCTGCGTCTTTGGCATAGGTCGTTTCTACGCCTAGGTGCAGCGAGCAGTTGCCTCTGATCGCAAGCACAAGCGACAGGGCAGTCCATTGGTGTGGCAGAGGCTGCAGCAGCAATCGCTGTTTCAGGCGATGGCGTTCTGGATTTCAGCATGGCTTGGTGAAAAGTATCGCACGCGAGCGCAGCACCGTCTGCGCAGTCGTTAACAGAGCACTGACCTCGCAATAAGCCACTGCATTACCCACGGATATGCAGGATCTCTGATGGGAACCTCGAGCGAAGTGAGCAGCCGTCGTCTACCCATCACCTTGAGCCCGCGTACTGCCCCTCTGGCCAAAGAAGCCGCAGCACCTGCGATCACGGCATGGGAATACAGGATTTAGACTGTGTGTTTCGATCTGCCAGATGATTTGCTTGAGGGGCAAGAACGAGGGGAAAGAGCAGGAGAAGCGCGAACCGCGGCTATATATACATATATACACACGGGGAGCAACGGCCAAGGCAGAACGAGGCAGTTCTTGTGCAGCCGTAGTTGTGCCCAAACAGCGCCAGACAAGGCTATGGATGCGCCGCTGCATGCATGCCCGTCTGGACGTACCCAAGCCAGCGAGGCCAAAGCCAGCACAAAAATAAGGATTGTTGCTGAGAAAATCGGGGACCAGCCGCTGCACGAAAGAGGGAAGGGGGGGAGATCCTGAGGAGCCACCAGTTGCCACTTGGAGGGCTGCACTGGCAGCCTTTGTTTCCGGATCCATGGCCGCTCTCAAATAGGTGCCTTCCTGGTGCGCCTTTCGCGAGGGTTTGCCTCGGGGAGTTCAGAAAATAGGGCTAGGCCAGATCTTGGTCACCTTCTATTCGTGTCACCTTCCCCGCATGGAGCAGCAGCTATGAGCTCCGAGCATTGCTTTTGGGTAGCTTTCTTTAATGAGGCGCACAAGGCTCGCAGGGGGTGGGAATTCAAGAAGGCAGAGACCCCTTAGAGCATCGCAGCCGACGGGGCAGAGGATCGCGCGACGGACGCGCACTCACAGAAGGCTACCCAAACCCCTCCGTGGAAGCCACTGAAGGGATATTTCATGAAAGAAAGAGCACTTGCAAGTTTACAAGATGAACAAAAAGGGATCATATTTCAGGACACCTGAAAATTCCCATGGAAGCCGTGGGGCTGCATTCTCAAAGGGCAAACAGAGGGAACATTCAATGCCTTCGCTATTGAACGTTGCAGGCTCCACGTGGAGGCCTTTATTTTATTGAGCCGCAATGCATTACGACGCATTGATGCCTCTCGTCCGCGAGAACAACAGCAAGCGGTCCGGGAAACTTGTGTATATGAACATGCAGTCTTCGCAGATCGATGCGACCCCATGACTGACAGTGTGAGAAACAAATCGGGGTGGAACCTTTCGACAAAGCGCATGACCGTTCAAGTTCCGTAGCGCCTCTCCCATTAAGGACCCGCTACACCAGAGCCTTTCTGCAGTCGACTCAAACACTGTAATAGCCAACACACACGGGGGAGAACCCACTGCATCTTGAATGCCGCCTCTTGCTTTTAACATTGCTGAATCCTTGATAACCTTTGCTATGCAAGTTGCATCCTTCCACTTCTGGAGTCTCATCTCATACACAGTTGGACCCGCCTTGCCTGTCAAATTTGCACTGACCCTACAGCGGGTCTTTGACCGATGCTAAAGGAGCACCAAACACAAGTTATAGCTGCAACTACGGATGAAAATGCTGTTTACGTACACCTTAGCAGTCTGTTTCATTTGCGCGCTCATTACAGGTGTTTCTGCCAATGACAACAATGGCGACGACAAGAATAAGGAGACTCCCTTAAGCCAAACATATAAGGTTCAACGAAATTCGAGCACATGGTAACAGCGCTCTGTTCCCTGCTTTTGCTTTCAGGAAGGTCGCGACTGATTTCCACGAAAACGCGCACTGCACAAGTTCCACGATCTCTAGAAGCAGACAAGATAAAGTCGCCCTCTAAATACAATATCAAAAGACCGATGAAAAGATCGGACACTGGAAAGCCATCCAGTCGTAACCTATGTCGCCAGCTACTCACTACAGATAGATATTTCAGTAGCCTTGCCACAAGTTGCTTCGCTTGCCCATCAGGGGATAGCCCAGCAAGCAAGAGAAGGTTTCCCCGCCCCTCAACGGTCGCGCAGGCCCTTTCTTCGTGGGGGATCAACAAGACAGTAGACGTAAGCAGGAAGAGCGCCATAGCGCGAAGCTGCAGAAAAACCGTACTCTTCCCTCTATTGGAATATCGCCTGTTAGGGAATAAACCTGATTAAGAGCGCGGTGGAGAAGGGGGGCCACATTTCAGTTCGCTTCGAGCGATTGGTATTGTTCCAGGCCCAGATCCAAAGTTGAACAGATCGTTCAAACTTTCCTTCTGATGGATTCGGCGAATGGCGTCAGCCAGAAGAATAGAAATGGAAAGAATTTTAATCTTTTTGCAGCTCTCAACCATCGGACGAGCCTGAACGCAGCATGTATTGATAGAAACTGCCAAATCGTAGCCCCCAGCACAACGGGTGTACATACACCCCTCTAATTATGCATCAACATTCCCAGGCTCATCACCTGAATGGTCCGTTATATTCTACAGCTATAAGTGTGGAATCTCGCCTACCTTGATTGTGTCAGTGATGACAACCTCCTCAAGTGCGCTCTTCTGAATTCGGTCTATTGCAGGGCCGCTGAAAAGGCCGTGTGTGGCAAAGGCGTACACCCTCTTTGCACCTTTGCTTTTGAGTTCCCTGGCAGCTTCCACCAATGTGCCAGCTGTGTCGATCATGTCGTCCACTATGATAACATCACGCCCCTCCACTGAGCCCACAAGATCCATGCTCTCCACCTCATTTGCCCTGATTCGCCTTTTGATCAGCATCGCTATAGAGCAGTCTTTGTACCCGCGACGCACCATTCCCTCCTGGAACTTTCGAGCCCTGTTATGCACGCAACCGCACATTAATGAAATACTATACAACGAAAAAACACTTCGTTTTCACACACGGAGAAGATAACCTTCGCCCCCCTGGCACACTTCACGGCTGTATCAAAATACGTCCCCTTATGGCATTTGCAATAACCTCGAACAACGAACAGCATCAGACTCCAATGACTGATCCTTGAGCATGAGCACCTTCCATCGTAAAATCTTTTTAAAGGCATTATTCGCTTGGTCTGTTCTGCTACTCGATATGCAGCGAACACCCCCAAGTAACAAAGAAACATACCTGTAAACGCCACCGGCGTCAGGAGAAACTACCACAGGCTTGATCAGGCCTTTGGACTCAAAATAATCCAAGCCTACGATTTGAGCCTCCACATTATCAACGGGCACGCGGGGGCCAAAGAATCCCTGGATCTGCCCGCAGTGCAGATCCACAGCCACCACTCTATCCACCCCCATCGCCTCCATCATCCGCGCAACGTCGGCCTGAAACAGAAACATATGCGACAAAGTGTACATGAGGGATTGCGAAAAATTATTGACCCAATAATCGCCCCCCTAGAAGATCCCGAATGTGCATACACAGCCGAAAACAGATGCGTAACAATTGTGGCAAGTAACACTGATACTGTCTACGATTCGAAATACGCCTAGACTTACTGCAGATATTGGAACCCTGCTATTCATCTTTCTGTCTTGTCGGGCATATCCAAAATACGGAATGACAGCTGTAATTTTCTTTGCAGAGGCACGGCGGCAAGTGGAGATCATGAGGAGGAGCTCCATGAGATGATCATTGACGGGGGTACTGGTAGGCTGAATGATGTAAATATCCTTACCCCTCAGTGAATCCAGGAATTGAATGTTCACTTCCCCATCGGCAAAGCGCCCCACCGAAACACGGCCAAGATGGGTAGAGAGCCTCTTAGCAACGGCAGCACCCAGGTGTTCATTTGCCGTTCCGGTAAAGAGAAGAGCATCCCCCAGTTTCCGAGCAAACGGCTGACTCTCCCGCGATCTCCATAGAGGATTCTCTTGGGTTTTCCCGTCCTCTTGGCTTTCACACCGAACGGGAGACTCCGCGCGCGGATCTAATGCCGCCATGAACAATGCAGAACCCGCTGCTGCTAGCGCCACAGCTGAAGCGAACTGAGAAGAGGAAGGCAGCCAAGAAAACCACCCATGGGAGTTTGCTGCACCAAAAGGCATCCCCGCATCCCTGGTACAAAAATTCGATCCGACGCCACTCGACCGAAATCGCGGAGCCGAAGAAGGCGCCTCCTGATCGAGCCCATGCTCTTGCTGGTGAAGGCTGACGGCAGCTGCTTCCTTCACAACAGAGCGCGCTTCAGCCCCTGAAGCTACCACACGGCAGGCGCGGGCTAGCCGGGCAAACCCAACCATCTTGTCGGTGGGTAATGCCTGATTGCGGGAAAAGGGCGAGGAAGCTTGCAGCAATGCAAAGCGGGAAAGCGTATCTCCCTGAGCAAACAAGGGATAATCAACTCCTTTGACCACGAAACTCTCAGGGAAGACGAGAAGGAAGGAAGTAGGGAACTCTATGACGCCCCCAACAGAACTACACCGCCTCTGTCCACACGCGTGCAGCAGCCCCACAATCAGTCAGTACCCAAGAGGTACTGGGCAAGTTAATTTAAATGCCAGTATATTTGCGCCATCTAGAGATGTAGGAAGCGAAAATGGACGCAAACACACTTGTGGGCCGGATTTCCGTAGCCGCTAACCGCACTCCGCCGTGGCTTCTTCGAAGTAGTAGAGCCCTGGGTGCGTATCGGGCCGGTCGCTCGTCCAGAGCCACATTCGTTCGGCAATGTTAATTCTGTATAAAGTACTCACTTTAATTGTCCAGTTGGTAGGCTCGCTAGGCAGAGCTGATTTTCCAATAACCCTGATCACCCGTTCATGCCGACGTTGGTGGACCGACTTCCGACTGTACAGCCGCCGTACGAAGCAGCCCGAAGCACGTCGATTTTATGGAGAATCCCCTCCTCCACTCTTTTATATAGCCTCTCCTTCTACTGTTTGCTTTTAAATTCCTGTATGGGTTCACGTCCCTTGCGTGGGTTCCGCGTGGTCGACTGCCAGGCATCGAAAGGGCCCAAAGAGAATGTGCCTTGTTCTGATGTGCCAGCGCGTCGGTTTCTGTAGAAGCCTCCCCCGCAATCTTTAGTATAGCATCTCCTCCTTCTGTTTGGTTTTAAATTCCCGTGAGAATCCACGTCCCACGCCGAAGTTTCGCGTGCTCGACTGCCAGGCATCCAACAAGACCAAAGAGAATGTGCCTTGTTCTGCCTTTCCCCCTTTTAACCTTCAGTGTTGTAATACCTTCCAACCTTGCATGGATATGCTATTTCGCATCACTGCCTTCGTTCCTGCAATAGTACGAGTGGCCCGTTTGCCTGCTCGTTCTAATTTGCGGATAAGATAAACGCCAATGTATTCGGTGCTGCGAGTCGAATTACCGAAATTCCAGGTTCTGAGTCCTACTAGCTGCGAATTCCACTGTAGAAAACTTGCTGGAGTCGAGTTTCGTCCGTTTCAACGCCTGGCCTACCGGGCTGCGTTGAACGTCTTTCTTATGGTACAGAGCTCGAGTAGAATGGTCACTTGTGCATCATTTTCACATGGTATCCGTGCGAACTCGGGAAGGACTATGGCGACACCTTCATGCTCATGCTTCATTCATATCTACTCGTTTGATGCACGAAAGTCCCTCCTATGTAAGGAGGGCGTTGCGCTTCCTTTGTCTTCGTAAGGAAACATGTTCCCTGCAGACTCAACGCAAAGGTACTAGGAAGGTTTTTGACGGGTTTCGAATAGAGCTAACTGCTTACCCTGCTCGCGTTTAAGAGAGTTGCGAATTTAAGATGTGAAAGCTTAAAGGGTATAAGCAGCTGAACCTCATAAGCATATCAAGTATTTACAGCTGGCAGCACAGAGCATCTAGTGCACAGGAACACTTCATTGCGTCTTTTCATAGCGGGCTAATAGTACTCTGCAATCAATATGACATACAAGGAGACTAAACACTTTGTTGTATTCTTGTCTAATTCCGATTTGGAAAATACCAGTGTAGTACAAGTGAAGTCCGACTTAGCCTGCCACAGAGAGGCTTGTATAGCGGTAGCGAGGAATCGCAAGAATAAACGAACCCTCTTTGAAAAAGAATTCTTCAGTTTAGTCTTGATAAGGGAGAAGATTAGTAGAGCGCCGGAGCGAGACCCCGTCAATGCAGGCCTATGATTATGCTGGGGAATGTATAAAGGAATCCTCTTGACTCTAAAAATTTAAGGGGGTTTACAATTCAGGATTAGTGTAGAGTACAGCTCAGAAGACCGCACAGGCATTGAGCAATAAGCGACGGGAATGCAGCATCGGGGCTCAACAAAGATCATTAGAAAAGCACGGTGCCTGTGAGCATTTGGGAGGGCTACGTGCAACGAGCTGCCAAAGCTGAGATACAAAAGCCAACCGACTGGCCTTTGTCAGTCGCAAAATCAAGGGAAGAAAAAGTTAGGCAAGCAGAGCTTCAAGCCTCGCGTGGCAATGTAAGCTTGGGGAGAGCTACATGCTGGCTAGAAGTCGAAGAGGAAAGGGCTTTCGAGGGGTCTGGCAGGGGCCTCTATGATTCGGCATCTACGCTGCCGTATTCAACTGGAAATAGAGGCGATACGCATGCACCCGCCGCAAGAGGCTTATCAGCGTCCACACAAGTCTAGCCGTTCAGCCGCCAGGTCGCGCGAGAGTCAATCTCAAGCCCCCACGGCTGTTGCATGTGTATCCGAATATTGTGCTGTTCCTCAGGATGCATTCCTGGTAGGCTGCATTCGGCGCCAACAAGACTCCAATGGCAAGGAAAAAGCAGAATGTCTGATGAACGTATTTACAGGGGCAGTCAAGAAATAGAATGGGGAGAAAGGTTTCGCGATTTTTTTTGAACAGAACGCAGAAAGGCAGTTGGTCGATGAGTGCAAGACTCTCGGAGCTCAGAAATACTTGCAGCGGATCATCATGCACATTTCACAGCTTGCCCAGCTCGCAGGCGTATGCGTTCAAGCACACTCGTATATGGACTGGTCAGCATACCTGATTTATCGTTCTCTAAAAGTTTCAGTAGGCTTGCTTTTCGCACCGTACGATGCCGTCACTCGGCCACCAGGAGGTGCGCTCGTAGGGTTTCGTATCGCCCTTTTATTCCTTTCGTAGAAGCCTCCTAGCTGGTATTCATTTTAATAAATTGCTCAGCTAATCTGCGCCACGATATTTGCTGCCTGAGCGAGCACTAGCAGGCCACGTACGTTTCCTCCGCATTGACCAAGGCTTCCCCCAATACTGGAGAGTGTTTGGATTACTTATAATTCTGAATGGCAGATTTTTTCACGCCATGTGCTTGCAGGCTGAACGCCACAACGATTCCTGTTCCAAACAGCCGTATAAATCGACCTCGTACATGAGGGGGTCGCAAATGTCACCAGGGCACAAGTGGACTGATTAGATTTCGGTGAACGCATGTGCAATTCGGGAAGATAACGGGCCCCTGTAAAACTGCGCAGTTGTTCAGTCTGCGCAGTTTTACCCTTCGTGGTACATTGGAAACGTATAGGTAGAGACTTGTACGTGTGCCTCCTCCGAGCAGTTCACGAGGTGAACCCGGTTAGAATTTTATGATCGTTCGACACCTCGACAATTTGCATTCGACTTTCGGTGACGTTTTCAGAGGCCCATGCCTTCGTGTAGCGGTGGTACAACTGCTTTAAGTGTATGCATAGACTACCTCCCTGTTTGTCACCGAACAACATAGTCCTCTTTAGACCTCTCCTCCCGGGAGCGGTGCAAAGACTCCATCAATCTCTGGGCTGTAGAAGCTTTATTTCGAGCAGCTTCACGAGATCGCGCAGGCCCTCCAGCCCTAAGTATCACGTGGCGAGATGAGAATGGAGACAAGGTTACTGCACATGTCAGTGCCTTGTGTCGAGAGGGCTCCCCGGATCTACACTTTCGACGGGTAGAAACGGGTGGGAATGGGGTACCAGAAGAAGCTGAAATCGTGCTAGCCTCTGCTCCTGCACCCTAACGGAAAGGCGACCCTAGAGCTATGCCAACCCCTGGAGCTGTTCAGGTTGACTCACCAGCCCGTTGCGGCGTTCATAAGTCGCTCCCGGCAGCCTCCCCCCTTAAGCTACGAGAGAAACAGCGGCGAGCCCGTCTACAGATGTTCTGCCCGTCTCCTTGACGACTGAGGTAGCAGCGTCTCCCCCGTTTAGGCCCGTAAGTCATGAAGCGTCAAACGACACATGTAAGCTGCAGGCAAGTGGACAGACACCCGAGCTATTCTGACTGCGTGAGCTCTCTGCACCTCCTTCTAGGGAATCAATGCGCGTTAGGCGGCATCCTGACTCAGGAGGTCTCCCCCTCGTTCCCCTTCTGTTTCACGTGCTGCTGAAGCAAACCCCTCAGCAGCTGCTGGTGCCTCCCCTCGGCGCAGCACAGTCTCAAGATCCCGAGTAATTGCTGCTGCTTCGCCCTGAGGGAAGCCGAAAGAAGCCTTGGCGCATACTGGACGGCCGAGAGAAGACGGAACGTCGGCGTAAGGAAGGTTTCTGCGGCAGCAGCAAACACAAACACAGCGGAATACTAGCAGGGGTCGATCTTGCAACGCCACTGGGCACTGCTTCTGCTATTTGTGTCGCACGGATCCAGCGCCGGAGGGGGCCACTCTTAGCCAGCGCATAGAGAGACGCGACTATACAGGAAGATAGACACACACACATGAATCTATAAGCACTCTTCTATCAGTCACCTCTCTGTCGTCGTGTCTGTCTGCTGCGTGTGCATGCATGCAAAGCTAAACACGCGCATGTATCTATATATGTACATCTATATATCAATCTATGAGGGGCCTTCTTTCTAGCTGCCTCTTCCCCTTTCTAAAAGAGCATTTTTTTGGCAAGATCGCATACCCAGGAGGCGTGCCGTAAGAGACTTGCGGTCAGGCAGTTTCGCCAGCAGCGAGACGCTTGCAGGAGGGATGATCCTGTCGGGGGTAAGAACAAGAACCTTTACTAACGGGAATGGCGTGCACGCGGCTGGGGGGGGAGCTCCTAGAGCCGCTTCGGCTGCTGCAGCTTTTGCAGCAGCTGCAGCCGTCGAAGCGGCTGCGACAGCCTCGACTCCCTTTGCAGCCTTTCCAGCCGCACGGGAGCGCGGCTGTCTGAATATCGGAAGAGCCTCAAGAGGAGGCATCCCTTCCACTGGAACCAGCGTGTACTTGTCTCCTGGTTTCCTCCTGCCGATATCCTGTGAAGCTTCTGTTGCTCGCTCTCTGTTGTCTGCAGCAGCCTCCGCAGCATGCTGGAGCAGCAGCTGCAGCGCCTCTCCAAGCCGGTTTTCCGCCGCAGCGGATGCATGCACGAAGGCATACAAGCATTCCCCCTCGAGGTGAGGCAGTAACAGCGCAGCCGACTCGGCTACACTTCTCGACGCTCCAGCCACGCGAATCGCTGCCATCGCCCTCTGCTCCGCTTCTGCCGCTGCTTCCACTGCTTCCGCGTAGTTTGCCGGCTCAGGAAGATCCATGCTGCTCAAATCCTGCGGTAGCTGCTGAGCATCGCCGTCGCATGCGCTGCCAGAGCTAGCGACGCCACTGCCCTTCCCCCCTCCTTTCTTCTTCTTCGCTCCACTCTTGCTGCTGCTGCCCACCGCCCCACTCTTGCTGCTGCTGCCCACCGCCCCACTCTTGCTGCTGCCAGAAGGCGCAGGAGCTCCTTCTGCAGCCTCCTCCTTATCCTCTAGACTCGAAGCATCGACTCCGAACGCCTCAAGAAACTCGTCCTCACTCAGCGGAGGATCATCCCAACGACCCCACAGCCGCGCATGCATTTCTTCGTCTTCTAACACGACATCTCGCTGAGCCTTCCGTTCCTGCTGCTGCTGCTGCTCCTGTTGCAGCTGCAGAATAGCCGTGCGCATTAGCGAATTCTTGATCCTCTTTAGCAACACAAACTTGTGAAGACCACGTTGCACTAAGGCATCAAACATGCGCTGCTTCTGACTGTTCGTTAACCCCACAGACACCTCCTTGCCGCCATCCGATGAAGTGCTGCTGCTGCTGCTGCTGCTGCTGCTGCTGCTGCTGCTGCTGCTGCTGCTGCTGCTGCTGGAGGTTTGAGTCCACAGTCGCACCAAAGTTAGCGACGTTTGCAGCAAGTGCTTCGTTTCGCGCAGCTTCAGAGCTTTACCCTCCCTTGTTGTCGAACTGCCTAATTTGTTCTGCTGTTGCTGTTGCTCCTCAGCCTCTCGCGCTGCTGTACGCAGCTGCGGCAGGCGTAGCCGCTGCTGCAGGCGCTGCATATTCGCTTGCTGCTGCCTCTGCCGCAGCAACAGACGGTGCTTCCTCAATTGCTCCTTCCTATTTTGCTGCTGCTGCAGTCGCAACTTGGCCTTCTTAGCGGCGAGCTCCTCCTTGCTGCGATCCCCTAGACGATCCTTATCCTCGAGCTGCTCGTGTTGCTGCTGCTGTCGTGACTTTTTAGCCTGCCGCCGCTCCTCCTTTTGCTGTAACAGACGCTGCCTTTGCTTCTCTTGGTTCGCTCTGCGACGCTGCACTATTTCCTTCTCCTTCTTCTGCTGCTGCTGCTGCTTTTGCTGGGCTGAAAGGGCAGCCAGCCTGCTGTGGCTTATCCCGCTGCCGCTATAAAGGCTCAGTGGCAACAGAAAAGCACCGGATATCACCCACCTGCTGGTGCTTCTGTTGCTAATGCTAGAGCTGCTGCTGTACTGTTGCGGCATTCCCCCGTTGCTTGGGAGGAATGAGAAACATCCTTGGAGCAAAGGACCCCCACTGCATAAATATCCTCGCTCAGCAGATGCATCGCGGGGGGAGCACTCGCTGAAGCAGCAGACACCGCAAGAGGCAGCAGCAGCAGCTGCTGCTGCAAGAAGCAGCACGGCGGGAGGGAAACGAGGCTTACGTTTCCTGCTGCACATCATCCCTCCCAACACGACGCAGCAGCAGCAGGTGCTGCAGCAGCAGGTGCTGCAGCAGCAGGTGCTGCTGCTGCGTCAAGCTGCTGAAGGGTGACGACAGCTTGTGTCGGGGGGAGTCAAGAAGGAGGCAGCCGCTGCTTCTGCAGCAGCTCTTCCGGCAGCTGCAGAAGCAGCAGCTGCTCACTTCGACAGCGGGAATCACGCAAAATAACGCAAGTGTCCATAGACGAACAGCTGTTGTGCAACCGCTGTTCAAAGGGGCTGCAGCCGACAGGAGCGCCTCCGGCTCGGTTGCATGCGGAGGCGTTGCGGGAGCAGCAACCCATCCCACACCCTTGACAAGCGCGGAAAAACGATAAATTCTCACGGGAAAGAGCCCACTGGACCTGTTGCTGCCTCTGCGGCTGCTGCAGCAACAGCGCCTCCAGCGATGGCAGTGTTGACAGTGTTTTTCCAGCGGCAGCAAGGAAAGCGATCCGAGGCTTCTGCAGCACTTCGAAGAGCAGGAATCCCCTTCCAGCAGCAGAAACAGTAGGGCACGCAGAAGATCAGCGGCAAGACGCGCGGCGGTACGACCGCTGGTCATCGAGGGTGTCTGTACACTGCGTTCGTCGCAGGTGTGCTTCTTGCACAGCCTGCAGTGGCTCCTGCTGCTGCAGCTGCTGATGCGCCGCAGCGCGAAAAAATAGCAGAAACACGAAAAACCTCAGAAAAGAACCGAAAAACGCGCCGCAATCGTGGGTTCTGCTTTTCTGCCTCAAGACTTCTGACTGGATCACAGAGCATTAGCGACACAACAGCAGCAGCAGAGAATGATTGTGGAGCGACTTTTCAACGTGCATCATGGAGGGCTTCCAATATCATCTTTGGCTTTCCAGCCGCACCCCCTTTACGTTCATGCGGCGACCACACCAGGCAGCGGCAGGCGGAGCAACAGCAACAAAGGCAGCAACAAAGGCAGCAACAAGAGCAGCAGCAGCAGCAGTGGCATAGCGGGAGCCATCCCGACGAAGCAGCGTCGCACGACGGCATCCTCGGCAAGTGGTGGAGTGCAGCAAAAACCGCCGAAAAACGCATGCGCTGCCTCCAAGCAAACGGCTGGTAACGAAGCACCTTTCAGCTCGTCTTGCAGCTCGTCTTGCAGCTGCCTTGCAGCTGCCTTCCTCTCGGGTGTCTGTTCTTCGCCTTTTCACGAGTCCGAGGCTTGTGCTTGAAAGCGCCTCCTTTGATGACGCTGTTGAGCAGCCATCACAGGTCCTTTCGCGGTTTGTGTATGTACATGTGTATTCATATACATGCATGTTATGCATACATGAGGGGGAGGAGATGCTGTGAGGAGATTCCAGTCAGCTTGCTGCGCGTATGCGTGCCTTCAGGCCGTCGATTTTGGGAGTATGAGCGCTTAGCCACGGCAGCAGCGACGTCTGTCAAGATATGGGTTGTGCATGCGCATCTGCCGCATGAAGTTGCTGCAGCAACCAAAAACGCCAAGCGGCAAGGTACGCCTGTTGCTTCGAATGCTGTTCCTCCTCGAAGGCTGCGTCAGGCGAATCGCAGCAGTAAATTTCGCAGGATGTTTTGCTGTCACGTGCTGATGCTGCAGCAAGCCGGGCAGCAGCTGTAGCAGCAGCTGCCTCAGGAAATTCGCCAGCAAAGAAGGCAAAGACTGAGCCGCAACAACTGCAACAAGAGCGGCAAGAGCAAGAGCAGCAGCAAGAGCAAGAGCAGCAGCAGCAGCAGCAACAGGGAGAACAGCGCTGTGGTGAGGTGGAGGGGAGTGTACCTCCCCCCTCCACGACTCCCTTATGTGCCATCACCACGACGAGCAACAACAACAACAACAGCAGCAGCAGCAGCAGCAACAGCAACAACAGGAATAGCATGCAGGGCCCTTGCTCAGCGCTTTCTGGCGATGGTGCTGTACAGAGTGCAACTTGCAGCGGCGGCAAGACACCTTCGGCAGCATCGGCAAAGGCGGATGCAGCAGCAAGAGCCGCAAGAGCAGCAGCAGCGTTGGAAAACTACGGTGCTGTGGAGGGTGTTAGGCCTATAAGAAATCCTCTAACGCGTGCGACATGCGTGTGGGCAGCCTCTAATCACAAGGCAAACGTCACCGCAATCCGATGGACGTGGGATGGTAGGCTGCAATTTCCGCAGTGTATACACTGGATGCTGCAGTGTCTGCATTGGATGCTGCAATGTCTGCAGTGTATTGACTGCTGCAGTGTATGCATTGGATGCTGCAATTTCTGCAGTGTATGCATTGGATGCTGCAGTGTCTGCGTTGGATGCTGCAGTGTCTGCAGTGCATTGACTGCTGCAATGTATGCATTGGATGCTGCAATTTCCGCAGTGTATGCACTGGATGCTGCAGTGTCTGCATTGGATGCTGCAATGTCTGCATTGGATTGACTGCTGCAGTGTATGCATTGGATGCTGCAGTGTCTGCATTGGATACTGCAATGTCTACATGGGATGCTGCAATGTCTGCAGTGTATTGACTGCTGCAATGTATGCATTGGATGCTGCAATATCTACATGGGATGCTGCAATGTCTGCATTGTATTGACTGCTGCAATGTCTGCAGTGTATTGACTGCTGCAATGTCTGCATTGTATTGACTGCTGCCATGTCTGCATTGTATTGACTGCTGCCATGTCTGCTGCAATCTTTTCTGCTGCTTGTGTGGCTGTGGTTGGTGATGCGGATAAACAATGCCGCAGCAGTGGTGGATCGTTTTGCGCCCGTGCCCTCTGCCTTTGAAGTCAGTGCTGCTGCTCCTGTGGGGTGTCGTCGTTGCTCAGGTGAATTGCTTGGTTCTTGCGATAGCAGCGGAGAAATCCACATCTACTCACTTGCTCACAGCGGGGGAAGAGGCAGCGGAGGCAGCAGCAAGCCAAAGGCAGCAGCAGCAAGACGCACACGCCGTGGAGCATCTCCCCCCCCTCCCCAGCAGCAGCAGCAGCAGCAGCAGCAGCAAGCTGGAAGCCTTGCGGGGAAGAGTGCTACTGCAGGAGTTTCGCCTCTGCCAGCAGCGAGTGCTGTTTCTTCTGTGTCAACGCCGCTTGCTTCCTCTCAATCTGCGTCGCAGCTCAGCAAAACGAGGGGCAGAAAGTCGACAGCGAAAGCTGCAGCAGTGGATGGCGTTTCGTCCTCAGAAACACTCGCCGGTGCTCCAACTGCAAAAAGTGCTGCTGCTGCTGCAAAAAAGAAGTCGAAGGACGTGCCGGCAGGAGCAGCCAAGAATTTCAGCTGTCTCTGCCCTTTTCTGCGTCTGTCGCATCTCCCCCCGCCAGACAGACTCCTCCTTGGGCATGAGATAGAGCAGCAGCAACTCGATTGCGATGCAGCGCTAGAGGCTACCGTTTATATGGAGAGGTGGAAGCTCGTGAAGACGCTCAAGACTCCCCAATCCTCACTCCCTCAGGTAGGTGCTGCTGCTAAAGGTGTTGGAATTGTTGGTGCTGTCGTAGTTGTTGTTACTGTTGCTGTTACTGTTGCTATTATTGTTGCTGTTGTTGTTGCTGTTGTTGTTACTGTTGCTGGTGTTGTTACTGTTGTTGCTGGTGTTGTTTCTGTTACTGTTGTTGCTGCTGTTGCTTGTGTTTGTTGTTGCTGTTGTTGCTGTTGTTGTTACTGTTGTTGCTATTGTTGCTGCTGTTGCTGCTGTTGCTTGTGTTTGTTGTTGTTTTTGTTTGCTGCTGTTTATCAGGGGGTTGTGGTGGTGTCTGGGCACCCCCCAAGCAGGCACAGCATTCTGTAGAACGGCAGCCTCGGCAACAGGGGAGACGACATTTTGCTGTGGATATTCGTCTTTCCGTGAAGTGAGTGTGTGCTGTTTAGGTGTTTGATTTCGCGTGGAGCTCAGACAAGCGCTTCATTGTGGCGGGAGGTGCAAGAGGCCGGTGCGTTGCTGCTGCTGCTGCTGTTTTTGTGCTTTGTTCAAAACTGCATTTTTTCGACTTTGAACTAACCGCGTGTACTGCGCATTCGATTTTCATGGAAAGGTCGTTGAATTTCGACCAGAGGAGATTCTGCGTGGAGGCGGCTTCCTGCCTGCCTCCTTTCTGCCTTGCGAACCATTGATTTGCGCTGCTCTTCCTCTCCCGCGAAGCAGCCCAAATTATTGTTGCTGCCGCTGCTGTTGCTTTCGCTTCTCTTTGCTGCTGTTGCAGGCTTACTATGCTGCATGTGGCAGACGGCGCGGCATGCTTATCCTTTGGGCTGCCAGCAACTGATGGAGGGCTCATTAAGGGGCTTTCGTGGAGAGCAGATGATGTGTTGCTCGTTGCACAGGTGGCGTGCTGCTGCTGCTGCTTCTGTTGCCGTTGCTGTATATTCTTTAGGATCGTCATGCATATATATATATATGTGAATATATATGTATGTATATGTATGCACGTGGCTGCATGCACATGCACACACGTGTTTGCATGCGCCCATCGGTAGCTAGTGGGGTGTATGGACACACCCGTGCACCTCTGCTTTGGGGCTGATAATTTCTTCTCGTGTCGAAATAAGGCGAGCATTTAAGCTGCATGCATGCGCTGGCAGAGGCGCTGCTTGCGCTGCGTGGCTTCCCCCAAGCGAGTATTGCCGTTTTGTGCGTGATGCGAGAGTGCTGCGTCAGACAAGCAGCAAGAAGCTCTACATGTGGCGATGTGAGCCGCCTGCTGCTGGGGAAACCTCGTGGATTGTCGAAGAGGCGATGCATCACGAGGTAAAAGCGCGCATGGAATGCAACGTTTTTGCTGCGTTGCATGCCGGCTGCTTTAGGCACGGGGATAACACGCGCTTCCGATGGGAGAGGGCTTCTTGCCTTATCGTGCTCGTGGTGTCGATGCATGCATGGATGTATTGTGGATGTATATCTACATCTACATGTACATATACATATATATATATATTGACATGTGTAGCTGTGCACCTAAAGCATACATATATGTATATAGATGCATGTATACATGTGCTTTTACGTGTAAATGCTATGTGTAGATGTCTATAGATGTACATGTGTGTCTCTGTGTGTGTGTATGTATGCGTGTACATGTAGGAGTAAAAATGTGTATATATATGTGTGTAGATGTGCGTGTGTGTCTGCGTGCCTTGTGCGTTGCATCAACCATGCGTTTGTTTTGTGAGCGCTTTTTTGATGCGGAGTGCCTTGCGTCTTGCCCTGTCATACTGCGTTTTTAGTCTTTAGAGGATCTGCGTGCTGCTTTGTGCATGCAAACTTCGTGCATGCACTCTTCTGTGCTGCTGCTGCTGCGTTAGGCTATCCTGCGTGAAGGTCCCACAGACTCTCCAGTCTTGCGCATTCCTTCGTTTTGCGTTTCTGACTGCTTACTGGCAGTTTCTCACGCACAAAGGAATGACGAGGCTGTGGGTAGGTGGCTTTTTTCGGGGGAAGAAGGGGGGTGTGGTGATGATGGTGGTGCAAAAAGACTCCCTGCGTAAACGCGGTGGCTCTGCCGCAAGTAGATGGGAGGGAAGGGGGGAGAGTCGAGCACGAGGAAAGAAGACTCACGCAAGCAAAAGTCACCACTCCCTCGCGAGGCTTCTCTTCGCTTCTCACCTGTGTCTGCTGCTCGTAAACTCAAGAATCAAGGCGCATTCGACATGGCTCCTCCTCCTCCGCTGGCTTCGCATAATGCCTTTTTCTTCAGGCTGCGCCTTCGCCGTCGATGAAAAGGGCTTCAAAGAGCCAAAGGCACCCCTTCTTTTCTACGGGCATCAGGCACCTGTTAAATGTGTGGTATGCGCATTTCTTTCTTGACAAATACAGCAGTGCTGCATGCAAGCTGTATAGGGAGCTCGATGCATGGTGGCAGCAGCGTAGCCTGTCTGTTTCCCTCTCTTTTTCTCTCTCTTTTTCTCTCTCTTTCTGTCTCTCTCTTTCTCTTCCGAAGGATGCGTGTTACACACCTCTTCGAAACATCTGCATGTTGCTCCGTGCATGCATTGCTGCCAGGATACGTAGGGAGGGTGCTATCTTGCTGCATCGTTTTGGCGTACACCGCGTTTGGTGGTGTATGTGTGCGCCCCCCTCTGTGCAGAGCTTCGGCGATGGCATGTTTATTTCATCAAAGAAGGGGAAACGCACTGAACGCCACGTCATGTACTGTCAAGGTAGGTGCAGCAGCAGCATTCTGCAGCAGCAGCAGCTGGGAGGGTCGTTACTTTGCGAATCTTCGTGCAGGAGGAGAGGGAGGGGGTGTGTGCAGGGCGGAGACGTGTGTCTGTTTTTCTTGTGCAGCAAGCGAGGACGGAACGATTTCCATTTGGCGAGTGCCTCTTGCAGACAGCAGTCGCGCTGCATGCACTGCGGCTAGCAGCAACACTGGCAGCCCTATTAAAGCCAAATCTTCTTCGGCTTCCTCTTCGCAACAGCATCAACAGCAGCACCAGCAGCAGCAGCAACAACTGCAGCAGGGAGAGCAACAACAGGCGCAGTGCATTGCTGTGGTGACGAACCTTCTTGACGAAGGCACAACTGTTCAGAGCTTCTCGTGGTAAAGCTACGGCTGTAATTCCCCTACAGAAGCCTCCAAGCCTGCTGGAGGTGTTGCTTTTGATGCTGTTGATGCTGCTCGCGTGTGTATGTGTGGATAGGTATGTGTATAGGGATGCGTGTGTGTGGATGTGTGAATAGGTTTGTGTATGTGTATAGGGATGCACATGTATATGTATAGGGGCACACGTGTATGTGTATAGGGATGCATGTGTATGTGTATAGGGGTACACATGTATGTGTATAGGGATGCATGTGTATGTGTATAGGAATACACGTGTATGTGTATAGGGATGCATGTGTATGTGTATAGGCATGCATGTGTATGTGTATAGGAATGCACGTTTATGTGTATAGGCATGCATGTGTATGTGTATAGGCATGCATGTGTATGTGTATAGGGATGCACGTGTATGTCTATAGGGATGCATGTGTATGTGTATAGGTATGTGTACTTGTGTGTATCTGTATGCACGTGAGGGTGTATAGGTATGTGTACTTGTGTGTATTTGTATGCATGTGTATGTGTATATATATATATATATATGTATATGCATAGGTGTATATATACGTGTACATATACATATATATATATGTATGTGTATAGATATGCATATGTGTGCATGTGTATGCGTGAACGTAGTATGTGTGTATGAGTGCATGTATCCCTGTTGCCTTGTGGAATGTTTTCCTGCTGCTGCTGCTGCTGCTGCTGCTGCTTCGAGGCTGGCGCAAGAATTTTGATTTGAGAGAACATTAATTTGTTTTTTACGCTGCAGGAGCCGCGGCGGGTTATGGTTGGCTGTCGCTTGCAGTGGAGGTTCTGTAGCGTTGTTGCGCTTCAGCATGGAGGAGATAGGGAGCAGCGATTGCGTGTGCAACAGCAGCTTCGATTACCATGCAGCAGCAGCAGCCGCTGCTGCCCGTGAGGCTGCTGGCGCTTCCAGCAGCTCTGCTCGATCGCAAATCTTCATACCAGCTGAGCCAGGAACAGAAATCGCTGCAGCAACAGCAGTATCTGTTGGAAGTCGATCGTCGTGTCGCTGCAGCTGTTGCTGCTGCTTCTTGCACTCTGCGCTGCAGCTGCGGAAGCTCTCGCCACAGCCAAGCGTTCCCCTCAAGAGTTTGTCAGCGGCTTCGGGGGGAGAAAGTCAGGGGAAAGAGGCAACGCTCGCTAGTGTGCAGATTCCAACTGCCGCTGCGACGTCTGTACCGCTCAGGCTGCTGCAGCAAGAAACGGTGACGCAGAGTGGCGTCCGTCGGATTAAGCCCGTTTTGCTCTCTCGCTTAGACGGTTCTCCACTGCGGGAGCCACGGCTTGCAGCAGCAGTCAATGACTCAGCAGCAGCACCAGCTGCAGCTGCAGCAGCAGCAGCAGCAGCAGCAGCAGCAGCAGCAGCCAGCTCTGCGGCAATCAAAAACGCAAGTGCAGGGGGAACAGCAGTCGCAGAGGGTACACGTGTCAGCGAGGCAGCATCATCATCATTATCATCATCATCATCATCATTATCATCATCATTTTCATCATCATCATCATCATCATCATCATTTTCATCATCATCATCATCAGCATCAGCATCATCATCGTCTGCAGAGAACGTTTCTCCAGTGCCAGGAGGTCTCTTTGACTCCCCTGGCGCTCCTGCTGCTACCGCCTTTGCTGCAGCACAGCGTCAAGCGATGCAAACAGGAAAAACACGGAGCCTCATCGAAGTGTTTTCGAGAATGACAGCTCTGTGCAGCAGTCGCACGGAAGCCACACCTCCCACTGCTGCTGCTGCCGCTGCGGAGACACCAGCGCCTACCTCGAAGGAGGACGCTGCTCCTGCCGTAGAACGACGACGTCAGAGTGAACAGCAGAATAGCCTCGAACCTAGCAGCAACGGCAGCCCTGCAAACAGCAGCAGCAGCCCCCCTTCTGACAGCAGCAGCCACAACACTGCCACTCCCAGTACCACCACTACTACCACACTCGCCTTTGCAATGACTGCCCCTGACGTGACTGCCGTCTACAGACAACGCAGTGCCTTGTCAGATGCGAATGCAATCATCTTTTTTTCGCCTGCTTCGCTGGCAGCTGCTGCCGCTGCAGCCGCTGCTTGGCATCCTTCGCGTCTGACTGCTCGCATGGCGTTGCGAGATCCGCGAAAGGTAGTGGCTGCCTCTTCTTCTTGTGCTGCTTCTTGTGCTGCTGCTCCTGCTGCTTTTTCGTCTGCTTCCTGTGCTGCCTTGCGGACCTTCTCCCGCGATGGCAAAGGGATCCATGGAGCAGCGAATCTCTTCGAGCAGCAGCAGCAGGTGTTGCGGAGGGTTGCTGCATCTGTCGCTGCGTGGAAGGCAGGGGACTGCAGCAGACTGCGCAACGACGCTCCTTCCGCTGCGGCGGCAGCAGCGCAGCGACAGCCTCTCGAGCCCTCTGAGCAGCAGCAGCAGCAGCGACGGCAAGTCACCACGCACCCGCCTAGGGAGCACCGCTTCTCCCCTGCGGGTGCCACTGCTGCTGCTGCTGTTGCTGCTGTTGCTGCTGCCCCTTCAAGCAGCGGGGAAGGCAGCAAGCCCGTTGGAAGCGGCGGGAGTAGCAGCGGGGAGTCTGCTAGCAGCAGTTCGCGCACAAACAACGGAGGGACTGCTAGCGGCAGCAGCAAAGCAAGCAGCGGCAGCGGCGGAGATGACGGCAGTGGAAGAGAGGGAGAGAGAGGACGGGGTGGTTCTGCGGCATCTTTCGAGGGTTCGGAGGCAGATGACAGCGAAGCAGAAGAGGAGGAGCTGCAGACGGCTGCTTCTGGCACTGGTGCTGCAGCCGCGTTCGACGATCCGAAGGTGCCTTGGGAGGAGTGGAACCCTTTCGCTTCGAGGCACGAGCGGCTGTTGCTGCTTTTGCAGCGGCTCGAGCGAGAGGAAGCTGAGGAGGACGAAGCCGCAGAAGTCGCAGAGCAGGCTGCAATTGCTGCAGCAGCAGCGGATTCTAGCGGCAGCAGCAGCACAGCGGAGGAAACGGACGCAGACAAGGAAGCAGCTTCCCCGCGCATCCAGCAGCAACAGCAGAGCAGCAGAGTGACGAAGGCAGGAACTGTGACTGCAGAGGCTAAGACTCAGAAGGGGAGGCAGCAGCAGCAGCAGCTGCAGCCTGAGCAAAACAAGCAGCAAGAAGGGCTGAAGCGGGGGGAAAACAGCGCTGCCGCTGGAAAGCAGCCGCAGTCGCAGCGTTCTTCAATGGGGGGCGGAGAGACGGAAGATGACGCCGTCTCGTCGTCTTGCGGTGCTCGTTGCGTGAGGAAGCCTTCTAAGACAGCAGCAGCAGCAGCTATCTCGGCTGGTGCTGCTGCCTTCAGTCCTCGAAGGGCAGGTGGTAGTAAACAAGGCGCTCCAGCGAAATCTCCAGCTGCTGTGCAAGAGGAGGGTGCACTGTGCTTTCCACATGCCTCAACGCCAGGAAAGCAGCAGCAGCAGCAGCAGCAGCAGCAGCAGCAGCAGGAGGAAGCGTCTCCAGCAAGGCGTCCTCTCACGGAGCTCCTGCCTTTTCCTCCCCTGCTGGATCGTCTCACAGTCGCATTTACAGTCAATGGTGCGTGTGGCTGCTGCGGGCAGAACTGCAGCACGAGCTGCATGATAGTCTGCGCAAAAAACGCAGGTTATGCACACACACGCTGCTGCAAATGGTGGTGATATGCCGCAGCTTCTCTGGTGCGTCTTCTCTCGACAGCGTTTCTTCACTGCTGCGGCTGCAAGTGTATAAGTGTATGTGTGTATTTTTTTGTGTTTTTAAGGAGAGGAGAGGCGGATTTGCGCGCTTAACAGGAAGGCGTGTGATGCGAAGAGACGTCGTATTGGGGATGCTGAAACTTCGGAAGGCGTCGCAGACAAGGGCTGGTGCTCCGGCAATGAGGCACCCTGCGTTGTGTGTTGCTTGGGTAAAGGCAGGAGCAAGGACAGAAGCAGCAGCAGCAGCAGCAGCAGCAGTAGCAGCAGCAGCAGCAGCAGCAGCAGCAGCAGTAGCAGCAGTAGCAGCAGCAGCAGCAGCAGTAGCAGCAGCAGCAGCAGCAGCAGCCTCGACGAAGCCAGGGCGAACTTCGAATCACGCATCGACGTTTTGGAAACTGCAGAGGAAGAAACTGTAGGGAGCACAGCGTGCAGACGTCTGCGTCGCTTGCTTGCCGTTCGATTTCGAGGCTGCATTTTTCGCAGCAGCTGCTGCTGCGAAATGTCTGATCTGCGCGACACCTGTGGGGGGAGTGTGCGCTCTGCCGTGGGTGGCGTCTGCATGTGCGCTGCAGGTGCTGTGGACGTACAGCCTTGGCGCTGGGACTGATGTGTCGCTCATGTCTGTGAATGCAGATGCAGGGGTAGTAGCAGTCGCTGTGTCGCGCAGAGATCGCAGCAGACGCGGTGAGAATGACAGCGGTTGCATGCAAGGGGAGCAGCTGCTGCATCTCGTGTGTTTGTCCTCTGGGTTGCCTCTTTCCCTCCCGACGCTTGGAGGAGGATTGCGCAACTGCAGAATCTCAGCAATGGCATTTACGCTCCTCCGCGATAATGCTTCCCAGCGGCAAAAGGAGGAGCACACTGGGCTGTCGAGACAGTCGACCTCGCGAGCGCCGCTGCTGCTGCTGCTGCTGACAACTCACGCGGAGCTCTTTGGCCTCTCCTTAGGCTCTCTCCTGCCTCCGCATCCTCAGGGAGAAATGCAGCAAGTGCAGCAGCAAGTGCAGCAGCAAGTGCAGCAGCAAGGGCGGCAGCAAGGGCAGCAGCAAGGGCAGCAGCAGCAGCTCCTTGATGTCACCGCTGCTGCAGCGTGGGATGCGTCGTGGATGCCTCAATTTGTGGTACCCCTGCGAAGTTTGTGCGGCGGCTGCATGCGGGGGAAGCCTCAGAACGCGAGGCAAGACACCACAGACGCGGTGATCTGGGTAGAGCTGCTTCGCGGCAGAGGATCGCTGCAGCAGCTCTTTGCTTCCCCAGGAGCAACTGGCTCGCGAGCAGCAGCGCATGCATGCGGCCAGACGGCGGCTGAGGCTGCTGCAGCAGAAGTCGACGCCTCGGCAGACAGCGCAGCAGCTGCCGTTGGGGAAGGGGATCAAGGGAGGCTTTCAGCGCTGCTGCATCGTCTGACTCCCTCGGCTGCTGCACCAGCCTTCTTGATCCTGCTGATAGCCATGCAATCCGGAAGAATCTTCGCATGTCGCCTTCGCCCCTGCTGCAGCAGCACCCAGTGTACAGACACTCTCCCGTATGCGGCTGAACCCTTTAGGCGGATTGACGACCTAGACTTCGCGACGTCGGATTTCTTTTCCCTCATTTCCTGGGAAAATTTAGAGCAGCAGCACAGACAGCAGCTGGCGGCGCCTGGGGGAGAAGACGGCGTGGCTGCTGCGGCGACACCCTCCGACACGCGCACATCTGCGGAAGAAGCGAACAGTGGCAGCAGCAGCGGCAGCACTGGATGCAGGGTTGACGAACGAACCACGGTGCGCAGTGACGAAGCGGAAGAAAGCCTCTTAGAGAGGATTCAACGTCGGATTCCAGCTCTGCAAGATGCCTGCTGCAACAGCTTTTGGAGCAACAGCAGCAGCAGCAGCAGCAGCAGCAGCAAGAGCTTCCTGATTAAGCTTGCGCATCGCTTCCTGCTCGCCTCTTTGGGCTTGACACCCAATAGCGTTTCTGCCCTCCGTCGCGCCAGGGGTTTGAGCCTCATTCGCCGCTATTACGCGAAGGGAAGTTTTCTGAAGCCATCAGAACAAGGCTTTCTGACAGAGACTGCGGCTGCAAACAGCCCACGGCAGCAGCAGCAGTCACGGCAGCAGCAGCACCCTCTCCTCCAACAACAACAGCCGCAGGAGCCGATTCTGTCGCTGCAGAGGGCACAGAGTTGCTCTTCGACACGGCAATCCGTACAGCACCTGCACCACCAGGTAAGCACCGAAATCCTAGGAAGTCGAGTGCCGCCATTGGCTATTTGCTGTTGCTGCGCTCTAATACCGCCCTTTCCCGCGCAAACGTGAGGAAGGCTGTGAGGCATGCAGACGGCTGCCCAACAGGCGGGTGTATCACTAAGTTGGCAGAGACTTTGTCTCTTCGTTTCAGAAGTGGAAGGCTGACGGAAGGCCAAGTGTGTAGTGGCTGGTTGCAGATGCCAAGGAGACAGCGGGTGTGTCTGTTTTGTTTCCGCAGATATTGTGTGCGTTGCATCTCGGCTCCTGCAGAGATTTCGAAAGATGGATGCAGCAGTTGTTGTTGCGGCTGTCGGAGCTGCAGCAGGTTGCTCAGCTGTCTGCCCTCGTGGAAATGTTTGTTGCCACGGAGGTTCAGCTGCTCTCTCCGTGGCTGTGCCTCCTGCGGCAGCGCGAGCAGCAGTTGCTGCAGGCTTGCGCATCTTCGCTGCTGGACGTGTCTGCCGCGGATGAACTCCGACGTGTTGTTTCTGGAGCTGAGAGACTACAAGCAGCAGCCTTAGGGGAAATACGCGGCACTGCTCTTCCTGCTGTGGATTGGCGTGTATGGACAGCAGCAGGCGCTGACGCTGCAGCGATCGCGGCAGCGGTGTCTGACGCCTTGGCGGCTACTGCGGAAATCAGCAAAGTCTCGGGCGGGAACGAAGAAGAGGCTAAGAGTCTACTCGAGGTAGGGGGAACGCACTTGTAGCTTTCGGTGCCTTCCTAGGAACGCGGTGTATGGGGAGACCATCTCTCCGATTCAAAGCCCCTGCCTCCTGCACAGCGCCACTTGGAGGGGGCGCATGCATGCGATTTTTCAAAAGAGTTTCTCCATACGGGTTGGTCAGGAGTTGGGCTCCGACTTCTCTCGTAACTGCATGGGGCGAGTGCATGCGTATGTCGTTCTCTAAGGCGGCGCAGGAGGAAGCGCGCAAGGTGCGAAAAGCTGAATCTCTTCTCGCTGCTCTTCGGGAGCAAATCAGGCAAGTCGCTGCCTCCGTCGAGCGGCTGGAGGAGGAGCATGCACATATGCTGCACTGCCGCTACAGGGACGCACTGCTGAGGAGTCTGACTTTAGAGGGCGAGGCTGAGGCTGCGCTTGGAGCTGACTTAGGGGGCGAGGCAGATAATGTAGATTTCAATGGGGAGGGAGATGCAGCAGGCGCTCTGATGGATATTTTCTGAGTTCGCTTCCCAGCACACGGCCGCACGCCGTATTGCCAGCCTAGCCCTCGAGAACACGGGGATACAAAAAAGACGCATGACGAACGCTGTAGCAGATGGCTGGTCCTATGCCGCTGCACTCTGACCAGCGCAGTTTCTCGTGCGAGCCTTCCAGCATAGGAAATTTTCTGGGATCTCGCGATCACGTGTAACGAGCTGGCACACGTAGGCTAATGGGGCATCTTAAGAGCCACCCTATGTTGCTGGTTGTTTGTGCTGCGTTCGGAGTACACCCAGTCATGGGGTGCCGAAAGTTTCGCGTCTCGGGTTCTCGAAACCATGTAAGCGTCTATTTGCAACCAAAAAATCGCATGTGCCAACTGCACCGTCCAGCTAATGGCCACTACGGGTGCACATACGCACAGCCAGTCGTGGTTTTGCTATTAGGAGCTAGCTAGCTGAATGCGCAAGGGAGCGTCAAGAAACGAGATCTAAGCGCTATGCGCCTCCCTAGGTCGCCCAGCGTTAACAGCCCCCCGAGGGAAGATCACTTTTGCGAGTATACGCGTCTACTGCGCTATCCCAACCCTCAAAGGCAAACCCTTGAACCATTGGGAGTGGTCGAACTAGCTATTTGTGCGTGTTCAATTACCCCATTCGAGAGGCTTGCTCTGCCCCAATAGAGCAAGCATCCCTCCCTTCGGAACATGTATCTGATTCAAATCTGGAGGAAGTCTAGATCCCCCGCAAAAAACGGCGTAAAAACTCGTTCCCTCTCCCCCGCCCAAAGTTGTTCCTAGCTTTATTGACAGAAATGCGACAAGACTTGCAAAGACGGGTTCTCTGCGGAGCTGCCACCAGCTCCCTTTCCGTTCTCTTCTCCCTGATGCGCGCATGATGTGGGCGGAGGTGCGACAGCATCCACTAGTCCGTGCGATCTCTTGTAAAATTGTTCGTAGAGCCGGGAATTCAGGCAAAAGTATTTTTAAATGCAGCTGCGACATTGTTGTGTATGTGTGTGAACAAAACACTGAAAAAAACTGCGCGTAATCCGCTGCTTCCGTGTGGGCCTAGGCTTTTAGGTGTCTGTCCAGCCCGATTCGAACTCCACATGGTCAATGGTATGAAGCGTTTCGAACGTGCGTGGGTCGTCCTTTATCCCCTTTCTTGCTTCAATAGGCCCCTTTTACCCCGGATCCAGATAGTTTGGGGAGACTGTAGCTCATCAAGCCGTCTCGAGTGTCTCAGCTAAAAGCCCGTGCCGTGGGGTCGAGGTGTGTTCGTGAGGATTTCCTTGTTTTCGAGGTCAGACGCTAGACCTGAACGGCCAGGTTAACGCTTGTCAAAGCGTTCCTTGCGTCAATACTTGGTGTCTTCGTGCGATATGCTATTCCAGGGTGTTGAGCGCAAACGTCGTCGTGCTCTCCAAGGATTGCACGAACCCGTTCACTCAGTTTTGCAGGATTCGTTGACTCTTCAAGCAGCTCGAAGGCCATTAAATTCAAATGACGGACGCGGTACGGGCATTACCATTCGATCTAGCTCTCCATTTTGTGCGCCTTCCCACGCGCCGACATCGAGGCAGCGCTCCATGTTGCTCTCTTCTCTGCGGTCCTGCCCAGTGCCCGTTGTGTGACCTTCCATGCTCCACCCCGACAAGGCAGCGGGAAGAACTGCACAGGAGCCTCTTGCTGCCTTCTGCTTCCTGCTAGTAGAGCTGAGTGTGTTTGTACTGGGGTGCAAAGCCGCATGAGGGCCTCTCTCAAGGCGGGGAGGGGAGTGGGGAAGCCATGCACTCCCTTCTTTTGCGCCAAGACTGCGCTCCATGCGTGCAGTGCACGCTGTGCGACGCGCGCCTCTGTATACATAGCCATATGCATCTGCTCCTTGTGCGGAAAAGTATCCGCTTCTGCGTGCGCAGTTCTTTCCTTTTGCTACTTCCGCTTGCACGTCACGTACAGCGCTGGCGTTTCGAGGCGGGTTTCCGGCCGTTCAGCCTTTTCGCCAGTGTTTTGTAGTAAGGGGAAGCGATCAGTAGAACGCGTGTGCCGCGTGCCTACCTACGCCTCCCCTTCCCCTTCTCCCTTCTGCGCTCTGTTGCCTTCAGGCCGATACGAAAACGCATCCTGACGCGCCTTTCCGCGAGGCGTGGGTTGCGTCCTTGTTCGAAGCTCAGGACGCAATCTGCAGGGGTGTCGAGGCTCTGGAGGCGAAGATTGGCTCTGGTTCTGCACGAGCAAAAACGTTTCAAAGCACGCGGTGGGAACGTGGTCCTAACCAGGGGGGGGGGGTGAGTCGCGTGCTGCAAGATGGAGTCGTGTTTGGGAAGGCTGGCGTGAACGTAAGCTCCGTGCAAGGCCGTCTGCCTCTCTCGGCAGTCAAGAACATGTGTGTGAGGGGGCGAAGGAACCTCCTGGAGGGGGTTCTGGAGGACGAGGATTTGGCGGAGCACCCTGCAGCTGCGGGGGAGGAGACTGCGGAGTCTCCCTTCACCTTTTTTGCAGCAGGACTGTCGTTGGTGATACATCCGGATAATCCCATGGCGCCTACGTCGCACGCGAATTTCCGCATGTTTCAGTTGTTCAGGAGCGGGAAGAGCATCCTGTGGTGGTTCGGGGGGGGGGTCGATTTGTCGCCCGCCTACGTGATCGAGGAGGACTGTGTGGCTTTTCATGCGGCGCTCAAAGCGGTGTGCGATCGGTTCGACGTGGCCTACTATCCCCGATTCAAGGTGTGGTGTGACTATTACTTCCGCCTTGCGCACAGGCGGGAGGCGCGCGGCGTGGGGGGCATCTTTTTCGACGATTTGAACGAGGGGATGACGCGCATGCACGACATCAAGGCGTTCTGCTGTGAGGCTCTAAACGCGTTCGCCCCGCTGTACCTCCCTATCGTCGAAAAGCGGTGCCAGTCTCCCTTCACGGAGGCTGAACGCCGCTGGCAGCTCCTGCGCAGGGGGCGGTATGTGGAATTCAATCTGGTGTACGATAGGGGCACGAAATTCGGCTTTTCCCTTCCGGGCAGCAGATCAGACAGTATTCTCGTGTCGCTGCCTCTCCTCGCGCGCTGGGAGTATGGCGCAGAGCCGGAGCCAGGCAGCCGAGAGGCGGAGAGCTTGGAGCTTTTTAGGAAAGCCAAAGACTGGGTGGCCTTTGACCGCATGCATTTAGATGGTTTCGAAGTGCCGCTGGAGCCCGATAGAGCGCCTGAGAACTAAATACCAAACCGACTTTCTTTTGCCCCACGTATTTCTCGAAGTACAGGTTGCAGTACGTGCATGCTCGCATTGCGCATTGTTATTGCGCCTGCGCAGCTGTGCGAATGCATTCTTTGTCTGACTGAGCGCGTTCCGTGGCGTTTGGCTTGGGACTGGTTCGCGGCATATCCTACGACCAGCGCGACGCGTGAAGGCGTGCACGCGCATGCATGCGGGCTTACGTAGCCGCCTTGCGGAGCGCTCTACCCTTGGCTCTATGCACCAGCGGAGGCGCGTGTTGCTGCTGAAGTGCTCTTCTCATTCCCATTCTTGCACACGTTGCGGATATGTTTTGCATCGGGGAATTTCGTTCCTGCAAAAGGGGTCTACGCGTGTCTCCCGTTTTCTCCGTCCTCGGTGCTCAATTAATTTGTACGCCGCTTTTCGCGGTCGAGAGCAAGCTCTCTTTAGGAAATCTCTCAGGTCTTTCGAAGATCTTCAAGTGGTGCCTCTACAAACAGCTGGACGTCGAAGCACAGATGGGCAACCAGAGCTTCCTTCGCATGTGGGTGTCTTTCCTCTTGCTTTTTTATCCTTTTGACGGTGTGCTCAAAGGTGTCTGTATGTATCGGCATCCCCCATGCAAGGGCTGTTTTCGAGCCGTACATCCTAAAGCGCAGAAGCAGAAACACAGTTTGGTGTTGTGCAACAGTGCATGGCGTTTAACGAAATTGACAAGTAGGCCTTAGTTTTGCAGGGCACTGGTTAGCGCGTAGCCGAAATCTGTAGATCTCATAGACCTTGCCATCACGGTTGTTGTGGCTGTAGCGGGATGGCAAAAACCTAGATACCATCCTCCTAGACCAAGCATATTTAGCAAGGAATACGCGAAGCATTCGCAAAGCCTTTTGTCTAGGAGGACACCACAGTTACTGCCGAGTGCTGCAAATACGCGATACTCGAAGGCGGAACGTTAAGTGCGTGCATGCTCTGCTATACTATGCGCAAGCGGCTGTGCATGCATAGAGGGTGTGCGCAGGTACACAGATGCTAGCTGTAACGCTGGGCCTCTCTTCTCGGGAACTCTGAGGAGCGCGCGGGCAGGGGAAGGGTAAACTTCTTCTGAGAAACGCTTTGCAATTTTATGAAGACGAGTAGGGTATCTTTTCTACGAAGGCCTCATAAATATATATATATATATATATATATGTATACTTATAATCACAGTGGCGTCGACGTGTCAGCTCTCAACGCGCCAATCTGAGAGGCCACCGACTCTCAGACGTGGTGTCGCCCGCTGCGTGGCACGGAAACAGGAACTGGAGCCAGAGCAGCAGCAAGCCTAGGAGGTGCAGAAGCTGATGCTCATCTTGTTGCTCCTGCTGTTGCGTTCTCAGCGAGCAGTGTTCTGTGCTGTCCTCACTGCATAGGCTTTGCTTGCCGAGAGTTTTCTGTGTGTACTTCTCATGTAGGAGTTGTTCAACCGTTCAACACGACGCACTCCGCACTCGGAAGCGTTGGCAGCCCTATCAACGTTTAAAGCAGTTTTTCTGTCATGTCAACGCATGCACGGTGTTTATGGGGTTGGTGGAAAGTCGGATGGAGACAGAAGGACGTGGAATTACGATAAAGTGGAGAGAGGAGGGCGCCAGGGGTGGGAGCCCAACGTCGGCGCGGTGGGGGAACAGAAAAACGCGGTCCGTCGCTCGGTTGCATAGCAAACCAAGAAACGGAGGCATGGGAAACCAGAAAGAGGTGATGGATATAGAGATCGCGCGAAGTCAGTGAAACGACTCAATAAGGAATCCAAACGAGCGCAGGGCAACTACAGGTCAGGAATACTGAATTGTAGGAGGATGCGTGAGAGGAGAGCAACAGGAGGCGTTCTACTCCTCTAAATATTTTCAGATGGATATATATATATATATGTAGATATATATATACATATTTCTCCAAGCTTAGTAAAACCTTGACAGGCAGTTATTGAGTGTCGTATTTGCAAAAGAATTTGCATCTTCTCTGATGCCTCTTAATCCCGGACTCGAGACGAATTTAATCGAAGGTTGAGGAAGGCGTCATCCTAGAACGCTCGCCTTCCGTTTTCCTGTCACCCACATTAGTGCACCCTCTATGCACTCCAAGCATGTGCTTGTGTGCTACTTGAATACGGTATTTAGCCCCCACGCGCTGAAGATCGCGTCTTCTTGAATGGAACTAACACTCATTTCAAAATCACCAGCTATACCAACAGACAAATCAATTTGTCAGTTCCGTGCATAATTGTTATTTCAACATAACCAGTGTAGTGGGAGATGCCGAAGAGTGGCTCAGCCTGCTACCGGCGACCTCTGCTGCGTCTATAGAGGAAGAGCGCGATAAAGCAAGAACGGTTTCAAGTGCCAGCAAGTATGCGCTCTTTCAAAGCAAACGGATCTTTTAGTGCCAACAGAGGCAACAGCTTGTGACTCTGCAGCGCTGCTGCAACCTGTTGGAAGCTGGTTACGCGTTCAGGGGTCACGTGGAGGGTCGGTGTTTTTGTGGCCTGCCATGCAAGCAAGGGTGAGAGCTTTTGGTACCCCTGTGTAATCATGCGGAGCCGATCGAGTCCGGTGAGGGCTGAGGGGCAGAGTTGCTAAGCCATTGACTTGGGAACGGAGAAATGGAAGTGACCCCTGTCTGCCATTCTGTCAGCTCGCTGACTAGCTCTAGCTATCGACAGCTCCAGCTGCGGGCTACTCGCCATGCAAATGCACGTGTACTCGAGCTAACAAGGAATGCATGGCGCACGCACGCGCCAAGACACCTACGTGGCAGTGCACAGACAGGAAAATCACTGGCTAGGCCTTTGCCAAGTTTGTCCTTTGGTGGTTCATGTTTTGAAGGGAAGCGCTTTCTATGAGTTTCTGAAATGCCAGGGTCAAGGAGCCTAAGCGCCGTACATGGGGTGCCTAAGCAGCCTCTACAAAGAAGAATCCACGGGGTGAGAGGGGCAAGAACACCCCCGCTTGCAGCATTCCTGCATGCTGGACGGGCTCTAGGAGTAGGAAGCCATGACACTGCTGCCTCACGTATTTGTGTTGTGCAAACAGTGCGCCTGTACGAGTATCGGCGGCACAACACGGGGTGCAGCTAGTTGAGGGGCCCTTAGTTTTTCGGCGAACAACTAATGAACGAAAAAGGAACAAAGAACGCGCCACAAATTAGTAAAACGCCCGCGAAGACTCCATTAAAACGCTGAATTTCTACCGGTTCTGCCCGTCAGCTGTGCCTCTTGAACCCCCAGTAGAAGCCGCCGAAGCGGGGGGTCCCTCATGAGGAATGTGCGCGTGCCGGACTGCCCAACACTGATTTCATGATTGTACTGTCTCAGTGTGCTGTGTTTTCATGAAAAGTCTTGGTGAAAACGCGGAAGCGTGTAGTCTTTGTGATTCCAGGCAAGGCCTGGCCGCAATAGCAGGAAGAACCCCAGAAGGCAGTCTTCCTCCTCAACATTATCCGAGCGCAACTCCTCTTCCTGCTGCATCCACCACTGCCGCTGCACTTCCAGGAGTGCAGACTGACCATGCGCGTGGGCTGGGTTGGCGAGAGAGGCAGCAACCCTCCCTGTGAAGGGCAGTAGCAACACTCTGAAGAGCAGCAGTCACAGCAGCAGCAGCACAGAGATGGCACCTAAAGGCGGCGAACTTGCCGTTTTAATGGTGGCAGAGAAGCCTTCCATTGCGGAGACGCTGGCGAGCATCTTGTCCAACAACAACTACACGAAAAGGAAAGGAGTGTGTCCTCGACACATCTTTGCGGCTGGCACTGCTCGTGTTGCTGCTGCTGTGCTTATCGCTGCCATGGATGCCTTAAAAGCTGCTGTTGCGACCCCCCTGCAGCTCCAGTAGCAGCGTTTTGTGCTGTCTCCGCTGCATCGAATGATGTTGCCGACAGTTCTGAACGGATGCTCTCCTCTTGCAGCAAGGACGCATATCCTCCTCGAACATTTTACATCCTCAGGAGCGCCTTTTTGGTGGTGTTTGTTGCAGATATCGCCCGTAACGAGTGTTTGGGAATTTCGGGGAAACTTCGCGGGCGAACGTGGGGGGCTGTAGAATTGCAGCTGCTACTGTTGCACTCATGGTAGATGCAGGCAGGCCGTTGTTCGTATGCGTATTTTCTCCTGAGCCTGTGCTGGTGCATCCGAATGTGGCGCTTTCCCACCGATCTTATGGCCGCTGCTCATGGTGTTGTTCTGCTGCGTGCTTCTACGCCTGATACTGGCTGCGTCTTAATGATGCTGCAATCGTCCCCTCGCTAAGGGAGTGCTGCTTTGCTGCGCTTGATGCGGAAGCGCTTCTCTCCCCGTACAGCCGCCTACTTTTCGTGTATGTGCATGCGTTTGTATGTGTATGCGCGCCTTTCGCGGCTGCAGCGGTTCTCTTCAAGGTTACGTCCACTGCAGTGCGTATTCTGCGCATTTGCCCCTGAAAAGCAGCTCCCCGCTTCTTACCAGCGACACGCTTTCCGCTGCCAGAGAGCAGCAGCCGAAGCTGCAGACGACTGAGTGCCACGACGTCCTCCCTCCCTGCCTGTTTATCTGCATGTTTGTGTTTTCGCTGCCGCTTTTTCCGCTTTCTCTTTGCCGCAGGGCCACATTTACCAAACAGAATTTCCTCCAGCGTTCAATGACTGGGTAAGTTTGGAGGCTTTTGCGCCTCTAGCGGTGCTCTCCGATAGCCAGACACCCGCGCATCCCCAGTTGACGTGTAACCGCGAGAAAAATGCCGCATGCAACCTCCGCTTCCACCCCTTAGTAGAGGCGTGGTAGACAAGGCGTTTATTCGGGGAAAAGGGCCTGCCCATAACAGCTTTAGCTAGCCTTGTTCAACACGCTACAAGGCTGCGAAACGTATGCGGGCAAGGCGTATCCGCGTAGATGGCTAGGAGGTTTCTCACCTCGTTTTCTGAGTGCTCTCACCTCTTTCTCTCTTCTCTGAGCAGGCTGTCTTTGCCGGAGAGCTGTGTGTTTCTGGGCAGAAGGAATGGGGGAGGGGGGGGGAGGGGGAGAAGAATGCATCAGCGCAGTGTAGGCCTTGGAGCCAGCGAGCCTATGTGTGCTTATGCTGCACTTTGTGGCTTTTTCGCGCAGCAACGCGTTGATCCTTTGGAGCTGTTTGACGCCCCCGTGGTGAAGACGGAAGCGCAGCCAAAGCATCGCTTGCCGCGGCACCTGCAGGAGGAGGCGAAAGGCTGCGCGCACCTCGTATTGTGGCTGGATTGTGACAGAGAGGGAGAGAATATATGCTTTGAAGTCATCAATATTGTGAAGTCGTGCCTCGTCAAGAACATTGGCAAGCAACAGGTCGGTAGCTTTGAGATGCTGGCGTTGCGCTGGATGCGGCTGGTGGGGGCACGCGCTCTAACGATTTGCTCGGGAGGGGTGTTGTGATTCTGCTGGATCTGTCTGTATTGTGGAGAGAGGGAGTTTGTTGCTTGTGGCGGTGTTGACGTGCGTCTTTTTCTTTGCCGCGTGCTCTGCTGCGAATTTCGAGGCTCTTTTTGCTGCTATTGTTGCTGTTGCTATTGTTGCTGTTGCTATTGCTGCTATTGCTGCAGATATGGAGGGCGCACTTCTCCGCTCTAGCGCCTGCAGATGTTCAAAGGTGTGTATTGGTCTGAATTCTTTGCGGTGTTTGCTACGGACTAGTCTAGACAACTCCTGGCATCCTTCTTCGCCCCCTCTCAATGTGTTGTTCCCCCTGTTTTTCTCGCGCATGGGTGGTGTGGTGTGTGGCCTCCCTCCTGCACTGCCAGTCTGCAGGCACCTTGATAAGAAAGCTTTGCGTGTTCACTCTGCATGATCATGCTCCTCCTAATCTGCCTCCGCCCTTCCCCTACCCCGCCTTCCCCTTCTCCCTCCCTCTTTTCTGTGCCTTAGAGCCCTTAAGTCACTAGGCACTCCGAACAAAGACGAGAGCGACGCGGTGGACGCTCGACAAGAATTAGATCTCAAGATCGGCGTGGCCTTCACGCGCTTTCAGACGAAACACTTTCAGGTGTCTTTTTCCGCCTATTCCTGAGCGCATGTCGCGATTGTGTTTCGTTGCTGCCTCCTTGCATAAATCTATATAGCCGCGTTTCTCTCAGACGCACCCTCTACGGCCGAGGCAGCTCGCCTTTGCAGTGTATGTAGTAGCCGACCAGTGTCCTACAGCCCGTTGCTCTGGCGTTTCTGTGTGAAAAACGCACGCACGGATGCGGGGGGGGGTGTTTTTTTGATGAACTGAGGCGCTGTCTATGCGGCCACGTCGGTGATTTTGACGTTTTTCGCGGATGCGCGCTGCGCTTCTTGCCTGTCTGGAGCTTGAGACAGCTTTGCCGCACCGCTTTTCGCCTCTTGCCTCGGCACACAGCCTCCGAGTCTCTGCGTGTCTCTCTGTGGCTCTTGGATGTATATATAGCTCTTGATCCTCCTTCCCTCTCCACCAGCCCTCTCCGCCGCATGAATTATTGCACCCAAGTGCTTTTTCGTGTTCTCTTCGCATGCTGCTTTTCCGCAGGGAAAATACGGAGACCTCGATTCCTCTCTCATTTCGTATGGACCCTGTCAGACACCGACACTCCAATTGTGTGTCCAGAGAAGCGATGCCATTCAAGCATTCAAACCTGAAGAGTACTATCAGGTGTGTCAGCCGCTGTTACTGCCTGCCACACCACCACCACCACAAACACCACCACCACAAACACCACAACCACAACCACAACCACAACCACAACCACAACCACAACCACAACCACAACCACAACCACAACCACAACCACAACCCCAACCACAACCACAACCACAACCACAACCACAACCACAACCACAACCACAACCACAACCACAACCACAACAACAACCACCCCTCCCCCCGTGCGAACTGGAGCTGCTTCCTGCCCCTGAAGAACGCTTTGCGTCCCTTTTTTAGCGCCGCTTCTTCCACAAAAATGCCTCAATTTCTGCGCATGCAGCACCAGCAGCGGCGCTACAGTGTTCAACAGACGGCGGCCACACGCCCGATTTGCGTGCACGTGCTTTTTTTCGACTTCTCATGCTGTTCTTACTGCCTCTTCCCAACGCTGCCCTTCCGCACGCTCTCCTGAACGAACTCACCTCCATGCGTGCATGACTGCCTGCCCGCCTTGGTGCGCATGCAGATCAAGCCGCTGGTGCGCGTTGGTGAACAAGAGCTCTCCTTGGAATGGGCAAGAGGTCAAGTGTTTGATCGGGTTGTTGCTCAAACGTTTCACGCAATTGTACGGTAGTCCTCAAAAACGTCCCCCTGGGAAGAGGCCACATGCAGGGATTGCCATCGCTTATGCCTCACAGCTACCGTTTGCTTGACCTTTCACTGCCCTCTCCAGACGTATCTCCCACTCATTCTTCTCTCCATAGATCCCTGCATGCCTGAGCCTTTCTACTGCCGCTACAGACACCCTCATTGCCTGGCTGCCTACACAGTACACCTGCTGTGATTTTCTTGCCACAATCCACCTCTGCTCAGCTGTATGTATAAATGTGTGTAGTTTGTGCATCTGTATGTATGTATTTGCGTGTTTGTGTATCTGTATGTGTACTACTATCGTATCTGTATATGGGCATGTATGTGCATTTTTGTATCTGTATATGTGCGGGTATGTGTTTTTTTGTATCTGTATATGTGCATGTATGTGCATTTGTATCGGTGTATGTGCATGTATTTGTATTTGTATCGGTATATGTGCATGTATTTGTATTTGTATCCCTATGTTTGTGTGCATGTCTGTATGTGTTGTGTACCTGTATGTGTGTATTTTTGTATCTGTATATGTGCAGGCATGTGTATTTGTATCTCTGTATGTGTTGTGTATCTGCATGTATGTGCAGTTGTATCTCTGTATGTGTTGTGTATCTGTATGTATGTATGTTTTGTATCTCTGCATGTCTGTGCGCATGTACGTATGTACGTATTTGTATCTGCATGTCATCTATTTGTATCTGCATGCCATGTATGTGAATGTGTATGTATATCTGCCGCGCTGTCTGTCTGTCCGTCGGTGTCTGTCGTCCTTCGCGCTGCACATGTGTTTCCGCGTCGGATGTGCATGTTATTTGCACAAGAGGAATTTGACGCCTCCATGAATGCCAAGTTTTCGGTGCGTGCCCCTGTTGTGTGTCTGTCGATCAATCAGAGGCTTGCGCTGCTGCGCAGTAGCTGGTACCGAGTGTGTGGCTCTGCGTATTATCCTCGTTTCCCTTTTGCTCGTTTGCCGCCTCTCTGCACTTGTGCAGTTCCTTTCATCTCCTGTGTCATGCAGGTGAGCTGTGGACGTGTGGCAGTCGTGACAGCAGCCAAGCAATCGGAGGAGGTTCTCGCAATGCCGCAAGCTCTGAACACCGTCTCTCTCCTGAAGGCAGCGAGTCAGCGTCTTGGCATTGGTCCACACCACGCGATGCAGGTATGCCTTTGTGAGGCTGCCTTGACGTGTGTCTTCAGCTGCACGTTCAGCTCCTGCAGCTGTCGGAGTCTGCCCGGCTGTGTGTCTGCTTCCTTTCGCTGCAACACGAAGCAGCAACAGCAGCACATGCTGCTGCCGCTGTTTTCGCGTAGCAACCTGTACCGCGCAGCACAAGCCGTGTGGCGTGAACGCCTGTATGGCGCCTTTGGCTTGAGGCTACCGCCGCCTCGCGGCTTTCCTCGTCTCCTCCCTCGCGTGTTCCTTTGTTTGCCAGCTCGGATCTGCCCTTCGCCGACCAGTGTCTGCGCTGACTGCCACACAAAGCCTGCGGCTCGCTGTGCCGTTTCCGACAGATCGCAGAGCGCCTCTATCTTGGGGGGTATATTACATACCCGCGAACTGAGACTTGTTGTTACCCACCCTCCTTCGACCTTCAAGGTGCCGTGCAAGCGCAGACGACGAATGCATATTGGGGCATGCATGCGCAGCAGATCCTTGCCGTAAGACAAAGCCGCGTTTCCCGTGACTCCTTCTGATCAAGCCGCTGTGATTTGCCGTGCTGGTTCGCACGCGCGCTGTCGTGAAAAAGTACTCTCGTGGGGTTGTCTCCGCAGCGTTCTGCTTGCTGGCGCTGTAGTCGAGGAGACGCAGCCGAAATTGCGGGCAGCTGCTTCTGCTTTTGCCATCTGCCTTCTGCCGGCAGCCTTCCACACTCTAATCTCTCGTGATGCTTGTGCCTGCAACAATCGCGCCTGTGTGCCTGCGGCTGAGGCTCCTTGAATTTTTTTTTTCTCTCTCTCTCCCGCCGGCATCTGTTTCCGCGTGTGCTCACATGGTCTGTCCTCACCACTCACAATTCGCTCTCGTTTTTTTTCCCCCTGTACTCCCGCGCTGTCGTGCGTCTTCTCGTTGGTGTCTCCGGAGGAGGAAAAATGCTTTCCTCGAGGCACACTCTCCTATAGCGTCGTCTCCTTTCTCCTCCATATCCCTCCCTCTCTCCTTCTCTGTCTGCTCCCTTCTGCCTCCTCTTCGCAGCGCGGAATTGCCAAGCCACGCTCTGGCATGGACGCTGGTGACCATCCCCCGATCACCCCCGTCCGCAGTGTCACTGAGAACGAAATCGGGGGGGGTGATGCATGGCGCATGTACGAGCTCGTCGCGAGGACCTTCTTGGCGACAGTCTCCGGAAACTGCAAATTCAAGAAGCAAACGCTTACTCTCGCCATCAATGGCGAAAGTTTCACCACCTCGGCGCGCGTCTGCATCGATCCAGGCTTCACTGCTGTCCTTCGAGAGAGCGAGCTGAGAGACACGACCCTTCCAAACCTCAAGCCTGGCGATGAATTGCTGGTTCAAGGAGTCTCCATCGTTGTACGTTGAGGCTTTGTTCTGATCCTGCACGAGGGAGGCTTCACGAGAGCCACGCCGCTTTCCAAGCCCACCCCTCAACGCAAAGCAGCCGTGCCCTTCCTGGCAACAGTCGCCAACGTTGCGACACACAGACATACAGACAGACACACACACACGCAGACACACACAGATACATACAGACACACACGCAGACGCACACATACACAGACACACACACAGACGCACACAGACACAGACACACACAGACACACACATACACAGACACACACACACATACAGACACACACATACACAGACACTCTGCCATCCGCGTACATACAGCGTGCCTAACCGAAAGCGCTTCTTAGTTTCTTGTCGCCTCCCCCTATCCTGTTTTCCTCAAATGCGGAAGGCTTCTCTTCCCACCAAATTGCACGATCCCCCGCGCGCGTGCCTTCTGTGTTACCACCCCACAGGAACCTCGTGCGGAGACCTGCGAGATGTCCGCATGCATGGGGAAATTGGGGCTTTTTTTCCATGCATGCGAACATCCGCCTGGTTTCCTCTTTTCTTTGTCAGCCTTTGCTGCGTAGGGGTTCCTGCGTTTTCCCGCGTAATTCCACCCCCTCCCATGGCGGCTGCTGTGGCTGTCGCATGCGGTGCTTCTCGCCATATATAATGTATACATGTAGATGTAGATATATGTAGATATATGTGCTGTTCGGCTTGCCTTCCCTCCCTTCCAGTCCTAGCCTCTCGCTGTATGGCTAGCGCTGGCATGCTGTGTGCCTGGCGCCTTCTGGGAAGGGGCTGTACTTACACCCTGCACACACACATATACACACACAACTGCATGCACAAATCCACACACACATACACACATAATTGCATACACATATACACACACAAACAATTGCATGCACAAATACACACACACAAATACTCACACACAAATACTCACACACATAAACACACACACATAATTGCATACACAAATACTCACACACAGATACACACACAATGGCATACACAAATACACACACACATAAACACAGACACACATATAAACACATACAAACACTCACACCTCACATATGACGGCTGCTGCATATCACGTGCTTTGGCTGCCTCTCAGGATCGCATGACATCCCCGCCGTCTTACCTCTCCGAGTCTGACCTCTTGAGTCTCCTCGAGAAGCATCGCATTGGCACAGACGCCTCCATGGCAACGCATATCAACAACATTTGTGAACGGAATTATGTGTCTCTCGTGCGTATGAAGCACACAAAGATTGGCTCTCTTCCTGCTGCCTACCAGCGCTATTATTCCACCCTTCCTTAATACTCCAACTTCTCGCCACTATATCGTCACCACGTCTCGCGAGCATTCTCATTCCCTGGCTCCTCTCTGTGCACCTCGCGCACAGCCACGACCCTTTCTCGGCTGTTCAGACACCTCCCGCTCCTGCCTTTACTCTGTGTTGCACCCCTTAATGTCTTTTTATCTGGCCTCTTCGCTCGCTGCATCCCCGTGAACGTCAACGTGCATGTGCATCTCCTTCTTCCTCCCTACAAGCGAGCTGCCGCTCTCGCCGTTGCATCTGTGCTTCCTAACTGCTCTTTTTGAAGCCTTGACGCTTCCGCTTCACGGTCCTCTGAGAATCGTTGCCTTTCGTTTTTCCTCCACATTCTTGCGACTGGCACGTGTGCAGACTTCGGGCAGACGACTTGAGCCTACCAAACTTGGCATTTGCCTCATCCACGGACTCATGGCGATCGACGCTGAACTTGTGCTGCCTTTCGTGAGAGCTTCCATCGAGCAGCTCGTAGATGTCATTGCGAAGGGTATATATATATATATGTATCAACTTCCGAGACAGCTCCTCCCTGTATTAGTCACATCACGGAACAAACAAGGATGCGTGCTCGCGTATAAACCCTATTATTTCCCACTTTCATACCGTACCCCGAAAGCGGCGCGTTTTGCCACTGCCTTCATTTTTCCTCCTTTTCCACGCGCTGAAAGCGATCGGGGGGAATACTTCTGCTCCCCGATCGCTTTCACCTTCAGATCCTGCTGCAGCCTCTCTCTCTCTCCCTCACTCTTTACCCTTCTCTGCCTGCTGCAGCCTCTCTCTCTCATTCTTTACCCTTCTCTGCCTGCTGCAGCCTCTTTCTCTCATTCTTTACCCTTCTCTGCCTGCTGCAGCCTCTCTCTCTCATTCTTTACCCTTCTCTGCCTGCTGCAGCCTCTCTCTCTCATTCTCTACCCTTCTCTGCCTGCTGCAGCCTCTCTCTCTCATTCTTTACCCTTCTCTGCCTGCTGCAGCCTCTCTCTCTCTCTCTACCCTTCTCTGCCTGCTGCAGCCTCTTTCTCTCTCTTTACCCTTCTTTGTCTGCTGCAACCTCTTTCCACCCCCTTCTCCAGTCTGTGCTGTGCTCATCTCCTTCCACCTCAGGGAAGGCTCCCCGCGAGGCAGTGGTCCTTCATTCACTCAACATCTTCAAAGCCAAGTTCGCCTATTTTGTAAACAAGGTGCCAACCGATCGAGCACTCCGTCGCTCTGCGGCAACACACTTGCACTTCCGCAGTGTACCCCCACCCTCCTCCCTCCCCTGCCACTGTGACTCTCTGCAATCTTCCCCCTTCTCCCCGCTTTTTTCTAGAAATTTCGAGACACCTTCTACTCTCGTTAGACCTTTCGGATAATAGACGCGCGCTGTGCCTGCACCTTCGGCGAGAATACCCCACTGTGTCTCACATTCCTCCATGACTGACGCCCCCCTGCAGGCTGCCTGCTTCCCTTCTGATCCATGATGCTATCTTCACATGGTTCCGCATCTTCCCTCTAGCTACCTTGCCAGGAGGGGAGGGGGAAGACACATTTGCTGCCCGCTTTTCTCTTTCACTGCCTGCGCATATTCTTCTTCTGACACGGGATGTCGAGCCGTGAAATGCCACCTACAGCCGCTGCGCACAGCACTGCTCCACCTCGCTCTGTCTGTTGCTCTCTCCTCCTCTCCCTATCTCTCTGTCTTTCTCTGTCCTTCTCCAGCTTTATCTGTATGCCTGTGTTTCTCTCTGTATTTCTCTCTCTGTCTTTCTCTCTCTGTCTTTCTCTCTGTATTTCTCTCTGTATTTCTGTCTGTATTTTTCCGTCTTTCTCTGTTTTTTCCTCTGTCTCTCTCTCTGTCTCTGTCTTTCTTTCTCTGTCTCTGTCTTTCTTTCTCTGTCTCTGTCTCTCTCTGTCTCTCTCTCTCTCTCTATGTCTCTTTCTGTCTCTGTCTCTCTCTTTCTGTCTCTCTCGCTCTTCCCAGCATTCTGCGGATGTTGTGAATTGTATCTTTTGCAACCGTTTGTTCGGTGCTTTACGGGAGTTGCGGCGTCATCACTGCTGACGACGGTCTACATATATTTGCTATCTTTGAATCCCCTTGTCTCCCTCTGTCGTTGCGACGCACCCTAAATTCTTGTCTCAAGCTTGGAGTGTATCCATTTGTTCCCAGATTGAAAGGATGGATGCGCTCTTTGGCGTGACATTTACTGCACTTTCAGCCACAGGTAAGGCCTGTTGGGGATAATCTCAAGAGTTTAAAGGGAAACACAACGTTTTAACCTCATGCCAACACGTAGAATTCCTAATGATCCCGACTACTGTTTATGCATGGTAAGGTTTGGCGTGTACTTTTTCGAATGAAACTTTTTGCTGCACCGCTAGTCTCTTACCTCTAACATTCCCGTTACTTGACACTCTACGGAGACAAAAACGCCTCCCTGTCGACTCCCGATAGAGGGGGCTGAGGAGGTTCAGCGGAGGCTGCGATACTGTCATGCCCTTGCCTTCCCTCGTCTGTATCGACAACGCACCGCACGTTCAAATCTTCTTTCTCGAAGCCTGTCCAAGCATCGTGCTCCTTAGTTAGCTAGCTAGCTAGCTAGCTAGCTATGTTCCTTACCGCTGTCTCTCGAGAGGCGCGTCGTGTGGACATGTATGTCTGTGTTCTTCACACGCGACGCTTGCCGTCCACTCCTCTTGCTCCCCAAGGCTGCGGTTCCTTTTATGCACATATCTCGCTGTTTTGCTGCCTCCCCCACTCTCTTCGCAGGCAACCCCCTCTCCCGATGCGGCCGTTGTGGTCGCTACTTGAACTTCATTGCGAGACGCCCCTTTCGGCTGTATTGCAGAACCTGCGACGTTACTCTAGACGTCCCACAGACTGGTGCCATTAAGGTGTGTTGACGTGAAACAGCCACGCGTGCAGCTTCCGACGAGGCGAGACGCTGGCGTGCGGCTGCTCACGAATCGGGGAAGAAGGGGGCATGACGTGGGATGTTTTCGCCTCTAGAAATTGAGAAGTTTCCACGCACTTGCGTTGACTTGCGTTACTGGTGGCTAGAGAGGTCGGTCGGCTTCAAGGGGAGTGACGTGCTCGCGTATTCTCGCAGGCAGGTGCATGCGTGCTGCATAGAAATGAAGCTTGCTGTGTGCCTTTTCGCCGCCTCCACCCTCTCGATGCGTTCGTGTGATGCACAGCTCTACAAGGAGCTCAAGTGCCCGCTGGACGGCTACGAGCTGCTGCTTTCAGTCAATCCAGGAGGCAAAGCCTTCCCCTTCTGCCCCCTCTGCTACAACGATCCTCCCTTCGACACTCCTGGCACCCGTGCGGCTCGCAGTGTGCCCTCTAGATGGCGTTTGCAGCAAAAGGGGGAAAAATCACTCGCCGCAGTATTCCAGGCAATATAAGCCTGTCTGTGTGTTGGTCTTTCTGCTCTTGCGTCATGCCCCCGCGTGGTTTATTCTGTTGCTTCTTAGCCTTCATAGCCTCCGACTCTGCTGCCTTCCTCCTCGTGTCTGTCGTGCATCTTCTTGCCCTTCCTCCGTCGTTAAGGCGCGACACGCTGCCTCCCATACAAAGGCTTTCTTGATTGCCACTCCAGCCTCCTCTCGTGCTCCTTGTTGTTCCCTGAGGCTCTCCCCGAGGCTGCACTAATCTCCCCCCTTCCTCTTCCTCCTTCCCTGCAAGACGTGCTCTCGCCGTCAGGTGCCCGTCAGAGATTTTCCGTTCGCGATTTAGCACGGAGATGCAGGCAAGGCGCCTCGAAGCCACCCTGCTAGCGGCTTGTTGTGTGTGCAAATGCGGAGGGCGCCTTCTTCAGAAGTCATGAGCTGCATGGACTGTCGTCATCCCTCCTGCCGCCATTCAATCAACCGAGCTGGCGTCATGCGCTGCCCTCAAGAAAATTGTACGTTTCGGAGAAACAGCATGCCTATATGTCTGATGTTGTGCGTCTGTAGGCTCGAGCGTGGCGTTCGCTCTCTGCCTTCTCTCTCTCTCTTTCACTCTCTTTCCTTCATCTGCGTGAACGAGTGGATGAGAGCTTTTGTATGCGGGAGAGGGGGTGAAGGAATACCGTCTAGCACCGTCTTTTTTCGCATGTGTCGTTTGGTCTGCTCTGTTTAAACTTTGTAAAATCATGCCTTTGGCATATATTGGGTCGGTCATTATAAGAGGCTGCTTTCTGCCGTGCAGCAGTTGTCGCCGCAGTCTTTGCTTTGCAGTTCTGGCAATCGACTGGTGGAGGAATCATGATCCTCTGCCCCCTTTTCACGCGCTCTGACGTGTGCTTTATGCCGCAGGTGATGGCTTGCTCTATCTCAATCCGGTGTCTGCGGTACGGGCGCGATCGAAAGATTAGAATTTTTGGCATAAATAGTCATTGCGTTCCTGCTAAGCGCTGCTGCGAGCGCCACACACCGTGTAGACTGGCGCATTGACATCTCTTGGTGCTTGACGCCGTCGGCGAAGCATCACTCTGACCCCAAGGATGCATCTGTGCATCGTCCAATTAGCCACCACCAGAGACTGTCTGCCGGTGCGGTGGAAGGCGGGAATGGAGAGCGGCCTCCTACGATCTTCGCGGCTGGACGAAGAGGCGTTAAAGGAGGCGACGAGGGCGCACAAGTCTCTAGCAGGCAGAGCGAGAGGAAAGCATGCACTTCGTCGCTTGCGTGGTGTCGTGTGTTTGCACAGCCAAGATGGCGACTGGACTGCACTATTTGCAGATATGAGCTTCTCCTCTTCGAAGGAGCCTTCAGTACGCAGTAACCTTGGGACTGCTTTATCAGGAGCAGCAACAAATACGAGAGGAGGCAACAGCAGGGGGGATAAACGAGCTGCTTCGCGAGGCGGAGAGAGAGCTCGAGAGCAGGGATGCATGCATGAAAAGGAGAGGGGGGGAAGGAGTCTAAGGCATTCTGATTTTGCACTGCATGCGGGCATGTCGAATGCTCAGCCTCTCCATACGAGTAGCGGAGGGCTTCGGATTCAAGCTGCAACGGCCTCTGTGTTTGTTGCCATGCATGCAGAGGTGGCAGTGACAGACGACGAATGCGCAGAATGCGGGAGCATGAAGCTCGATGTTGTTTTTTCCAAGACCAGTCCTCTCAAGGTGCTTCTTCCAACCACCAACAGTGCCCTTGCTTTTGTTGAAAGCGCAAATGCTGAGAAAGAGGCGGGAGGCTGCGCCTGCTCCTGAGTCGCTGACCGTTAAGCCGCTGTCGGTACAGTGGAGCCCATGTTGCGGCTGCTTTGCAAGTCTTCGCCCCCGCGGCTGCAGAACTGCGATTGGGCCTGTTTGACTTGACGCACTGCACGTGGGAGTGCTCCCTCCTGCCGCTGCGTTTGTTGCTCTTGCCTCTGCAGGACGGATCTACAGAACGCAAAGGCTGCGTGGTATGCGACCCCGTGCTCAACGAATTCGTGTCTAGCAGGCAAGTCTCTGTTCTCGCTCTCGCTGCAATTCACTCTCTTTCGCGCTCTCCATGCACAAATAGGCTTGCGTACATGTAAATAAATACAGTCAAGTCGCGTAGAGTCCGCTGTACATCTATATACATATACATATATACGTACATCCGGCTGGCTAGGGGGTGGCCGTCTAGAGCAGCCGAAAGTTTCCTAGGTTTCCCTTGTAATTTTCCTACCCCGTGATGTAGTGAGTGCTGCCAACTGTGTTGGGGGCACGGGGGGAGGGGAGTTGTGGTCGACAGACCACGTTTCTTTGCCAGTGCGTTCTTCCTTGCACGTCCATGCAGCGGTTAATCTGGCAGTTGCAGCGGCACGCAGTGTGTGTAGCGCACATGAAGGGGAAGCATCTCTGGTTCACTGGCGATCCTTTTTGGCCTATCGTGATACATGCGCTGTACGCCGCATACTCTCCTGTTGGTGGGTGTGCGTCTTGCAACGCATGCACAGGCTGGGGAATCTCGCGAGACAGAGAAGGGGGGGCTTTAGAGGACGAGGACGGCGAGGCTTCCGAGGAGCCCGCAAGGCACCAGTAGATCCTAAACTCTCCTTCGACAGGTTCTAGTGCAGCTAGCCGTGTTTCTCCCCTGCCCCCTGCTCCTCCTTAGCAGTGTAAAAGTCGAGTTGACCCCTCATGGGCACCACCCTCGTCTCGCCGCAACTGCAACGCAACGATCATGCTTAAGCCACCCCTAGTAGGCGCAAATGCACATTAAGCAATGCAGAGCATACTGCAGCGCGCAGCCAGCGGGGGGCACGTGCAGCTTGGCCTCCTCTGCACCGTAGCCCGGTGTATGTACACTTGAGTGCAAAGCGTCGCCTGTCAGTAGTCAACCTCGGTGCGTCAGCCCGAGTGCTCCGCGTGCAAAACGCGGCTGCCGCAGAGGCCTTTTGCAGCGCTACCTCGCTGACACGCAGCTCTGCGTCAAGCCGAAACTGAGGCACCAGGAGACGCAATGACTTCGGCAACGTCTGGCATTGTCGAGCCAGCTTCGGCAGAGGCCTCGTGTACTCCAGCCGCAGCAGCTTCTACAGCTGCAGCCGACTGTCGCTGTCTCTGCAGCCTGCGGCTGCTTTTCCGAGAGGCTCTGCGCTGCCGTCTGTTTGTGCCAGCCTTGCTCTCCTTTGGCCTGCAGGCAACTGCAAACGCCAAAACTCGAGGCGGCAGCAGTTGCAGCGCCTGTTGCAGCTGCTTGTTCAGCTCTTCGCGTGGCAGCCACATACAAGGCAGTCGTTGAGGGGGGCCATGATGCATCACCGCGCTAACCAGCGCTTGCTGCTGCTGGCGAACTTCCTGACGCTGCTGCTGCTCTTCTTGTTGCTGCTGCTGCTGGCGAACTTCCTGCTGCTGCAGATGCGGAGGGGGGGTCTCGTTGCTGTGGCGGCTTGCAGCAGTGTCAGTAGCATCTGTCGGTGCCGTCGAAGGTTGCTGAGTCGCCGAAGCACTCGCTGCTTCCTGTTGCACTGCGGGCTGGGGGGGGCTGCTGTCAGCAGCTGCGTGCTGCGCAGCCTCCGTTGCAGCCAGTGATACGGCGGCAGCAGCAGCAGCCGGGGCCCTGCAGCAGCAGCTGCTGCTGCCGCACTGCTGCTGTACGTACACCCCGATGGCCATGACCGTCGGGAGGCCGACAGCTGCAGTCGCCTTCTCCTCCAACCTGCAGACACTCCGTGCAGAGAGGCACAAAGAGACACACCACAAGAGCCTTGTAGACAGGGAAGTTGCCATCCTGCGGCAGCTGCAGCAGCCACACGTAAACGAACTCGTGCGCCACGATCGCAACAGCAACAACCGCTGTAACGCCACAATCGCCGCACCCCCTGCGCTTCCACGGCAGCAGCAAGGCAAGGCAAGGCGAGCCAACTTACGTCTTGTTGCGAATGAGGACTGCCGGAAGCTGCAGGAGAGACGCAAGCACAAGCAACTGCTGCAAGCCGAAAGCCCTTAAGCCTCCTCCCTCGGCAGGGGCAGAACAGAAGCATATCAGCGCATGTATTGACTCCCTTTCTGCGGCTCTGCCCGTTGCAGCAGCACGTCTGCACACCGACACGTTGTCGGCTGCTGCACGCTCAGGCGTGTCGCTTGCGCTTGCGCTTGCGCTTTCAGCAGCAGCAGGAGAGGCCGCTTCTGCAAGTCGCAGCCGACCGTGCATTCCAGTGGCAGCGTGTCGTTCCAGACGTGAGGCACACGAATTGAAACCGATTGCAGCCACATCGTGCACTCCCAACCCGGCTGCCCTCGCAGCAGAGAAGAGGCTGCAGCCACGGGAAGAAGTTCACACCATATCACAAGCGCATGCGCAACGAGAGAAGCTGAGTCACGGACTTGCGACTGGGGTGCCGTCGCGCTAACTGCAGCGCCGCAGATGGTGGATTGGCAATCCTTAGGCATTCGATGAGGGATATACATTCAGACGGATGTCTAACACGAGAGAGCATGCAGCCTTGGAGAGGAAGAAGAGAGCCTCACACCAGCACAGCAAGACACACGGCATAAACCTTCTAAAAGCAACATTAGGGCATAATTTTGCGAGCAAAGGACGCGAGCGTGACAAGCCACTGTAGAACGCCATCCACACGGACAGGCGTAGAAGGCTGCCTCACATGTGTGTGCGTGTGTGTGCACCCCGATTACGCAAAAAATGAACGCAATAAAGCCTTACGTCTCAAGGAGCGCTACGATTTCCTCAGCTGCTTCCCCAGAGCAGTACACCCTGTGCATCCACGAAAACAGCACAACCACCACACGCAACAGCAACAACACCACACGCATCGCTGTCCGCCTAGCCGTAACGGTTCTTGCTGCCAGCAGCAGAACGCTATCACGGCTCCAAACTTCCGAGCAGCAAACAGCAACCCCCTATAGAGCACCATCCCGACTGTGAGGGAACGGATGCCTTCGCCGCAGCGGCAAATGCGGAAAAACAGCAGGACTAGAGCAGCAGAAGAACTACAAATAGCCACCAGCAGCAGCAAGAGGTAGCAAGATGCATACCATGGTGCAGTGAAGGGAGAGAATAGGGATGCCTTCAGTTGGAGATGCTTCTTCTGTTGAGCTCTGCTGCGGCCTATAGTTTCGACCTGCTGATGCAGCTGCTGCCTGCGCTCCTGCTGCAGTTGCTGCTTCATCGTGTGCGCCATTCTGCTGGTTTGCGCTGATCGGGGGGGGGATTTCTGTGGGTAGCCTCATCACTGGTGACGAGGACTGGCCTCATGCCGCTGACAGCACCTTCCGTCGCCCTCCGATGCCGCCCGCTGCAGCTTCTAAGACAGCATCAACGGAAAAAACAAGCAAACTGACTTCCACGCCAGTCGGAGCGAGTGAAAAGTAGCTGCTGCAGCGAACGGTGATGCCGGCGAGAGCTTCCGCGCAGCGGGGGGCAAAGGGTTTCCAGCAGCGTCACCATCAAATGCGCATATATATATATATGTCGTGCTCCCCTCTCCGCATTGGAAGATGCAAGAAAATATGCGCCTGCTTCTCTCCTGAGTTGCTCAAGAGCTGCTGTTGCCGGCTAGGGAATCCCGTAGAGGGAGAGGGGCCCCCCCTGCCCAGAGGGGCCCCTCCCCGCCGATGAAGGAAGGAAGCAGCAGCATTCGTGCGACGTCTAACGCTGCATAAGGGCGGATGTACAAGGATAGAAATGAAGGGCTGGAGAAGTTTTGCGAATGAGGGTAACTCGTGGACTGCTGAAGGGGCAGCCTTTGTCCGTAGTGTGCGATTGGGCGTTTCCGGAGGGGATGAAACTGCTTTTTCTTGGATGACGGGAGCACGCTAGGCTCCGAGTGATGATTCTAAGATTCCAGGGAGGGGATGGAGAGTGCTGCTGTAGTGCATGCCTGTGTAATTTCCGTTGGAGGGCCGTGCGGCGCATATGTGTGGCTCCGTGCAAGTGCCCCTCAACTGTCTACTGACGCTGCTTCCGATGCAGACACCGCTGCTCTTGCTGCGGCAAGAACGCTGAAACGGGTAGGCCTCCTGACAAGGCTAGGTTGCGGAGAATTCGTATGCCGTTGATAAAGCGCTGTTCATGAGGGTGTTGCATGCGGGGAAAGCGAAGGTTGGGTGGAATGCCATCTGCGCACAGTACGTGATTCTGCTGCTGGAGAGAGCCGCAGACGCATGCGTTTTATCGATTGGGGACGATTCTGAGCACTTGCAGCTTCTCCTGCCCGTAGGTAAGTTGCGTTGCTGCAACTCCCTTGCCATGTGGTTGTATGGGTTGGTGACTCCCATCGCAGAAGGAAGGTCATACTGCCCCTCTTCTCCAAGCCTGCGTCGAGCACTGGGCATACGGGGATGCTTTGCGGCTCTCGGTGCTCTCCGCTGCTGCTGCTGCATGCAACAGCAGCAAAGGCAGCAGCATTCCAGAGGGGCCTGAAGGGGGAGCAGCAGACACCCTCGACCCCTGGGCATCCACGTGGATGTACACCGCAGTGACGCATGCAGCGGCACCCCTTGGAGCCGCTGAATCTTTTCTGCACCAGTTGCAGCAATATCACCGTGAAGCGCAGCAAGAGACACACAGCAGACACAGCAGCAGCCCGTTAGTTGCGGTGCGGCTAAGAGAACATGTGCAAGAAAAGCTGCTACGACCTTCTCGTCTTGTGACACCGCCGCCCTTAAGGCTCTCTTCGCTACAGCAACCCCAGCAGAAGGCGCTTCCTGGAAGCAGCTCGTTGCTGCAAGCTGCCTGGTGTATCCCCGACAGCGAAGAAGTGGCGCATTGCACCCAACCCTCGCGAAATTCCCAGCACGCTGCTTGCGAATCGCCACAGGTTCAAGCGCGCGCCGATCACAGCTGTCCGTACAGCAGACTTCCTGTCCAACCGGGTGGCTCCTTGAGGCATCCGGAGCAGCCTGGAACGCCTGCGACGCCGTCTGAAGCCGCACCTCACCCAGTCAGCTACAGCTCGACGGGCAGCAGAAGTTGGGGCTGCATGCGCGCGGAAACACTGCCGCGTACTCAACAGCCCTGGCAGAAGGATCCCAGCGACGCCTCTGCCTGCGCAGCTAGCGCCACGCCAGCGACAAGTGCAACAACGGACAAGGAGCTTGCCGCCATTGAATCCGCATGCCACCAGGCAGAGTCGCTTTGCGAGCTGCTTTCAGCGAACTTGGCCTTGTGTCAGGAGACGGCAGCAGCAACAGCATCAGCCGCTGCAGCGGCTGCCTCAGCAACCGCAACAGCAGCGCGACACCGCGAGGCGACTTCAGCCGTTAGACGCCAGGAATACTTACGGGCAACACGCAAGTACCTAATTGTTGGCATCGTTGCTGCTGCGATTCTCTTGCTGCAACGCGTTGCATGCAGATGAAAGTCAGTGCCGCTGTGACGTTCGCTGCGCCGTTGCGGTGGACGTCGCAGCAACCGGCGCTCGCCTTCAGCGACCAGCGCATGCGCCACTTTTTTGCTGCCATGCGGCAGTAAATCTACAGCTAAGGCAGCAGCAGCAGCACGCTCATAGTTGCTGAGCGGAGACAGCTCCTGCAATTGCGCTTCCTGCCGCTGGGGACGCTTGTGCTAATGAGGCTATTTTACTGGGCTTCCTGCCGCCGGGGAATGCAGTGCCTGTCTGCAAGACGGCACACGCCGTCTGAAGGCGAGCTAGCGCTAGCAGGCATTGAATGAGGGATATCTTGACCCTCTGTACATATATTTAGAGTGCAGTAGCTAATTATCTATGTGCCTATATATATCTAGAGATAGAGCCGAGCCGAGGGGCCCCTTCAGGTACACAGGGGGTGACAAAGAAAGCCGCAAAGCAGCCGAAGTGCAGCCCAGCAAAAGACACACATGCTCTTCAAATGAAGCTCCGCGGCAAATACAAAGGGTTTTTGCGGCAAGAGGTAGTAGTAGCAGCAGTAGTAGTAGCTGTTGAGGGGTATCTCGGAAAAGAGACCGGTGCCGTGGGGTAGGTGATGGTGCAAAGCCTCAGAAAAAGCTGCTTTTACGGCGCGAAGAAACACGGGGAGACGTTTTCTCGTAGCTGTGAGGCTCATGGGGGGGGGATGTCAACGCGTTGTCTCTTTCCTGCCGCTCGTGGCGCAACAGAATCAGCCTCCAGAGCAGTGCTGCCGCGTCTGTTCTCGCGCGCGGTAGCTGGACCGCCAGCCTCACCTGCAGACAAGGGGTGCTTCGTTGTGTTGCTGCTGGTGATGCGCAGACTGCGAGGATTGCTGCCGAGACTGCCTTGATCTCGCCGCTGCTGCGGAGAGGAGGGCTGTCTCCTCTCCGCAGCAGCGGCGGCTTCCTTGCTGCGCTTGCGCTTGACAGCTCTCCAGCGCAGCAGCAGTCTCCCAACATAGTGGGCAGCAGCAGACGAGCAGCAGTCGCTCCACGTCAGGTGTCTCTGCTGCTTGATCGCCAGCAGCAGCCTCAGCACTATGCCAGGGGAGCAGCAAATCGTCTCCTCTACCTGTTGCAGCACCAAAGCCTCCTGCTGAGCCACAGCCAAGACTTGAGGCGAGATGCCAACTGTTTCCCAAGGCGCAACGTCTTCGTGGTGGCAGATCCTTTTACAATCAGTGGTGCTGTCACTGCTGCTGCTGCTGCTGCTGCTGCTGCTGCAACTGCTGGTGTCACTGCTGCTGCCATGTCCAACACAGCGGTTAGGCTCTGCCTCGTTCCTCAGCAGTCCCTCTTCCTCCTGCTGCTGCGCAGTCGTCGCTGCTGCAGCGTCGCTCCGCTGCGAGTCTCTGCAATTCTCCTTTCCTGCCTCATAAGCTGACTCGCCACTCTCCCGCCGCTTCTCCTCCCTGCACACCTGCAGCGACAGCCTCTGCTGCTGCTGCTGCATGCCAAAAAGAGCCCCACAGAACCAGGCGTGCGGCTTGCGCTGCACAGTGCCATAGAGCATGTTGGGGGGGGGAGACAAGAGGCAGGCTGGGGAAGCCTCTGCTGCGCTTCGACTTTCTTCTGGAAACACGGCTTCCTCCGCAGTTTCCGCTGCTCCTTGTGACGGCGAGTGTGCAGCGACTGCCGGAGGCGATCCTCGAAGGGCCGCAAAAGGAGACATGTTCGGGTGCTTCGCCAGCTGCTGCTGCTGCTGCCGCTGCTGCTGCTGCTGCTGCTGCTGCTGCTGCTGCTGCATTAGTGGACCTCGCGGAGGGGCATTGTAGCGAAGACGCAAAGGTCTGCTGCCGTCGTGCTCCGCTGCCATGTGGAAGCGGAGATACCCCGGCAAAGCGTCGATCAGCTCAAATATGTTGGAGCTGCTGCTGCTGCTGCACCTGCGAGGCAACACGCCTTCCTCGACGACAGGAGTCTCTGTGACTTTCAGCTCTTCCGCAGCTGCCGCCACTGCCGCTGCTGCTGCGGCAGTCGCATGGCCAGATCTCCCCCCCCCCTCACCCTCTGCAGCGGCTCCCTGCTGCTGCTGCTGCTGCTGCTGCTGCGCAGCCTCAGGAGCAAACCAGGGGTGACCTAAGGCTTCTGGCAGCAGCAGACGCTGATGCGGCTCGAAGGCTAGCAGGTGGGAAAGCAGACACCAGAAATAGCCGCTGCAGCGGCTGTACTGCTGCTGCAGCTGCTGCCTCTCCAAGGCAGCTGCACACGCCTTCGCGCTGTAGCACAAGACACCCGCCAGTCCACAGCAGAATCCCACCCGTCGACACGCCACACGCATGCACGCATGCATGCATGCAGTGCACGCATGCACTGCATGCATGCACGATCCGCCTCCTGCTTGAGCCTGCTTTCTGCCCGAGCACAACCCTTCCCCTTCTAGCAGCAGCACGCGCTCGACGCAAGAAAGGATTCGCAGCTGCAAACAACTCACCCCCCGGAGCAAGTCTTGTGCACCTGCTTGATGAGCAGCAAACTTAGCACAAGTCTTCGAAGGTAATTCGTGTCGCCTTGAAACAAAGCCCCAGAAACCCCTGCACCCCCCTTAAAGCCCCAACGGGGGCCCCACACAGCCTCAAGGGCAGAAAAGTGCTGCTCTTGCTGCTCTGCATGCGCCGCTCGCAGATGCCGCCACACTGGCTCCTCTTCAATATCCGACTGCTGCGCCAAGTCCGCCTGCTGCTGCTCTTTTTGTTGCTGCTGTTGTTGCTGCTGCTGCTCTTTTTGCTGCTGTTGTTGTTGCTGCTGCTGCTCTTCCTGTTGCTGTTGTTGGTGCTGCTGCTGCTCTTCTTGTTGCTGTTGTTGGTGCTGCTGCTGCTCTTTTTGCCGTTGGTGCTCTTCTTGTTGTTGGTGCTCCTGCTGCTCTTCTTGTTGCTGCTGCTGCTCTTCTTGTTGCTGCTGCTGAGCCTGCACGTGCTGCTGATGAGGCCACTTAGTCCAACAGCTCCCTGAGCTTTGCAGTGCTCTTTCTCCCGCACTCTCCGTCCCTCTGCTCTCTTCTTCCAATGGCTGTTGCGGCTGTTGCTGCTCTTGCGACTCCTGCTTTGACAGCAGCTCTTGCGACTCCTGCTTTGACAGCAGCTCTTGCGACTCCTGCTTCGACAGCAGCTCTTGCGACTCCTGCTTCGACAGCAGCTCTTGCGACTCCTGCTTCGACAGCTGCTCTTGCGACTTCTGCTTCGACAGCAGCTCTTGCGACTCCTGCTTTGACAGCTGCTCCTGCGACTCCTGCTTCGGCAGCTGGAATAGACCAAGCCCAATGTGTGCAAGGATCTCATGGACTGCACACCAGAAGAGACTATACGTTTCGTCTTGTGCTAGCCACTTCATTATGCAGGGAGGAAGGGTCAGCTTGTTATGGTGCCGGCTGCATGCAGCGTCACCGTCTGCGCCTACACGCTTTCCCGTCCCCGCTCCTGCCTCTGCTGCCTCTGCTCCTCCTACTGCGTCGATTGGAGAGGTTTGTCTTTTTTCTTTCTGTTGCACCAGAGGACTTGCCTCGCCCCCTCCTGCATCGCGTGGCTCCGACGTGTGTAGAACCGCCGCTGCCGACTCCTCTTCTTCTGCTGCTGCTGCAAGCAATTTCCGCTTTCCTCCACACGCAGAAGCTGCTGAGCGGCGTGGCGCGCCTCTGCGAGACGCATGTCTGCTGCGACAGGCTACTTCAGCGCGGGAAGTCTTCGCCTGCCTCGCCGTTGAAGGCTTTATCGCAGCTTTAGAGGTCTCGTTGGTAGCCGCCTCGACAGTTTGAGACGCTGCTGCCGGTCGAACTGCATTGCCTGCTGAGGCAGCTGTACTCACTGCCTCAGCAGGGGAACGCAGCTCGGCGAGAATGCGACGAGCCTGCGTCTCTTCCTCAATAAACCGAAGAGACCCCTCAGGTGTTTGGCAGCAGCAAGCTCTGCGCTTGCTGCTGCTCCCTGCGCTGGAGGGGCAGCAGCAGCCTCCTCCTTTCACAAGTTCGCAAAGAGCAACTCCGAAGCTCCATACGTCGCTGAGCTGGGCTCTCAGGCGAGCTGTCGCATCGGCAGTCTTGCTGCCGCAGATTCGCGGTCTGCTGCTGCTGCTGCTGCTGCTGCTGCTGCTGTTGCTGCTCCTCGTGGTGTTGCTGCTGCAGGGAGCTTTCGCGCGTGCAGCAGTACCGCTGCAGCAGCTTGGCCTATGGAAGCCACTGTTGCCTTGAGGCTTTGCTCTGTTCTTGTGGCAGTATCCATCGGAAGCGGGAGGCGCTTGAGCGGCTTTTTGGACGGAAGAGGCTGATGAATGCGTACGACTCACCACCTCCGTTGCTGCGTCTGCCCTCCGAGCTGACGGCGCTTTCCCCGTGCCAGCTGTCTGCTGCTGCTGCTGCTGCTGCTCCCCAGCAGCAGCAGCAGCAGCTGCTGCTGCTGCTGCTGATCCCGCGGCAGGCCTTAGCAGAAGCCTCTTGCCGCATGCAGCACCAACTCGATCGGGATCTTGCTGCTTCCGCAAGATACCACGCTCGTCTACGCGCAACGCCTCAGGGGGATTCGAGTATAGCGTTCCCTGATTCAGAGACACCAGTTGCTGACGAACCTGAAGCAGCAAGCCAAGGCAGCCAAGGCAGCCAGAGCACAAAGGGCTGAGAACGCCTTGAGAGCGCGGAGGGATGCGCAGACAGACAGCAGGTAGCAGCAGGTAGCAGCAGCAGCAGCAGGTAGCAGCAAAGGAGGAAGGGTGTCTCCTCGCAATGCAGTGCCATAACTTGTCGCTAAGAAAACGATTTGCGCCAACCCCTGCAAGAAGTACCTGTTGCTCCCATACAGCGCGCTTCTCTTCTTGGCCTCCCTTCCACGGAGTTGACGCTCTGCAGCAGCAGCAGCACCGTCACCATCCCCCATTACAACCACCCCCCCGAGGCACTCGCGCATGCAGCTGAGCCGCAGCAGGCACCCATCGCCCCCGTCGCGAGGTGTAAGCCCAGACAGACGCGAAGCAACGCATTTACACACCAGAACCACCTCATCTCGCTCCCCACCAGCCCTCTGAACACCTTGAAAACAAATCGCAAAACTCTCACTTCAGATGATCCTGAGGATTGCCAATAATTGCGGAACCAAAGTCTGCAAGGCAAATCAGCCACTTTAAAGGCCGTGCTGCATCGGCTTCCTCCGCAAAGACGAGGATATTGGAGAGTTTGACGTCGACCACTCGTATCACCTCTGCCTGCAAACGAAGTGCACGCCAGCCACCACACACGCATTCCTCTCCTCTTCTCGAGATTATTTTCCCGAAAATGAGCGGCTCCGCAGCAGTCAGAAACTGCGCGTGGCACCGGCGCGGCAAGAACCCGCAAACCTTCCTCTCAGCTGCGTCTTTTGCCGCTAAAAGCACACACATCCTGCTAGCCATCCTGCTAGCCATCCAGGGAACCCCACCTACCGAGCAGCAAAAATGGAGAAAGGCACCGCCTGCCAAGAGCTGCGCGGCAATAAATTTGACTTCGAACTCCGTCAGTCCACAGGGTCCTACTACGCCGTAAGCTTTCCATATCGACTCGGAGCTTGGAAGACGTTTCTGGCAGCTTTTCGTGTGGGGGAGGAGGCTTCCCTTGGTGCTGCTAGTCGTGCCAGAAGCGTCGTCCTCTGCAAAAGAAGCGTCTTGTGCCGGTTCTCTTGCTGCAGCTGCACGTCTCCCCGTCAATGTGCAAATGCCACCTAGAGTCGAGCCGCTGCTCGCTTGCCCACCCTCCGGCTGCTTTTGCTGCTTTTGCTGCTTTTGCTGCTGTTGCTGCTTTTGCTGCTGTTGCTGCGCGTCATACCAGGCAAGCACAACCTTTGCCTTTGCTCGTCTTATGATGAGCCGCCTCAGCATCACTTGGAGATCCCCTAGAGCTCTCGGCATCAGAAGTTGGAATACGCGAGTCGTCGAATGCAAGCCAGGGGACTGCTGCTGATGCTGCTGCTGCTCTCTATAGCTTCTTGTAGCAATGGGTTTAATGACGTGTGGATTAAAGTGCTTCATAAAGGCCTCCTCCCGAAGAAACTGGAAAGGAGCAGCCGACATTGTCTTGTATTCCTTGAGGGCTAAGGGGAACAAGGATACCGAGGTGCAGCAGCAGTCGCCTTTAAGGCTGCTGCTGCTGCTGCTGCATGTCGCACAATGGCTGCTGCTGCTGGGTAGGTGGCTGCTCTTCGTTTTACGCGCTGAAGGAGCGACTGCTGGTGCTGCTGCTCGCTTGTTCCTTGAAGCTCTCCGTTCGGCAGGAGACGCTGTTTTCTGCTGCACCTGCTGCTGCTGCTGCTGGAGCTGCTCCTGCTGCTGCTGCAGCTCCTGCTGCTGTAGCTCCTGCTGCTGCTCCTGCTGTGTATCTCGACTCCACTCCGCTTCGTAGACGCTGCCGAAGGTGCCTTGACCAAGCCTTGTGCTGGTCGCCTTCAACCACCCCAAGCCCATCCACCACTCCAGGCGGAGCTGCTGCTGCTGCATAGACTGCTGCTGCTGCTGCATAGACTGCTGCTGCTGCCCACGATGCTGCTGATTCCCAGGTGTCTGCAAGAGCTTTTTCTGCTGCTGCTGTAGACCAGAGGCTGCACGCAGGAATGCCTCACAGGGAGGCTGCAGCTGCGGAAGAGGAACTGCGTCACGACGTCTCCGCAACACCAGCAGAGACTCCGCGGGGGGGGGGAAGCCTCCGCCACTGTGCGTAGGCGTTGCTGCAGCTGCTCCCCCTGCTGCACTGGAGTAGCAGGGGGAGAAGGCAGCAGCCTCCCCCCCTCTTGATGACGCTATGCCTCCTCGGAGAATCGCGTTCTGCTGCGATCGCGCAGCGTGACAGCGCAGCTTCCGTGTCTCATGAGGGGGAGCAGCGTGCAGCTGCTGCTGCATGGACTGCTGCTGCTGCGTAGACTGCATAGACTGCTGCATAGACTGCGGCTGCTGCATAGACTGCTGCTGCTGCGTAGACTGCTGCTGCTGCGTAGACTGCTGCTGCTGCGTAGACTGCTGCTGCTGCGTAGACTGCTGCTGGTCAAGAGACGCGACAAAGCGCGAGAACTTGCTAGCTGCCCGCCTGCTCCCGACGCATGCATCATCTCCACGCAGTCCAGCACTGCTCCCGCTGCTGCGCAGAAGTTTTACCCGCTTCTCTGCAGAAGGCGGCGCAGCAGCGACGGAAGCAGAAGACGTGCTCGACTTCAGAGACGCAGCAGCGCACGCAGCACGGGAGATGCGTATAGGACCTACAGCATGCATGTCTGCCGCTTCTGCAGAAGAGGCTGCCTTCATATTACTGCCGCGAATCCTCTTCCGAGGCGGCAGCTCAGCTCCAGGAGGGAGCTCCTCTTCTGCAGCTGCTGCATCCACACTCTTGTCGCGGATGCTCTTCCTCCATCTCCCTCGTTCGCTGTCGCCAGCAACACCAACAATAGCGCCGCTGTCAGCCGGAGTTTCAAGGGGCTGGAAGAAGTCCACTGTGCTGCTGCTGCTGCTGCTGCTGCTTCTGCTACTGCTGCTGCTCAGAAGGGTGTCTGGTGTCGGCTGCCCGCACTCTGAGTGCTGAGGAGCAGACGCAGCAAGGCACGCCAGTTCCTGCGGCTGCTGCTGCTGCTGCTCAGCCTCGTTCACTCTGCATGTTGCGTTTTCTGCCTCGTCTGCAGCAGTCGATCGTCCTTCGTGGATGTGGCTGCAGCTGTTGGGCGCTTCCGTGTCGCCCGCATGCAGCAGCAGCAGCTGCTGCTGCAGCGTTTCTGCGCTGTTGCTGACGACTGCCGAAGAGAGTGCCTCCTTTCCCATCTCCTCGCTCATCGCGGCAGTGCCCTCTAAGGAAGCAGCAAGCGGCTCAGAAGCTCCTGCTGGGCAGCCTGCTTCTGACTCTGGAGGATTCTCTGCAACAGCAGCAGCCGCAGATTCGCTCATGTTCGATTCGCCGTTGCAAGAAGTCAGCTTCGAGCTATCGACAGTGAGGCACCGGATAGTCTGGACTGCCGTTGCAACGACTCCCTTAGCAGACGGCTGTAGCTCGCATTGCACTGCCTGCTGCTCCATCTTGTGCAACATCTCCTGCGAGCAGAGGAGCTCTGCCAAGTGCGCGTGCTGCTGCTGTACATGCACCTCGTCCTGAGAAATTTTCGTCTGCGGCTTTTCTTCTGAACTGGCAACTTCTTGCGGATCCTCCTGATGCCTTTCTGACGCCTCTGCTGTTTCGTCCTTATCCCTCGGTGCCTGCTCCAGATGCTGCTGCCGTTGTTGCTGCACGTGTTGCTGCCGTTGTTGCTGCACGTGTTGCTGCTGCTGTTGCTGCTGCTGTTGCTGCTGCTGTTGCTGCAGCAGCAGCCCTTCCTCGGCATTTCTCTGCTGGGAAACAAGATACTCCAATGCTGCTGCCTGCGCTTCGTCTGTCTCTACTCCTTCTGATCGCTCTAGGCTCTTTGCCCCCCTGCCACGAAGCGTGTCATCGAGACGCTTGACAAGGCTTCGTTGCTGCTTCTCCTGCTGCTCTGGCACCTGCCCCTCGCTCAGCGATGACTGCACTTCCAAAAGTGGACTTCTCCCCACACCATGATGCTCCGTTGCACTGGGAGTAGCAGCAGACAATGCAGCAGGGGGTTCTGCCGCTTTTACTCCATCGTCAAGACACCGAGAGGCTGCAGTCTCTTGTTTGCCCTCCACAATACGTTGCTTGCGTTCTAAGGAAGATGACGCAGACAGAGACTTGCCATCATATCTGCTGCTGCTGCCATGTCGATCCTTCCTGCTCCTGCTGCTGCTGCCTCCATGTCGATCCTTGCTGCTCCGGCTGCTGCACTTGTTGCGGCGCTTGCTGCTGCTGCTGCCGGTGCTGCTGCCTCCATGTCGGTCGCTGCTGCTTCTGCTTTTATGCCTGATGCTATGAAATTCGCTTTTATGCCTTCTGCTGCCATGAGAAGTGCTTTTATGCCTTCTGCTGCTACCAGTGCTGCTGCTTTTATGCCTTCTGCTGCTACCAGTGCTGCTGCTTTTATGCCTTCTGCTGCTACTAGAGCTGCTGCTTTTATGCCTTCTGCTGCTACCAGTGCTGCTGCTTTTATGCCTTGTTTCGCTTTTCTCGCTGCATTCGTGGCTGCTGTGTAGGTTGCTGCAAGATGCACGGGCAGCAGGGCTCTTTCGAGGTGTTGCGAGAGCAGTGTCGCTGACAGTCTTCGACGTTGGTGTGCAATCAGCAGCCTCAACAGCCGTGTTTGCTATGCTCTTTGCAGAAGACATGCAACGAGCTGAGTGCGGCGAAGATCTGCGCTGCCCTGAGGGTACAGCAGAGGCGATGGCGGCTGCAGCTGCAACGGCAGGAGTTGCTGCACGAACTGCTGCTGCAGCTTCTGCACGAACTCCTGCTGCAGCTTCTGCATGCATTGCTGCTATGGGAGGCTTTGCCCTTGCCAATATCTTCTTGGCTACAGCGGTGTCTTGCGATACAGCTGCGGTTGCGCGAGCGACTGCAGCAGTGGCATGGCTGACAGATGCACAGTTAGCTGTCGGGGAGCCTCCAACTGTCGGTGCAGTAGCGATCGCAGCAGCAGCAGCAGCTTCACAGGCTGCAGCCTTTGCAGACACTGGTTTCAAGTGTCTATTCAGCGGGGGATTGTGCAGCTGCAGCAGCCCTTGCAGCCACACAACACCAAGACGTCGCACTGGTCCTTCTTCTTTTGTCGGCGGCACGTGTTCTTTCTCCTGATGCTCTTGTTGCTGTTGTTGTTGGTGGTGGTGGGGTTGTTGTTGCTGTTGTTGGTGGTGGTGGTGGGGTTGCTGTTGCTGTTGTTGCTGTTGCTGTTGTTGGTGTTGTTGGTGGTGGTATTGCTGGTGGTGGTATTGTTGTTGTTGCTGTTGGTGGTGGTATTGTTGGTGGTGGTACTGTTGTTGCTGCTGCTCTTGTTGCTGCTGTTGCTGTTGCTGCTCTTGTTGCTGCTGTTGCTGTTGCTGCTCTTGTTGCCGTTGTTGCTGCTGTTGCTGCTGCTGCTGCACCTTCTGAATGACCGACTGTGCTGCAACACGTACGCGCTGAGCTGTCTGTACACCAGAAGAATGACGGAAAGAGGCACTCACGCGCCTTTGGTCCTGTTGCTGCTGCTGCGGCTGCTGCTGGTGTCTTTGTTGTTGCTGCTGCTGCGGCTGCTGCTGGTGCCTTTGTTGTTGCTGCTGCTGCAGTCGCTGCTGCTGGTGTCTTTGTTGTTGCTGCTGCTGCGGCTGCTGCTGGTGTGCTGCTTGTTGTCTGTGGAGATCCTGTTGGAAGTGGTGGTAGGATCTCTGCGGCTCTTCGCCAAGGCTCACGGATGAAACAAAGTCATAGGGAGTCAAGCATATCTGTTCTTGCTCCTGCTGCTGCTGCAGCGCAGGCGTCATCGCTTTGAAGTGTTGCGAGGCTTCAGTGAGGGGTGACGATGCATACGTTTGCTGCAACAGCTGCTGTGTGTGTTGCTGCTGGTGCGACACTGGGGAGTCGCTGGATCTTCCCTGCAGCAGCCAATCCACGATCGCTTGCTGCTCCTGTGTGTGGTTTGCGACGGGAGCAGCAGCAACAGCATGCCCACTGCTGACTCGAATGCCTTCTCCTCCAAAAGATCGACTGCTGCTGCTCTGCTCTGAGTGCCCTGCAGCAAAAGGCGATTCAACAACGGGAGTGAATGGCTGCATGACTTGCTGCTGTCTCTGCTGCGTGCTGACAGAGGTGTATCTAGATATCGGCGGTGAAGACTCTAAGGCTGCAGGAGTAGTATGCTGAGCATCCTGTTGCAACGGTAGCTGAGGCTGCTGAGGCTGCTGGGGCTGCTGCTGCTCCCAGTCGGCGTGCGTCTGTCTGTACAGCCAAGACTGCTGCCGCCTCTGCTGCTCGTCGTGCAGCTGCTGCTCCGTAAAAGAGGCCTGTTGCTGCTGTTGTTGCCGCTGCTGCTGTTTCCAACAACTCGGAGTCTGTTGCTGCCAAATGGAATGCCAGTGCGGAGTCGGAGGTTGTTGTGACCATCCCTGCTGCCACTGCTGATGAGGAGCATACTGCTGCTGCTGCTGCCAACTGTGGCGCTTATGTTGGTACTGCTGTGAATGCTGCGGTGCATGCAAGTGCTGCTGCTGCCTCCATCCTTGCTGGGCCTGCTGTTGCTGCTGCGGCGCTGCTGGATAGCGGCAAACTGCTGCAACTCGGCTGCATCTCTCCAACCAGCTCGATCCTGCATCCCAGCCACTGCTGCATGCAACTTCCCACGCACGGCTGCTGCTGCTGCCGCTGCTGTGGCACTCGCTCCAGCTGCTTCTGCAGTTGGCGCCACTGTACGGACGCTGTGCATTGGGGTTTTTTACGAAGCGGCTCTGGGAGCAACTGCCGCTGCTGCTGATCTGCCTATCTGCATGGCAAGAACTGCGTCGAGGACCGCTGCTGCTGCTGCTGCTGCTGCTGCTGCTGCTGCTGCATTGCGTGCCTGTCCTCTTGAGTCGTGGCGAGACAGCCCAAGGGTCGATGCCAGGGCTTGAGCTCCTCTGTCTGTGCACGGCCGTAATGCTGCTTGTCTTGCTGCTGCTGCTGCTGCTGCTGCTGCTGCTTGTCTTGCTGCTGCTGCTGCTGCTTGTCTTGCTGCTGCTGCTGCTGCTGCTGCTTGTCTTGCTGTGCTTGCTGCCGCCGCCACTGCCTGAGTCAGCAAGCAAGAGGCCAAAGCCAGGAGGAGACATCGGTGATCGGGAACATTGTAATGCAGATGACGGCTGCTCTTACTGCAGCTGGCTGTTGCCCTTATTGCAGCTGGCTGCAGTAAGAGCAGCAGCCAGCTGCAGCTGTCGGCGCGGAAGGGCACGTGGAGACGGCAGTCACAGTTTCTATACTGCGAAGCAGTCTGAGCGGCAAGCCCTTCAGAGATTCCCGCCGTAACAACAGCCACAGGTGGTTGGTCTGCTGATCTGCGTGAGCTGCGGTGTCTTCCCCGCGCCTTAGCAGTGGGAGGCGCAGGGGAAGGAGGGGCAGGTGCTCCCTAAACATGAGACGCAAGCAATTAGACAATAAGACAAACGCCAAAAGAAACGAGTTTGCCGCTGCTTCGTCTGCTGCTGCTGCAGCTGCTGCTGCTGGGCCCCCTGCTGCAGCCCCACCGACCGCAACACCCACCACAAGTAGGGTGTTTCTTGCCACTTCTCGGCTTCTCGTAGGAGTCGGCGCAAATGTTACGGTGAAGCACTGTGGTGAGCGTTATCCTCTGTCGAAGCGTAACAAAGAGGCAGGCAGAAAGCAGCTCATTCCGCGGAAGACTCTCTCCTTCACCCGACAGCAGTGTAGCCGAAGTGCCACCATCGGCGGTGGGGGAGATTCCACCTCCCCCCTGGAGGGCAGCTAATCTGCTGTTCTAATATACAACCAAGCAAAATTAATGCTTTCTTGATTTATAATTCTTTCTTCACGGATTCCCCAGCTGCCTCTGGCAGTTAGATCACCCCAGATATCCGGCGGTTGAAGGCAGTAGCCAGCGGCCACCCCGAATTGTAGGTGTGCTCCATGTGCATGGTATCAAGGCAAGACGTTCTCTAGAGGATACTATAGGGAATAAGGCTCTCTTAAGGCTACTGGTCGGGAGAGCAAACGAGATTGGTGTTCAGATTCCTCTCTAGATGATCTATGTGTGGTAAGGTGTCTAGTCATAGAAGTACACACCGAACGAGGTGATGGGTTAGTTTTTGCCCTTCCCGTCAAAGAACTGACAGTCAAGTTTGCTGCCAAGTACCACGTTTCGAAGCGCCATCCGTCTCCTGGACAACATTAACACTCCCACCCCCTTCAGCAGGCCTGCGGTGTGCTCCCGTGGGCTGTTTTTTGCCTCTTCCACCGCTCATGCGGTGCGGCTGCTCGATGCATAGATATGCAAACTACTCCCAAATGCATCATTCACTCCACACAACTATGCTACGTCACGCAATGGGAAGCACATGTTCGCATGAACAGCCAAATTTTACGCAGATTACACACCCCTTCCTTCGGGAGCCTCGTTCCCTGGCACTGCCCCTCTCTCCTACCCAGCTACACAGAGATGTAACCCGACAAGCAGAAACGGTCTGCTGCTGTGACGTTCCTCCCGCACCAGTAATAGACGGAGCATCAGCGCTGATTGCAGCTGTTACTACGGTAGGGGAACGGTGGATCTTCAAGAGAGAGGATTTACAAGAACTGTTGAAGGTTATTGGCGATGCTCAGGAGCATTGGGTCGTCGAAGAACTTGTGAATTGACACGTCTTCGCTCAAACCCTGAAAGAAGCCAAACCACATCCCACGCACGCCATTCACCCTGGTCCATACACCATCCATGCAAATGTCGCAAGCATGCAAGCAACAACTTCACACAGAACATATCCCCAACCGTACCCGTCATGCAAGCACATACTACCGTAAAGGGCTACAGAGACAGAGGCACAAGGGAGCACTTGTATACGCATAGATTTCGCAGATACATATACATATATATAGCCATCAGTTGCACTGTCAAGGCACAACTGCGCACGCCGCAGCACCCACACACACGGCATGCCTTTTTGCAGCAGCGACACAGTACAGATACCTTGCGCCTCCTGGTCTTTAGGAGGAATTCTCGGGCGAGATGAGGAGCCGGCGCGGGTTCAAGCGGCTTAAATACAATCTGCTTGTCAAGAGGATCGCCGGGAACGATTGCCCAATTGTCGAATACTGTCAGACACATGGCTTGCCCACTCGTATGTGTCCTGCAGCGAGATGCCACCCATCAATCAGCACAAGCTCACGCGAATAGTGATTTGATGCCTTTTACGGGCTCCAGTGGGTGCGCATGTTGCTCCTGCAAGGCTGCCGACATCAGAACTCACCTCAGATCTGTCTCGAAGCCGAAAGACTCAATGGCAGGGAGATACGCATGCACAATGTACAGTGGAGTGCCAGGTTTGGGCATGTCTCTGGCAACATTGCCACGCCGTCTGCAGCAGCAGCAGCAGCAGATGCCCCCATGCGCAAAAACACGCAGCAGCAGCACGAAGTACGTGCAAGGAGGCGCCACAGAGGAATCCCAGTAAAAGCACGATGCAGCAGCAGCAGCAGCAGCAGCAGCCTTGCTGTCTGCGCGCACAGCAAGGGGCGAGAGAGCGCTTGCAAGCGTACCTAGCCAACACGGTATAAATCGCGGATACGCAATCCGCAGGGCATTGGATCTCGGAAAACATGATGGGCTCCAGCAGCCGAGGTGTCGCCAGCAGCAAGGCGGAATATGCCACCCTCCTACGCAGCAGCACGCCGCCTCGCACACGCATCCCGACCATCCTCAGAAGCTTACGCGCCGAACGACCGCATGCACATGCGGCAGGAAGAGAGGTGAAGCAAATCAAACAAGAAAGGCAGAAAAAGACTCGCGCGCAAAGGCCCGAAGCTCGCAAGAGTGGAGCGATAACACCAGGGAGCAAAGGAGGGATAGCTAGGAGCACCTCGCGCTGGGGATGATCTGCCCGCCTCCTCTATGAACCGGATCCTTGGCGATTTCTGCATCTACGAGCTTAAATCGAACCCCCTTCACATTTTCCTCTATGAGTGGGCCTTCCCTTGTTGCCCATTGGAAGCCCTAGAGGAAAAAGCAGCAAGGCACAGACAGCCAAGCCGCCGAGCATGTGCATGCAGAGGCGGCACAGACGACGAGGAAGCGGCTTGGCAGGAGATGGTCGAATAATGGATGCTGCCTGCGCTCATGGAGAGCCCAGGCACGACACAACGGCACCCACGCCACCACCACCACCGACCTAAAAACACGGTGCACCGCGTGATCAGGGCCAAAGAACACTAGCAAAGAGAAAAAGAGACATAAGATGCGGATATTAGATTCCGATGACGCCGACACACACATCCACGCAGCACGAAGTAACCTCGATAGATGTGAATTCAGCTTTCTCCTGCCTTCTTTGCAACCCCGACAGGCCTGCCCCCCATCCCCACCCCTTTAACACACAGTAAGGAACAGGTACAACACACACTTGGCAATAACCCCTACGAAATCGCCTTTTCGCCATGACATATTTCCTTGGCACAGCATTGTTTTTGCATGCCTCTTCCGGTCCTCCCTCCTTCCCTCCCTCCCTTTCCCCTGCTGCAGGCCCTGCGTCTCTCAGTTCTGTGAGTGCGGCACTTGAGAAAAGCGCATGCGCATGCACACCTGAATGACGCTCTCCTTGAACGGCAGTAAGGCCCCTTTTTGCTGAGTGACAAGGCGCTGAAACTCCGGATTAAAAACTTCGCCCAACAACACGCAAGAGCCTGAATGAGACAAAACGAAGGCCCCATGACTCAAGAGCCGTTTAACCGGACAAAAAGCCTCATTTCAGAGAGCATAGCTGCAAGGCTATTCTACACGACTCCGGAGACAGCGTGCCCGGAGGGGTGCCTGCATGTCGAAGTTCTACGTTTTTGTAGGAAAACTCAGAGCACATCTAAGCAAAATACCCGTGAGCGTTCCGGAGGACTTTTTCTCTAGTGGTCAATCTAAAGCCAGCTTCAAGGCATGCAAATTTCTTCTACTTAAGGCATGCAAATTTCTTCTACTTAAGGCATGCAAATTTCTACTTAAGGAATGCAAATTTCTTCTACTTAAGGCATGCAAATTTCTTCTACTTAAGGCATGCAAATTTCTTCTACTTAAGGTATGCAAATTTCTTCTACTTAAGGAATGCAAATTTCTTCTACTTGAGGGATGCAAATTTCTAATTAAGGCATGCAAATTTCTTCTACTTAAGGAATGCAAATTTCTTCTACTCAAGGGATGCAAATTTCTTCTACTTAAGGCATGCAAATTTCTTCTACTTAAGGTATGCAAATTTCTTCTACTTAAGGAATGTAAATTTCTTCTACTCAAGGGATGCAAAAAATTCTACTTAAGGCATGCAAATTTCTTCTACTTAAGGGATGCAAATTTCTTCTACTTAAGAGATGCAAATTTCTTCTACTCAAGGGATGCAAATTTCTGCTACTTAAGGCATGCAAATTTCTTCTACTTAAGGCATGCAAATTTCTTCTACTTAAGGGATGCAAATTTCTACTTAAGGCATGCAAATTTCTTCTACTTAAGGGATGCAAATTTCTTCTACTCAAGGGATGCAAATTTCTTCTACTTAAGGCATGCAAATTTCTACTTAAGGAATGCAAATTTCTTCTACTTAAGAGATGCAAATTTCTAGAGAAATGACTCTTAGCTGTTGAGCCTCACCCCTTGCCGCAGGCCCGAAAGCCCAAATTGAACGCGCAGCCAGCAAATCCCATCCGTATTGCGTAGAGAAGTGCTCGCCGAGGGTCCTTAGGAGAAGAACACACATACACATACACATACGCGCAAGTATCAACACACACGCACAGAGGGTTTGGGGGGTGAATGCGATGTCTGCATGCTTGCTGGTGCAAGCCTGCACCACCATCCGTTACTCAAGCGCGGCACGGAGAGGTCTTATAAAAGATGCAGCTGCGATCAAACGCCACGCGTATAAAGCTCGTTTGGCCTCCCACGTGGGGGAACACGCGAACATGTGTATGTGTTCTGCATGCATCTATTTCGTGGTATGAAAGGGCTCAGCAGTCAGTGAACGCCTGCTACGCAACAGCCACCAGCAGTCCCTCGCGATTGCCTCCGCAGCCTGCTCCCCAGCTCTCTTTCACGAATACTTGCGCATGCCGCCCAACACGAGCTCTTGCCAACAACGCGGCTCGTGTGTTGGAGGCTCCCGGCTCCCTCCGACGACCACACCCTCGGAGCGCAAGAGCTGTCCTCCGCAAAAGCAAAGAGACAGGTTCTAGCCCTTCGCAGAAGCAAGAGAGGGCATGTGGCTTGCCTTTGATCCCATTTATCGCTGATGAGCCCCTTCTCCAAATCATCGGCGATTCTCTTCTCAAGCGGCTCTGCAATCATGAAGAGCTTGTTGCGCTTATTGGGAGACTCGGCAAAACACTTCAGCGCACTCGTTTCCACGACCTGCAACCAGCGATCGATGAGAGGAAGCCCACAACAACGCAGAAACACGTCAGCGGCGGTTGGAAAGCCTGGTGTTTACACCCCCATCGACGCAAGAGAGAGAGGCAGGCAGTCGCGGCTTCTAGACGTGAAACTGTGCCGACAGGCGTGCCCCCACAACAACCTCAGCGCGCACGAGAGAGAGCAGAGACACGAACTGCCATCACATCACGGTGACAGCGGTTCTTTCTGACGCAACTCGACAAGAAATCTCGATCCACTTGGCAAGCGCGGAGAAGCCACCACGGAACATGCAAACGGCTTTGCCTTCCTTCCCCCACCAAATCCTGAACAGGCAGCGCTAGGCCCTGCCTGCCCCCAGCACGTTCTACCGTCCATACACTGTGTGGCATTTTTAAAACGAAAAAAAAAACAAGCGTCGCACGCCTATGCGCACCGTTTCGCAGAATCTGACCACCGGATCGCTGACTTTGACCTCCATGTTGCCGTACAACACGCGAAGATCGTGCAGCAGACAGTCAAGGTACAGTTCACCAGTCCCGCAAATGACGTGCTCCCCTGTCCACACACGCCAGCAGAACCAATGCGGTGGCATTCGCCGCGACATAAAGGCGGACAGAAGGCGCGCGAAACTCCACTACAGAGTCGCGCGGTAACACGACACATGGCGGCTAGTCAGTCCGCATAAACCACGACACCAGTGCATGCACATCCACACCCATGAAAGGAAAGACAGATCGCACGGCACAAAAGCAAGCTGATACAAGCACACAAGAAGACACACACTCCCGACTCGGCAAAAAGCAACGGAAGGCACAAAAAGACCAGTTACTCCGCTGTATCTGACTCCATAGACCCCCTCCCTCCCATCATCTCCTCGGGGGAAGGACGGAAGGGGGAGGGGGTCTATGGATATCTCGAGAGGCAAACGCGCCGCATGCACACAACCAACTCTGCCAGTAATGCTCCTAAAATGCATGCAAAAGAGACCTCTATAGAAAGACGCAAACAGGAGCGCGTGGCACGACTGGCCGATGCAGCACTGAAAGGCTACCGGCGGTGTCAAGAATCATGCGGTGTATATCCACCGCATGAGCGACAAAGAGCAGCATCGCACCTGACTCCTCCACTTTCGTTTGGGCAATTGGGTAGGCCTTGTCGATTCGCCTGAGCCCCTGAGGCGTGCAGGTGCATGCGCACAGAGACACACAGAAAAATGTTTGGATAGATACCTAGAAACGCACAGAGGAGGCCACCTACAGCAACCTGTGAGAGCTGACTGATGGCGCATAGCTAGATTTCAAGAAGAGACTGTGCGTGGTGTGTATCGGCGTTCCCGCGCTTCCTTCCCCTTCACAAAAAGTTGCGTCTTACCTCAATCATCTTCGGCAGCTCGCTCGGTTGCAGCGGCTCACAGGCTACCTTGAGGACTGGGGCGGCCTGGAAAAGAAGGGGTCTAAAGATCTCGACTTCTTCCTGATGTTCTAAGGAGGTGATGGTGGCTGTCTTCTTCACGGAGAGATCGCATCCCCCCAACAACACCCAGCTGCCTGGGCACAGACGCACACACAAATACAAACACACAAACACACAAATACAAACACACATACACAAACACACACATACATACACCCTATGCATACACACACACACACACATACACACACACATACACACACACATACACAAACACACATACACAAACACACATACACACAAATACAAACACACATACATACACCATATACATAGACAAACACACATATATACACCCTATACAAATACAAACACACACACATTTACACACACAAACACACCATATACACATACAAACACACACACATTTACACACACAAACATACACGTACACACACCATATACACACACATGCACCCGGGAGCAGCGGGTGACAATACCAGCGTATGCATACAGTTCTGCGCTCCTCCACGCGGTGCATGCAGAGGCAGAGAAACGGGGGAAACACACGCCAGCGAACGAAAAGGGGAAGCCACATGCACAGGCGGAGGCCAGGGCGAGCGAATTGCGCTATGCAGAGTACGCGTGCTATCTGAAGAGCATGCAGATAGAAACTCCCGAGAACCTCTCGAGGACGCCAAAGTGGTAGACTATCTATTTAGAGGTTCCATCACTTTAATCGCCGACAAAGGCAGAACGCAAGATCGGACGAGTGGCTCGAGTGGGCTGGAGATGGCTTTAAGAAGCCTCAATCGATTACAATCCGTGTAGCATTAGGCACCTGCCGGAACACAGTCCACCTCGACCCTGTAGCGTCCCATGGGAATCCACAAGTGGACAACTTCTCTGACGAGCTGATCCTCATCATCGTCGAGCGAGAAGGCCTCTCCAAGAACCTGAAGCAGCCACACGTCGCAGAAGAGGAAGCACGGCGCTTGAGAACGACTGTACTAAGGAGGGGGAAAACGGGGGTCAGAATGAGAGAATTGCGGAGAAACGGGGAGCGCAGAGTTGTACGACGCGTTTTGCCCCTGTCACCGCCAAGTCGGCAGGGGAGAAAAGCAGCGCAAAAGAAGGTAGGGCCGCTCCCCGTGCGATCCAGATGAACAGACAGTCGGGGAAGACGAGCAGGGAAAGGACTCATGAGAGACAAAGAGAGGACAAGCACTCATGAGAAATACAGAAAAGGCGATCACTCATGAGAGATGCAGAGAAGACAAGGACTCATGAGAAATACAGAGAAGGCATGCATTCATAGGAGACAAAGAGAACGCGATCACTCATGAGAGATACAGAGAAGACGAGGACTCATGAGAAATACAGAGAAGGCATGCATTCATGAGAGACAAAGAGAAGACGAGGACTCATGAGAAATACAGAGAAGGCGATCACTCATGAGAGATACAGAGAAGACAAGGACTCATGAAAAATACAGAGAAGGCATGCATTCATAAGAGACAAAGAGAACGCGATCACTCATGAGAGATACAGAGAAGGCGATCACTCATGAGAGACAAAGAAAAGACGAGCACTCACAACAGACACAGAGAAGGCATGCATTCATGAGAGACACAGAGAAGACGAGGACTCATGAGAAATACAGAGAAGGCGATCACTCATGAGAGATACAGAGAAGACAAGGACTCATGAGAAATACAGAGAAGGCATGCATTCATAAGAGACAAAGAGAACGCGATCACTCATGAGAGATACAGAGAAGGCGATCACTCATGAGAGACAAAGAAAAGACGAGCACTCACAACAGACACAGAGAAGGC